CCAGTGTGAACCAGAGTTTGGCTCATATGTGGTTGGATGTCAGACATCCTGCATGAAGTCCACATAATGTTACCAAACCTCTGGAGTGTGGAAGAGTGCGAGAGAAAGATACAATTTTTGCCATCATCACAGGGTTCACTCTAGCACAGACTTGCCTTACTTATTCTCCATGAGTCTCAAGAAGCTAGAGAAAGAGAAATAGGGCATGAGCTTCAGTTGTCACCCTAAGCTTTCCAGGAATTTTCACCTTCCATAGAGTCCAATGTAGTGCAACACGTCTAAGTTAGACTCAGCTATAAACTAAAAGGCCCTTTACCGACATTGAACCAGTCTCAACACTAACCAATTCATGATCTACACTGAACCTGCCCAGACACAAAACAACTCAACATTGAACCAATCTCAGGATAAAATGCATTAATAAACAATTCTGACATGGATTAACTCCACAACTGCCCTGAACCAACCTCAACAGACACTGACTCCACACCTTGTCACAGTATTTTATCTCTGGGTGAGAATCACACAATGTTTAAGTGCGAACCAGAGTTAAGACTCATATGTTTGGATGTCAGACATCCTGCATGAAGTCCACACAGTGTTGCCAAACCTCTGGAGTGTAGAATGGTGCAGGAAAGAACAATATACAACCTTTGCTGTCATTACAGGGTTCCCACTAGCACAGACTTAACTTACTTACCCTCCTTGATTCCCAAGGTGCTAGAGAGAGAAACAGGGCGTTGGTTTCAGTCGACAGTTTTTGGTTCTCATTAGTACAGACTTGGCTTCTGGTGACAATAATAATAACCTTGTATTTGATATAGCACTTGTCATGTCTGATGTCTCAAAGCACTTCACAGAACGGACCATAAAGCAAATGGACTATTTATTTGTGGGCGAAACGCAGCAGCCAATTGCACACAGCAGCATCCCACAATCAGTCGTGGATTGAAAATAACCAATTTATTATTGTTTTGTTTTTTGGAGCAATTATTATTAGGCTTGTGGAGTACGGAAACCTATCCAAGATTTCACCCTGCCTAGAATTGAACCCAGGTGTCTCACTTGCAAGGCGAGCGCTCTAACCAGTGAACTACAGGATTCCACCGAGCAACTGAGCTCAGCCCATTAATCACTTACATCTCCCATGGTTTTCAGCTGCATCTCATCTCCAAACTATCTCTAGTTGGACATCTTTGACCAAAATCTAGATAATGATTTAAAGACTAACACTGCAAAATAATAATTCTACATAACAATTCTGTCATCGCCATCTCTGAGATGAGTTAGACAATAAAAAGAAAAGCCGGACTGTTCAAGAGTTGTTTACAATCTCCATTAAATAGATGGATGGCAACAAGGTCTTTAAAGTTCAAAGGTTAGAAAACAAAGTGATAAATAACTGAGTTTCTCCAGAAAGATAAACAGTTTAAGAAAATAAACAAAAATGTGAACAAAAACACCATTGGGCACATTGGCAAGTGAGGAGAGTTACCCCAATAAGTGTCTGACAAATACACATAGTATAAAAATAAAACAAGTTAAAAACACAAATTCAGCTTAAAGCATATGATGTAGTAGCCATTATAGAGACCTGGCTACAAGCCAGAAATTACTGGAAGCTAAATATTCCAGGCTGTAAGATCTTCAGAAAGGATAAAGAAATTGGGAAAAGCAATATGTGTAATACTGAAGTACACTAATAGATAGAAAAGACTTTAGTAAAGGTGATCAGGCTGTAGAAACACTATGGGTAGAATTAAAGAACAGCAAAGGAGGGAAGACTCTGATGGGAGTTGTCTACAGACTCTAGAGAGAAACATAACCAATTGTTTTTGAGACAAATTACACAATAAAAGGAGAAGCCAAACTGGCCAAGAGTTGCTTACAATTTATATGAAGAGCAGGTGGACAGTGTAAATGTCTCTGAAGCTCACAGAACTGACAACACCCAAGGTTTGGACAACTTCCCTTCACAAACATTACTGACAATTTACAGCCCACCAGAAGGTTCTCACAAATACAAACTCACCTGATAATAGTCCATAGAGAGACCAGCCTGAGCCAAGCTCCACCACACGCAAACTGACCAATTCACAGCTCTGAACCACAAGCCTCCAGCAACTCATCTGCCCTCTCTAAACTGATGAGGTGACTCCTTCCTCCAATTGTTTGACTGAGCTCAGCCTCTGGTTAAATACCCAAAGGTTCAGGTTTGACATGTGGCCAAAGAGCAAATCACATTCTTCACAAGGTCCAGTTGAAGGGAACGTCCTCCCTTCACAGCTGCAAACAGTCAGTATCATCACATGGGCTGTTGGCTATTGGATGGTCCAGAGAATTCACAGGGTTTATATTCATTACTTCAGACCATTCACATTTCCTTGAATTTTTTATTGAATGCTTCAGAGACATCACCAAACAAACACACCATCAAATCAGATCACAAACACTAATAGGTGTGAGAGAGAAGGAGAAAGTTTGCAATAGAGAGAAGGTGTGATAGAGAGGAGAAAGGTTGCAATACAGAAAGAAATTGTGTTAGAAAGATTGAAATAGAGACAAAGTATGATAGAGAGGAGAAAGATTGCAATAGAGAAAGTGATAGAGAGAAGGAGAAATATTCTGATAGAGACAAAGAGTGATAGAGAGGAGATAGATTGCAGTAGAGCGAAAGTGTGATAGAGAGAAAGTGTGATAGAGAGAAGGAGAAAGACTGGAAAAGAGTGAAAGAAATTGTGAAAGATTGCAATAGAGACCAGGGGTGTGTGGGGGGGGAGAGGCCGGGGTGTGCGGCAGGTAGGGAAAAGGTTCTGAGAGAAAGTGTGATAGAGAGGGAAAAGTTTGTAATAGAGAGAGACAAAATACGACAGAGAGAAGGAGAAAGATTGCAACCCCGACCTGGCCCCCAAAACCTCGTACCAGCCCCCAAAATCCCGATCCATCCCCAGCAAACCCGAATCAAACAACACCGATCCAGCCCCAGAAAACCCAACCGGAGCCAACAACCCTGAAGCGACCCCGGCAACAAATGATAAAGTACATCCGTTTATCATATGTTTCGTTTTTGTAGAGTTAAGATAATTCAACAAATCTCTTCAGACCACAATTTGTAATTACTGATTTAACATCACATCAATCGGTCATCTGTTCACAGGTTGGGTTTAGACCATGGCATTGAAATAATTCGTCAAATTCACTCTAGGTGGATAACAACAACAACTTGTATTTATACAGTGCCTTTCATGTGAAGCAGAATCTCTGAAGGCTTAAAAAATAGTTATTACTTCAACTTTCTCCAACTATGTATAAATATTCATTGTACTAGTTATAACATTGTTATAACAATTAAACCAGCAACATCTGGCACTAAACCAATGATTAGCACTCAATGTGCTAACAGCTGAGGGGAAAGTTGGGGGTGAGGGTACGATAGTGATGCGATCAAAATTCCTTGGGAGTCAGAATTGAGGTTGTCGAATATTGTCGGTGCACTAACTTATTTTAGTATGTAAGATTGTCTTTTACAAGATTAAAGTAATCACTTTGGCCAGGCAATGGCAGCAATTCTGGTCCAGATTAAATTCGTTGGATGGATATTCAGACGGGGGAAATTATTTGTTTGTTAATTTCATTTATAATTCTTACAATTTCCCTTCACGTTTCAAAGCATATGTAATTGTTGTCAAGTGTGAATATTAATTGGAACAAATACCGATTGAATAACAAACAGATAAACCTCAGATTATCATTAACTATGTTTACATAACAAACTGACCTAATGTTAATGTCACTGACTTTTGTTGGCTTTCCACAAAACCAAATACTTCAAAACGATTAAAATACTGTCATTAAAATACTGTAATTAGTTTTCACTGAAACTTCAGAACGAATCTTCAACCCTTTGAGAATCTTGTAATTGTAAATGCATAATTTCCAAAGTATGGAAGTTGTGAAATCAGTTTATTAATAACTGACCACGTTGTGGTGGAGCGAAGTACATTAGATTTCTTTCTTTAAAAAAGTTGAAGGAATACTACATTTAGATCGAATATAACACATTTAATTATAAAAAATAACAAATTATAGAAATACAATGTTCCAATGTTTTAATTTAGTTTTATTTGTTCATAAATTACATGCTTTAAAATATCCACTTACTTCGCCGATGACCACATTAACACATTCAACTGTAATAGAAAACCGAATGAGAAATTATTGCTCGAAACAGTCCCGTGTCCAGCAGTAGCCCCACCCACTCCTGATGGACAGGCCCACAGCCCCACCCACTCCTGATGGACAGGCCCACAGCCCCACCCACTCCTGATGGACAGGCCCACAGCCCCACCCACTCCTGATGGACAGGCCCACAGCCCCACCCACTCCTGATGGACAGGCCCACAGCCCCACCCACTCCTGATGGACAGGTCCACAACCCCACCCACTCCTGATGGACAGGCCCACAGCCCCACCCACTCCTGATGGACAGGCCCACAGCCCCACCCACTCCTGATGGACAGGCCCACAGCCCCACCCACTCCTGATGGACAGGCCCACAGCCCCACCCACTCCTGATGGACAGGCCCACAGCCCCACCCACTCCTGATGGACAGGCCCACAGCCCCACCCACTCCTGATGGACAGGCCCACAGCCCCACCCACTCCTGATGGACAGGCCCACAGCCCCACCCACTCCTGATGGACAGGCCCACAGCCCCACCCACTCCTGATGGACAGGCCCACAGCCCCACCCACTCCTGATGGACAGGCCCACAGCCAATCAGTGGTGGCACTGCTGCTGGGTAACCAATCAGCCGTGGCAAAGGGCGGGAGGTTAGGGTTTGATATATTTAACTGGGGAAATTGAGCATTTAAGTAAAAGTAATATTTTTTTATTCTGATCTAATATTATTCTCTTATTTCTTCTCGTCTCCCTGTGGAGCCTGAGTGACAGTCGGACGGCGCTGTGGTGTTTCGATGCAGGCGGAGGGCGGGCGGCCAGCAGGCGGGGTCCTTTGATGGGGGTATAGCCGCGCACCGCGTCATCAACGGCCTTTCCACCGAGATCCTGAGCGATGGGTGAGCGCGTGTCACTGTGTGTGGCTCAGTCTGTGTCACTGTGTGTGGCTCAGTCTGTGTGACTGTCTGTGTCTCTGTGTGTGTTACTGTGTGTGTCACTGTCTGTGGCTCCCCCTCAGCTCAGGGACACAGCCCGGGAGCGGCGCCGCGTGTGTAGCCACCGGTTTCAAAGTGACTGCGAGTTGCCGGAGCCGCCATGTTGTGGCGCCGGGACCACGGGGTGTAGGGGGAGAGAGGCCGCGGGTGTAGGGGGAGAGAGGCCGCGGTTGTGTTGGGGGGGAGAGGCCGCGGGTGTGTGTGGGGGGTGGGGAGGCCGGGGGTGTGTGTGGGGGGGGAGGCCGGAGGTGTGTGTGGGGGGTGGGGAGGCCGGGGGTGTGTGTGGGGGGGGAGGCCGGAGGTGTGTGTGGGGGGTGGGGAGGCCGGAGGTGTGTGTGGGGAGGGGGGGAATCTGCTGCTCGGGGCTGTGACGGCCTCGCGGCCAGTGGTTTCGAGGCGGCTTCTCACTGACGGACAATATTGCAGGGAAATGCCGAGGCCTCCGCACAGCCAGGAAACTGCGCAGTTTGCGCCGTGATCAGAAATGGCACGACAAGCAGTACAAGAAGGCCCACTTGGGGACTGCCCTGAAGGCCAATCCGTTTGGCGGGGCTTCTCACGCCAAAGGAATTGTCCTGGAAAAAGTGTAAGTAATTTAAAACTCATGAACGTATTGTTGATTTTGTTTAAAAGGTACCTTTTGTCATCTTGTAGTATTGCTGAAGCACAATCTTCCCCACTTCCTTTGGTTGCTGTATATGAGAATGTTGATCCCTTTTTGGCGAAATATGTGACTTTTCCCCGCAGCTGTGAACGATTTGAAGATCAAATACCAATGCCAGGAAGGTTAGCAGTGCTCTGGAGTAATGTTGGTTGACCAGCTTATCTTGACTCATTTTGTAGACGTTTGCTTGCTGCAGTTTACAGTATATCTTGTGAAGGGCGTTCAGACATTACTGATGAGGCACTATATCAAATGCAAAAAAATATTGTTGGTATTATTAATGATACTTGAAGAGCCAAATCTATTCTGTTCTGCCTTTGGTAATCCTCCAAGATTAGTCTGACTGGGTGTTAGACTTGCTCAATTGGTAGTACATTAGCCTCTGAATCAGTCAGCATTTCTCCATGCTTATTGGCAATTTTCTATTTTGTTTCTTAATTCAGTGGTGTTGAGGCTAAACAGCCAAACTCTGCCATCCGAAAGTGTGTCCGAGTTCAACTTATCAAGAATGGCAAAAAAATCACAGCTTTCGTACCAAATGATGGTTGCTTGAACTACATTGAGGTATGTCAAATCCTTGCTGATATCATAAATGTTTTCCACAAAACATTTGTTCAGCAAACTAAACTTGTTTTTATGAGAATCATATTGGTGTTAACTGAAACTACTACGAGCATATGTCAGAAAGGCTAAAGGGACGGGAGATGTTTCAGGTGGGAGAAGAGGGTATGAGGTGAGAGAATGTATTTCAACGTTTAAAATGCTCTTGAGATTGACTGCAGTTGCACAAAGTATATTAATATTAAAGCCTTGTTGCAAATCTTCCATTTTCATAGAACTTCTTGCTTTGGATGGATTCCTTCATGCCTGTGAAACCTTTGGACATAAAGGATAAGAGCTGAACGTTGAATATTTGTGCCCAATATAGAACTTTTTCAGTTGATGTTTTTACCACTAAATGTGAATCCTACATTCCTATGCTCTAAGCAAATTGGTAGATTGTTTTTTGTACTGGTTTGTGGCTCCACAGTTGCCTGCCTGAGATTGTCCCTGCAATGGAATTTTAAGTAAAATTTCCATATTTCTTTTAAGTACTTTTTCACCCCCCCCCCCCACGTCCACCTCATGTTAGTAGCTCTGAGACGCGGTCCGGTGTGGAGGGTGCTATATAAATCCAAGTTGTTGTTAGTGATTTTCTCACCCATCTCCAAAGCTTTGCCAATGTTTGAATTCCGTTTTATTTTTAGTTTGATTTTCAAACCTGCTCAAATGAATGAGCAGTTTCCAAGTTCACCAATGCTTGTAATTCTTGTGCTGATGGTGCACCTCTCTATTTTTAGGAAAACGATGAAGTTCTGGTTGCTGGATTTGGACGTAAAGGCCACGCTGTTGGTGATATTCCTGGTGTTCGCTTCAAGGTGGTCAAAGTAGCCAACGTATCTCTGTTGGCCCTGTACAAAGGCAAAAAGGAAAGGCCAAGATCTTAAAAGGGCTCAGTGTAATGACACAAGTGAAAATAAAACATTTTAAAATGTGAAGATTATTGTTTTTGTTCCAGGTTGTGACAGGTGATTGAAATTGGTTTCCCTTTGGCAATTTGATTAAAATTTGTTCAAAAAATCTATTACTAACTCAACTTATATTTTGGCTGAAATTTAATGTTTTGAATGTATAATGTGCAGCTGTGCTTTTTTAAAAACAAGTTTCTCTGCGCCAACTTTGGCTGTGTTTTTATGGTCACTGGTTGCTTTCTGGTATTTTGCCTAAGTGGCTGTTCACTTGTGAGACAGAACTCTTGACACTGCATGTGCGGTTTCCTCCAGTGGAGATTGGTGGATCATGTGCAGGAGGTGGGCGGCCCACATGACCTCTGGGGCACTGGTGTAGCTTTCCCGTTGCTGAAATCAATTCATGAAAAGGCTGGAGTGTGGTTACATGGGCAACCTTGGTGACCATTAATACCTTACTTGCTAAAATGAGCTTGGGCAGTGAATGTCATCGAGCTGTACAACAACAGCAACAAGATTCCATTTATGGAGCGCTTTTCACGTCGGGAGGACGGCCCAAGGCGCTGTACAGTTGGGTCAGGACCCGAGCATTGGGGGGAAATGGTCAGGGGGAAGGGAGGGAGCGAGGAGGGGGTAGAGTCGAGAGGGGAGCTGAAGGCACGGTCAAAGAGAAAGGTCTTGAGACCGGCCTTGAAGGAGGAAAGAGAGGAGGCGGCGAAGGCACTGGGGAATAGAGTTCCAGAGCCTAGGGGCTGAGAGGTTGAAGGCCCAGCCAGTGATGGTAGGGCGGTTGGGGCGGGGGATGTGGAGCAGACCAGAGCCAGAGGAATGGAGGGTACGGGCAGGTAGGTAGGGGCATAGTAGGTCGGAGAGGTAGGATGGAGCGAGGCCATGAATGACCTTGTAGGTGAGGATGAGGATCTTGAAATCGATCCTCTGGGGGATGGGGAGCCAGTGGAGGTGAGCGAGGGTGGGAGTGATGTGGGCGCGACGCCTGGTGCGGGACAGTACACGAGCTGCAGAGTTCTGAATGACCTGCAGTGTGGAGGGAGGTGGCGGGAAGGCCGGCGAGGAGAGAGTTCCCATAGTCCAGCCTTGAAGTGATAAAGGCGTGGACCAGAGTTTCAGCCGCGTGAGGGGTGAGGTAGTGCCGTAGTCTGGCCATGTTCCGGAGGTGATGGAAGGCGGTGCCAGTTGTGGCGTGTATGTGGGGGATGTGGAGCAGACCGGAGCCAGAGGAACGGAGAGTACGGGCAGGTAGGTAGGGGGATAGTAGATCGGAGAGGTAGGAGGGAGCGAGGCCGTGAATGGCCGTGTAGGTGAGGATGAGGATCTTGAGTTCGAGACGTCTCAAAGTGCTTCACGGAATATACTGCACAGACTATTTTGTGGGCGAAATGCAGCCAATTGTGTACAGCGACTCCCACAGTCGTGGATTGAAAGGGATTATTTCACACAGTGACATCTCGGAGCGGAGGTTGGCAGTGATGGCAGCACATTGAGGGACAACCACTCCCCCCCACACACTCCCCGTCAGTGCTGACAACACGAAGCCTAGTGGGCACTCCAGCACTACAGACCACGTGATGGCGGGGCCGGAAGTGGTGGGCGGGGCTTCCGGGAAGGGTTTCCATGGTTACCGCGTTGTTTGGGAGGAGGCGGCGGTTGCACAGCGGCTCCGGGGGTAAGTGACCCTCTCCCCAACCATACAGCAGCCGTGAGGATTGGGTTGGAGATTAGTTAGGGTGAGGGTTAGTTAGGGTGAGGGTTAGTTAGGGTGAGGGTTAGTTAGGGTGAGGGTTAGTTAGGGTGAGGGTTAGTTAGGGTGAGGGTTAGTTAGGGTGAGGGTTAGTTAGGGTGAGGGTTAGTTAGGGTGAGGGTTAGTTAGGGTGAGGGTTAGCAGCGCCTGAAAGCGATTCACGTTCATCAGTACAGTTTTTGGACCAGATTCCCGGTTGTGGTCATTATTATTACATTCCCTTTCTAACTGCAACTCACAATTGCCAAGTGTTTATCAATAACCAAGCTCTGAGGATCAATATTTCACTGCAAAGTCATTGCGAGGGTTTGTTTGATAACCCACAATAATAATAAATAATAATTATTGCATTTGATATTGCACCATATCACATAATCGAGACATCAAAGCACTTTACAGGATACACTGTAAAGCTTCCCAGCTTTGCTCTTTCCTTTTCCCCCACTCCCTTCAAGAGCCCCCCAATCGGCTTTCCGTGCCGCTCACAGCACAGAAACAGCTTTGATCAAAGTAACAAATTACATTTTGTTCATCTGCAACCAGGGCTCCCTCTGCCTTCTCGTCCTCATTGACCTCTCCGCTGCCTTTGATACTGTTGACCACGCTATCTTTCTCCATCGCCTCTCCTCTCACCTCAATCTTCTTGGTTCTGTCCTTGACTGATTCAGATCATAACTCTCACACCATCTACACTTCATCTCCACAAATGGATTCTCCTCTCGCCTCCGCACCATCTCGTCCGGCGTTCTTCGGTATCTGTCCTTGGTCCTCTCTTCATTACTCCAGAGAACTAGCCATTGAGTCTTTTTCCCTTGGAGTGACAAGTTAACAGGAGTTTACTGTATATAAAACCTTTTTAAACATTGTTATTTAAATATGGATTTTTAGAACATATGTGTGCTATATGAAGAGTTGAGTAAAATGAGTATTTTATTTGAGCTTTTTATTCGTGGAAACCTACGTAAAAATCCATCTGGGCCCTTGAGGCAGTGTGGAGGGATGCCCAGAGATAAGCTTTACAATTCAATACAAACTTACATTTATATAAGCACCTTTCATGTCAGGAGGTTGGACAATCCTGGCTTCGCAACTGAGCTGAAGATGGAAGCTGAGGTGGGTGGGGAGGGGAAAGGTGACCAAAGGTACATTCAATGTGGAAGGTCTTGAGATGGACTTTGAAAGAGGTGGTGTGGGAAGGGGGAGGGGCGGTGTGGGTGGGGAGCGAGTCGGTGGGACTCTGGCAAGGAGTTCCAGAGAGTGCGGGCAGATAAGCTAAAAGTCTGACTACCAATGGTGGCCTGGGTTGGGTTTGGTGAGGGATATGAAGGGTAGGTAGGGTGAGGCTGGTGCTTGCTGAGCAAAGGGATTCTTAACTAGTTAAGCTAGTTCTATTCAGTCTCAAAACTAGATATTTTAGAAGAGACCTTATAGAGCTATACACTCTGAGGTACTTACTTGGATAGAGAATGATCCCAGGAATAATACTTTTAACAATATGGACTCCTGGACCCTTTCTACTCACTGCACCTTATGGTCCCGGGCAAATGTACATATGCAACGTAGGGGTAGTGACTCACACGGCAACCTTACAACCTGCATTTCAAAACAATAACCAAAAATTTTATAACATTGTGATTTTGATATTATGAACTTTAAAAGGATTACTTGGACATTTTAATTTGTGTTCATTTAGATGTCGTTCTCAAATAAAGTTAAAAGTGCTTGTGCCGAGTGTTCAAATCCTCGAGACAGACTGCCTCCCATCCCCACTCCAACTGTATCAGTGGGACATGGCAGCACAGCTGGAAATAAACTCAAGGACTATACTTGGAACAGACATCAAGAACATTTACTTAATAAGATCATGTAAGTTGCTTGTTCCAGAATTGTAGGATATGTTGGGTATGAGTTTTGCTGAGCAGTTTCTTCTCATCCAGTTGGGCCATGTAAATCCTCATACAATACAGTGGAAGTATTTGGAATTTATAATCGTATGTAGGTTTGGCAACAAAAAGAAAAGTAGATCAGTGATGTGGTTTAATTTTAAAATTGGGATAAAACCTAATTTGTGAAGTAATGCTAACATTCCACTAATGATGCAAAGGATTATATTTTGAATTTCTCCAAAATCATTTCATAATTATAGGATTATGTGAATTGAGATAACATCAGTTACGTTCTTGATATTTAAAATGTAGTTCTTTATTATTATGGTCATTCACTGCACTGAGACTGAAATCATAACTCATAATACAACAGCAACAATGACAACAACACATTGCATTTATATAGGCTATTTCACACGAGAGGATGGCCAAAGGCCCCGGACAGTCAAGAATTTGCACCTGAGCTGGAGGTTGGATTCAGTAGGGGTGGGAGTAAAATGACTAAAGTTGTGGTCAAAGAGGAAAGTCTTGAGACACACCTGGAAGTACGTGAGAGAAGGGGGCGAGGCAAAGTGACTTCGAGAGTCTCTGCATTCAGTGGATTGGTTTACATGTTGTGATACCAAAGCTACATAATTAAGTGGGATAGAAGGGAGCTGAGATGCTTACACACGATGAGCCACTTAGAGACCAAGTTAACCTGAACCCTTTCACACAATTGCTGACAAAGTAACTCTGCAATGATCGACTCCGGGAACCGGTCATTTGTCTTGTACTGTTGATTCTTACTCTCATTTATTGCAAATAAAACATTGTATTCTCAAAACACAGTTATCTATAAAGTGGTAGAAAACCTGCACATGGCTTTATATTCAAAGAATATATATTGCAATATTGAAGCTTTGACTGACATTTATTATTATAGGATTGATGATGCCCGTCGAGTTTATGAAGAAACAATGGATTCAATTGACAAGCAGGGTATCCCTCTTCCTCAGCCTGAGCTACCCAGCACAGTAAGCTGTCATTTACCTCGAGGAATAGTCTTCAAATAGTTATTGTTATTTTCAAATATTAAAATGTAGTAAATTGCAATATCCATTATAGTGGCACCCACAGAATTTAGTCAGTGAAATGCTTTCCGGAAATCCATATATACCACATTCACTGCATTATCTCCAAATAATATCTCAGGATATAATATATAATTTTGGACATGACATGTCATGCGATGGTGGAAGGCAAACTGAATGGACCTTGATTTTCTTTCGCTTAGCAAATTCTTATGTTCTCATTACCTTTAACTATTTTTTCTGTAATTTATATTTGTGCTGTATTATAATTATTGGGGTTTGTCTTGATCCCATGTCTCTCTCATTTATAGATGAACAGTGAAGCAAAGAAGCGAAGAGTAAGTCTGTGATTTTATTGGTGAAGTCCATTGTCAAAGGAAAAAGCCGTGGAAATTTAAATTAGCCAATTGTATTTGAAAGGTTGAAACAATAACCTCTAGAGATTTTTTGTGTAATATGTATAATTTTATTCTGAGGTGCTTGGTAAATATATTACATTTATTTTCTCCCCATTATTAAATTTGTTTCCTGCTATGAAAATACCTTTTAATAATTCAATTTTCTATGCCTGAGATTGTGGGTACGTGATCCATGCCTGGGTGTTATTCTTTAGCAGTTTATAAGCAATTGTAATGAAGTAAAAGATAATAGTTTAGGTTCATTTCCCACTAGTTTTCCTTGCTTTCCTGTGATGAAATAACCCTGCTTTATGTTTCCTTCTGACAGCCTGTCTAAGATTAGGAGGTAAGTGGGGTTTCCTTGGAGCTGAACTTGCTCTTAAGTGACATGCTTGACAACGGAATGTCGGAATCGAGACAGCCCTCTATGGAGCCTTTGGTAGTCCGGTTCCTGAACCAGGCAGGTCCGCAGTACTCCAGGGCATTGCTGATGACAGCACAGGAGACCTGACTCATCGGCAGGTCTTGGAATGGCAGACCAGTCAATGGCGGCGGGCAATCCTGCATCTCAGCTCCTGTTAACCTTGCAACCCGAATGGGTAGGGTGACCTTAGCTGGATAAGTAGCGGGAAAGCTTGCCAGGCTATCAACTATTTAGTGCTATCGATGGCAAGCTGTGTGGTTTCAGCTGGTTAGACTCCAGAATTATTTTGCAAATTTGAGAATGAATAGCCTGGTATCTGCTCTGTAGAGTTTATGGAAAGCTAAAGTACAACTTGTGTTTCAGTTAAATTACCTGTACATGAAACAAAGTGTGGAGAGCAGCCCTGTGGTCCCAATTCAGCAGGAGTGGTTGGCAACAATTTTGACTCTGGTACCTGAGGGTCTGAGAGAAGGTAAGAAGAGAGAGACAATGGTCCAGGACCTGTTTGAAGAGGTTGTTCAAGACTTTGACAAGAGCATGAAGCGATTTATGGGTATGTTTTTTCTCAAATAAATATGAATGTCTTTTTTTTGTACCAGAGACCATTTTATTATATACATGAAAGATAGTGTTCCGTGTCACATTGTTCCATCAAGTCCCTTACAAGTGGAGTTGTGTGTCTTCAATGATCGTGTAGTTAGGTTGTGGTTCTTTTACTGGTTTAATGTTTCACTCGTTTTTTTGCATTTGTGTGGAAAATCAGTCATGCTTTACAGTGAAAAATATCGGATGTTTTGTAAATCTGCTAATTTTAAGAATTCACTAATTAGGTTGGAACTTACAGCCCACCCCAATTGAAAATGGTCTTTTACCTTTGTATTTTAGTGAGAAACGTTCTTGTGAAGCCAGATGTAAAAGGTCTTGAATATGAAGACTCTGCCCCTCTTCCAGAGGAACCTTTGTAAGTTTAAGAATAATGTCTAGGAAATTCTATTCAACATTAGCAACACAAGTACTTGGGGAAAGTATGAATAGTGTCCATAAACATTTACAGTGTTAGAAAACTTAAATCTGGAGAAGTTATGCCCAAGATTTTGTAGCTGTTTTTCCCCGTCTGTGAAACATGTATTCACTAAACTGAACCTTTGGTTTAGCAAGCAATCTACTTGTGAGTGATGTAGCACCTGATTAAGCTTTTCTTTTGTTTAGAGGTTTGGACTTCTCTAAACCTTGGCATGAGAGCGTTGTAAAAGCTAAAGAGGAGATCAAAAGGAATCTTCACATTATTCATCCAGCCATGCAGACGATTCTGAATTTGGGTTATATGAATTTTAATAATTTGCTACTGATGGATATGTCTGATTGCAGGTAGGAACCAGTATCTTTTAATGATTTTCTATGATAGGGCAACTTCACACTGTTCAATGGACATATCTAATCCAGTACTATTGCAGATAGATTTTTTTTAAAACTTGGAACTGTCTTACTTCATAGTATTCTTATTCTTCCCAGCGTGCTTTCCCACCATCCTTAAAGTGTGCATTTTCAAAAGCAAGGATTATTATATTTGCATTTTGTCAACCTGAGACTGAATCATTTTGCAACCATGGATTATGTCTCATTTACCTTCTGATTACTGAGCAGATCTAAAGGACCAATTGAATGTGACACCTTCAAGAACAATGTGGTGATAGAGCACAGAAAAATGGAAAAGCGTATAATGGAGATGTGGTACCCGTGCATTATTAACCTCTTCACTAACAAAGAGGAGATAAAGAATATTAAACCTGAGAACTTGGAGTCCTTCTACACCAGTGCTGATGTTCTGATAACCAATCAGGTAAGCTACATTCTGGTACTGCATAAGATTCAATTGATTTCATCTTCAAAATATGGTAATTACACTTTATAATGAATCCTGTGAAACACTTTGAGATACCCGATTGTTGTTAAATATGCTATAGATAATGCAGGGATTATTATTAATTTATTATTTCTATGTATGTATGTATTTCTACATAAAATCTTGCCTGTGCTGGATCTTTCAAAGAGCGATCCAACTGCTCCCAATTCCCCACTCTTAACCCATATAGCCCTGCATATTTTTTCCAGAATTGTTTACATTATGATTTGTATCCAATTTATTTCTCAGTAATCTGATGTGGTAATTACATTGTTGGTAACATTGTGTAGTTGATGGTTCTTTTGAGGTACATTTTACCGCCGACCTACATTTTGTTACCACCAGGTGGCATTCGGGTTTAGGTCACCACGAGCCTTTGCCTTTCATCTTATTACAGGATCGTTTTTTGGTTTTGTTTTCTAAGCTGAGAGAGTTTCTTGGAAGAACATTAATGGCTTATGTAGAACTGTTTGACAAAGTTGAGAAATACAAGATGCCGTTGTTTAAGATGGAGTTAATATTTGATGATGAGAAGATGGAGTTTTATCCTACTTTTGCGGATCTGGAGAACACAGTGGTTTTTATGATATATGAAGCAGAAGAAGCCATGCAGGTATTCTCTTGCTAAATAATTACTTGCTCAAAAATATTGATTTGAATAATTGCTGCTGTTCCACTTTTTTTTAACAATTTGAATCCCAGCAAAATTGATACTAAAGATTAGAAATGTGTGTCAAAATGTCAGAAAACATGAAATTGTCTGTGAATTACTACGTCAAAGCCAGTGACTTGAAATGTAAGTGCCTGACACAGCCTGGATGGTAGCTAAAGGAATTGTACTGATTTGGACATTGAGATACATAGATTTTGATTCTCTTTTAATTTTTAAAAATATTCTTTTGTAATAGCAAATATTTTAAAAGCAGGCGTGGTAATAGAATCATAGCATTTATACAAGGGAAGGAAGCTTATTGGTGCATCCAGCCAAGAATAACCAACTCTTTCCACAGCTCTTTCTTTGCACGTTTATTATATTACTCCAATTAGTTATCTCTCATTCCTTTTTAAACGTTTAGCCTGAGATTCAATAGCCACTTGTGGGAGAGTATTCTTTATTCTGGTAAGCTATTTCTTCCAGTGACATTTTTGAATTGTTGTTCTCTTTTTGTTTTTGTTTCACCAAAGTAGCAGCACTAATCTCTCACTACCTTCATTGTCAAAACTTTTAAGAGTTTTTTTAACCTGGATTAGACACTTTCTTACTGTTCTCTGTATAGCGAAAACATCCCCAATTGTTCAAGCCTCCCCTCGTAACCTGGGCCAATAGAAAAGCGAATCCACTACAAACTCGCAATAAATGTAGTTTCTGACCCGCGGGCCTCAGCGTTTTTTACCTGACGTCACTGTGAGTGGGGCGTCTCTGGACGCGCATGGTGTTATGAGTGTCTCAACCACAACAACAAAATTACATTTATAGAGCGCCTTTCACGTCCGGAGGACGTCCCAAAGTGCAGAACAGTCAGGGGTCGGGGCCCAAGCAGGGGGAGGGGTGGTGTAGGGGTGAGGGAAGGCCGAGAGTTGGGAGGGCGACCAAAGGCACGATCGAAGAGAAGGGTCTTGAGACCGGCCTTGAAGGAGGCAAGGGTGGAAGCGAGGCGAAGGGACCGTGGGATGGAGTTCCGAAGTGTGTGGGCAGAGAGGCTGAAAGCCCGGCCACCGATGGTAAGGCGGGCCGGGCAGGAGACATGGAGCAGCCGGAGCCCGCTGAACGGAAGGAGCGGGCAGGTTGATAGGGAGTCAGCAGGTCAGAGAGGTAGGAGGGGACAAGGCCATGGATGGCCTTGAAAGTGAGGACGAGTATCTTGAATTCGATCCTCTGAGTGATGGGGAGCTAGTGAAGTCGGGCGAGGGTGGGAGTGATGGGGTCACGCAGCCTGGTGCGCGAGAGTACACAAGCTGCGGAATTTTGGATGATCTGGACTTTCTTACCTCTAAAATGGAAAACATCTGCCTGGCAGCTTCATCCTCCTGCCCCATGTCCCCTACCACCCCCTTCATTCCATCACCCACCCCCCATCAGCTCATACCATGGCCCCCATCCTACATCCCTTTGCCCCCACCTCCCCTTCCTCCCTCTCATGCTTCATCACCTTGATGAAACCCACCACCTGCCCCCGCCCCACCCAGCTGCTGATCACCCAGCTTCCCCTCCTCTGCCCACTGCTGGCAGATACCATTAATCAGTCCCTCTCCTCAGGATCAGTCCCACTCCCCCTTAAAACAGCCATCATTACCCCCCTCCTTAAAAAAACCTACCCTCGATCCCTCCAACCTCAGGCACTACCGCCTTATCTCAAACCTGCCCTTCCTGGCCAAAGCTTTGGAATACGTTGTTGCCAACCAACATTGTACACACCTCCCTCCACACCCTACTTGAACCCCTCAAAGTCCTGCCCACAGGACAGAGATAGCGCTCGTGAAATTTACAAACATGTCCTCTCTATCTGTGATCAGGGCTCTCTGCCTCCTCGCCTCCTGGATATCTCTGTGCATTCGACACAGTGGATCATGCCATCCTCCTCCACTGCCTCCACCTCAGTGGGACCGCACTCGCTTTGTTCGAGTCCAAACTCCATTGGCTCCGTGTCACAGAGCGGATCGACTTCAAGGTCCTCACTCTAGTGCTTAAATCCCCTCATGCCTCAGCACCCTCCCTATCTCTCTAACCTCCTCTCTCCCCACAGCAGTCCCTGAGAGGCAGAAGGTGAGCTCCTGTCGTCTCGCAGTCACTGGTCTAGAGTGTCTGTTTTTTGGTGTATCTCTGCGCTGGTGTCCTCCCCCCACCCCACCCCCCAATGGACCACCCAGTTTTTGTTAAAGAATAAATTAATTGTAACAAATTGCAACAATCTAATATGTGTAAGATTATTTTTTGTAAAGTGAAAAATTATAGGTTGGCAGCAAAATGTGCCTCAATTGCACCAATCAACACCCCCACAATTTTCTGTGTTTTCAGCTCATAACTGAAACAGCTTATCCCTTAATTTTTAGGAACCCGGTTGTTAGTCGATTGGCGGAACGCTTTTCCGGGGGTAATAATTCCTTCAAAAAAGTAATAAAAAAATTAGTCACATCAATCTACGACTGTTTGTAGGATGCTGCTGTGAGCAATTGGCTGTCGCGTTTTGACCACAAGATATACAGCAAATTCATTTTACAGTATATTCTTTGTAGCGCTTTGAGACGAGATAAGGCACTATATCAAATGCAAGGATTATTATTATTAAATTATATTTATGAATTTGCTGTTTTTCTTCAGGGTGTTCAAAGTGTGCGTTCCTGGATGTCAGAGAGTAACACAGTTACCAATATCGAAGTTCAACCTGCTCAAGATATTATCAACTGGGCCACTTTCACACTTAAAGAAACTGTTAAGAGCCAATTTGAAGGCCCTGCAACACACTTCCAAGGATATGGTGAGATTTGCTTCCGCTGTTGTCAATATGACATTGTATCAGATATTATTTAGCGTCTGGGATATCCACTACAGAACCCTTCACAGTGAAGCTTTTCATTCAGTTGAGTCTAACACATAGAACCGTACAGGGTAACCCAATTAAGCTTTAACAATTTAAGTATCCAATTAGGATATTTGAAACCTTCACCTCTAACCAGGCTTCCAGCATGGTCAGAAATTCTCATCTGGTGAATGATACTGCTTGAAGTCATACATTTTTGTTAGACAACTAAGGTTTCTTTTAAGATGCTGGAAAGAATACCTTTTTTGGTGCTTCATCTCAAGAGGAAGAAAATGACACAGAGAGAAAGAAAGAGAGAGAGAGAGACAACACTTTAAGATGCATGTCATGAAACACTATCATTTGTGTAATAGTCTGTTATGGCATTGCTTTAAGTTAACTTTCTTTGTCTCTTTGCACAGTTGAAAGTTATGACTGGCTAATAAATGGGACCGCGGAGGAACGTGTGCAAAACTTCATAGAAGAGGATCATACATTTGAGGAATTCACTACGGTAAATTTCCAATGTGAATAATAGTCCAGGGAGCCTAATTTTACAATTGTAGTTTAAATGCCTGATTATTTGAAAATGTGGGTTTGACTTCAAAGAAAATTTAAAGGAAGAAAAATAAATAGGGGAACAAAAAGTTGTGTCAAAAGTAGTATTAAACCATTCTTAAATTCTGCCAACCTGTCCGTTCCCTATGCTTAGCCTGCTTCATGTCTCTGCTCACCCCACCATCAGCGACCAGGCCTTCAGTTTTTCTGCCCCCATTCTCTGGAATTCCATCACCCCTTCCTTTGCCTCCTTCAAGACCATCTCTTGATAATTCCTTAGGTCATCTTCCCATCCCTAACTCGGAAACAAACTCTTCACTGTGCAGGACCTTGGGAAGTCCACCTGACCTGAAAGGTGTTATATAAATGCAATTTGTGTTGTTATATTAACTTGTTAATAGCATTTATTTGTTTGCAGAAAAAAAAACTAGAAATTGTGCTTTTATATCTTGGTAAATCAATTATTTCTCTTTAAGTTTCTGGAAGAATTTCGTAGTTTGGCCAAAGAGATCATGAGTCTGCCAAAGGTGGCTCACTTTGACATGGTACGCTTGGACTGTGAAGACTTAAAACAAGGCCTGTCAGAAAAAGCAAAGAGCTTTGCAGAAATTCTTTTGGATAAACTGGTTGCAAAACACAGAGAAGAAAATGAAAAGTAAGTCAGTGCAAGAATTTCACTGGTGACAAAAAAGTTGTAGCAATTATTATGATTCCAGGACTTTTTTTTCGCGTTGAAAGCATTTTTCAGAAGTCAAATTTCCTAACAAGTGTTTAAACAAAATCAAAGTGCTTGAACCCTCAATAGCATGGCAGAACAATCAGCCCTGGGGCTAATGCCATGGATTGTGAGGTTATTCCTGCTTTAACAACAACAACAACAACAAGATTACATTTGTACAGCTCCTTCCACGTCGGGAGGATGGCCCAAGGTGCTGGATAGATTACAGCATTTCAAACCTGGGTTGGGGAAGGGAAGGGGGGTGGCTGATGGCATGGTCGAATAGGAGGGTCTTGAGGCGGGACCTGAAGGAGGCTAAGGAGGGGGCGAGGCGCAGTGACTGGGGGATGGAATTTCAGAGGTTGGGGGAGAGTGGCAGAAGCTCTTCCGCCAATGGTGGGGCGGATGGGTCGGGGGACGTGGAGCAGGCCAGAGCCAGCTTTAGGCTTTATTACAGGGAAGGGTTGTTGCTTCCACACAGAGCAGAAGGGAAATTTTGATCCAGACAGCTTCTGACAGCAATTTTAGGCACCGTTCTCGGAGAATGTCGGAGATTGTCAGATTATTGGTCATGAAAAAAACACAGATACCTTAAGGAACGTCCTCCCAACATGAAAGGCACTATACAAATGTAACTTTGTTTGGTTGTATGTGGGGTCCATTATTCTGACCAAAGATTATGTGCACATGGGACCTAACTTATGGAAGGAGAAATTACAAATATATAGTTTGAAAACTTGTTCACAGAAAATTTGAATTGATTATTATTATCACAATGTGTAATAGTCATTTGTTTCATTGTTTTGACAAAGTACAAATTAATGTTTCAATTGCACATTTATTACACAATTTTCCTCCTAGCCTAAAGACCTCAAATTCTTATTCCATATAATAATAATCCTTGCATTTGATATAGCGCTTTTCACATCTTCTAGACGTCCCAAAGCGCTTCACCGAATATACTGTAAAGTGAATTGACTGTATATTTGTATATTTGTAAAAATACATATGATTCCATGCTGAAAAATGTAACCGTGGTTATGATTTTTATTTTTGTAGCATTTGTCAGGAGTTTGAAAATATCATAGAAAGAGCTTTGACCATCCCGGAAAATACAAAGGAGATGATTGACACCATGAACTTTGTGGAGAATGTGAAAGAGATAGGTATTGTGGAGCTTAATAAAAGAATCAAAGTAAGTGTTGAGAAATCTGGAATGATACAGCTCTTATTTCAGCATTATCCTGATGAGGGTTTGCCTTTGAGAATATCCCAGTAACGCTGTCTTACTCATCAGTTGTGCTACATTGAAATAAACATCTGACTATATAGAAACTACCCAAACATTGAAAACAGCAATGCAATAAATAATAACTTACCAAATAGCTTTTCAGCCTGCAACATAGTTGCTGCAATATAATTTGTGTTCATCCTGGGAGGTGCAATAAAATGCAAATTAACAAATACAAATAGTGCTTCTGTTTATAATCCCTTTATCTCAAGAATTTTGTAGACAAAGTGTATCGGCATTTCTCGGGGTTCAGGTCACATGGTCCTTTGACAATTTGGGGCCTGGAAAGTTTGGGAGGGGAGGGATTTGTCTGCGGAGACAACCCTCGTTCCCAAAGTGGGATGTTTGGGTGTAATTGGGGTTAATGGGGGTGAGCAGCCTGACTTCGCTCAGCAATAAACAAAATATCTCTGAACATACATACATTAGTAGTTAGTGTTACCATGTACTTCAAACTGACTGGGCAACTACAAAGAAATGTTCCATATTTTGGGGACGAAATACTCAGTTGACAGTCAATCGGGTGCCAGTCCAGCTCTGTGAAGCACTTTGAAACATCCTCCCATCGTGAAAGACGCAATACAAAAGCAACTTGTTTATTATTATTATTATGATTACTATTATTATAATAAATCTGTGATCAAACAGCTATGCTGAATACATCAAGATTTTGAAATGATCCACTGCTTATAATAATAATAATATCTGAGTTTAAGTTGAATTTATGCTTGACATTAAATCCCAAATCAGAACCTGTTAAGAATTTAATACATACTTATTTCACAGAAGTGTTATCAAAGAATGAATTACCTGCTGGATGTGTATTTATTCACACCTAAAGACCTGGAATTACATGCCACAGTGCTCCTTTGGCCCAAAAATATCAATCCTGTTTTTGACAAGAATGATGAGGTAAATGGCAACTCTATGATCCTGTTGGTAGCCTGTCATTGTCACAGTTAAGATGCTTTTTTTCGCTCACCTTCACCTATTTGGAATTCAATTTCTTTGAGACCTCATAACTAATATGGTTTGTTTAAGAGTGTAAAGGATTGTGGGAATGCTAATAACTGGTGACAGGAGCGTTCTCTTGATCCTTTGCAGCTCTTCATTAAAAATATGGGGAGGGTATAGTATATGATATAAGATATTGGGAGAGTATGATACATGATATAAGATATTGGGAGAGTACGACGTATGATATAAGATATGGGGAGGGTATGATATATAATGTAAGATATGGGGAGGGTATGACATATGATATAAGCTACACTGATGGAATCAGCTGGGGGTGTGATGATACTAGGATATAATAAAAAATAATCCGTATTATCTTAATACCTTGAAGTGTGGAACAAGGAAAGGAGATGAAGCTCACTTCCTCTGCAATCATACAACATGTACCACTAGGAAGCCGATGCTCGAGGAATAGTCAAAATGTAATTTGAAACGTTTCACTGATGGTTATGGATCTTTTCTTAGTGTCTATTTCATAAACAGACTAGTCCCAGCAAATGTAAAGAGATTATAAAGAGATGAACTTTCTAACATAATTGAGTTGGAAGCAACATTGATGTATGGTAGGGAACTTATACAATGTTCTAAAACCTGAACAAAGTCATTCAACACTTTGAAACAAGCTCAGATTTGCACACAAGTTTAGATAATGCCATTATCGGAGTGCCTGATTTCAGGATGTACAGTGTTCAGAAAGAGTGCACTTGAGATCAGGGATATAGTAATCATCTGTTAGTGAATTGGATAGTTTACGGAAATTAAAAAACTTGTTTAATTAAGAAGTGTTCGCGGACAGAAACACAGCTTGTACTGATTTATTTTAATTTATGTTGAATGATGATTGAAATTTCTTATAAATTTGTGATCACTTAACAATCTATTTTTGCGTCTCTACAGTTGTTTGAGAAAGCAAAGCTTAAGGGTGAGACTGAGTTATTGGCGAAGCGGGAGAAGGTGACACTGGAACTGGAGAAGCTCTCCCGCCGCACAGAGGAGTTTGCGGAGTGTTCGGAGCTCGATCTAATGCAGCAGGTTAGAGAAATACTTGAATAGTAATATTCACCTTAAGAATTTTTTGTAGCATAAGTAGTGTTGTTTTTCAAAGGAGATTATTCAGAATGTTTCTATTATATTCCTTATTTTTTATGTCTTAAAAATAAGCATCTTACTTGAAACAAATTAAACTGCTGCAAGAATCTTTTTAGTCCCATTGGATTTCTGGGAAATTCAGTAAAATAAGATTTTATCCAGTTTTATGCAATATGCAGTACATATTAATTTGCAATGAAAAACAAATATGGTTCATTAGCTGCAAAAGTTGTTTGTGTCAGTATTTGACATTGGGGCTTCCTCGATGGAATTTTAGAGATTATGGATTCAACATGGCAGAATTCACAGATGTGAACCTGTGCAATCCACTGTTTGGCAAAGGTTCCACCCGAGGAGCTCCTCTGGATCACATATTTGTCATTGTTTCAATACCAGTACAATTGTACTGTATTTCTAAAATGTATTATTGGCTTTCTACAGTATGTGAATGATGTGCGCACAGTGCAGAAGAGAGTACAAGAGGCAGAGGATGTGATTGCATACATCAACGGAGAGGAAGTTCTCTATAAATGGGATCAGTCCACTTATCCATTCACTGATATGATCAAAGTTAATATTGAACCTTACCAGAAGCTCTTTGGTGTGGTCCTGAAATGGCAACGGACGGAGAAGAAGTATGTAGACTGTAGCGTTCTTGCGAGTAATTGTTAAAAATCATGCAGAAGGTCAGTGACTGTTGAAGTTCCACGGAGTCTGTCCTGAGTTACCTGCTCAGACTATTAATAAATGATATGAAGGAGATAATTTCTTACAGTATTATAAAATTTGCTGCTATGCCAAATAATGTGGCTAGGGAATTAGTTTAAAGGAGATTGTTCATAAGGGGGTCTTACCAATTAAGTGGATGGCTTCAGGTTAGTTGCTAGATTCTATTATGGGTGATTGTGAAGGCGATACACATTAAAATAGGAAACATACAGTAACTTGTATTTTTCTCATGTTGAAACATTTCAAAACACTTCATGGTAATAAAACATAATGAAGAAAATTCAAGAAGAGAGGTAAAAAAAACTTACAAAAGTGTACAGTCAATGCTGAGCAGTTTGGATACAGCTAAAACAATCTGTTCGACCCTGATTTAGTCCCAGCACCTGGGGATGTCCTCCCGACATGAAAGGCACTATACAAATGTAATTTTGTATTGTATTGTATTTACGTCTTGTTGGGTTCATTTGTGGAATATTGTGCACAACTTGAGCACCTTGTAAAGCTTCCAAACACTATTTTCCAGAGTGATTGGTCATTCACCTCATAGTTGTGCATCCACAATATAATCTCAGTGTTATTGTACAAAATGTAAATAACTTTGTGTAATTTGGTTTGTCAAAATAAGTCTGTTTTATTATTTGAGGTTTGGCTTTGTGATTTTTTTATCCATCCTGACTATTTCTTGAACCATTGTAATTATGCTATCTTTTCTTAAGGTGGATGGATGGAACATTCTTTGATCTGAATGGGGAGACCATGGAGACAGAAGTGGATGACTTCTTCCGTGAAATTTTTAAGATGTTGAAGTTCTTCCAGCAGAAACAAAAGAAAGCAGAAATGGAGAAAAAGAAGGCAGCTCCTCGTCGCAGGCTGGGTGAGGAAGAGGTGGTGGAAGAAAAGAAGGACAGCCCATCTGCTGTGATGTGTTCTCAAGTAATGTCTCAAATTAAAGAATTCAAGGTACAAGAAATTATGCATGATATAAAATGATAAAATCCTGGAAATCAGACTGTCTCAGACAACAACAAAAATACATTTGTATAGTACCTTTCACATCGGAAGGATGTCGCAAGGTGCTGGACAGTCATTTTCCCTCAATTATTAATCATCTCTTTTAATTATTATTTAAGAATAGATTTGAATTACAATATTCGATGGTCTAGTACTACAGATATTAGGAACATAGGAATTGGAGTAGACCATTCAGCCGCTCGAGCCTGTTCCGCCATTCTATTAGATCATGGCTGATCTGTACCTCAACTTTAGCCGAAGTGCATTTTGGGCTAATTTGTGGAGATAATGAACTGCACAGAAGAAATCAAAAATATATTTGACTCTTCTTCTATGGAATGGTACCAAATGACAGCTATATTAATCTGGACCAGCCAACATTTCACAAAATGAATAGCTACTCTGTTTTTAATGAATGTTCGAAGCAGCTAAGTCACGTGAAAGTTGGTAATAATTCAGATCTGGTCTGCTTTTGATTCCTGTACTTGGCACCTGATACACACAGATGTTTTTAGTCTGTCACATGTGAAAACTCATCACCCTGTTTAAGATTACAAGATTAAGAATTCCACATATGTACACCACTACACATGGAAATTTCTCTGTGTGGAATGTGCACTCTTTCCCAGGTGGGACACACCCTGCTTATCTAATTCCATAATGTATTGGGTACAGGTTGATGAGCTAATGCTTGGGGACTCCAGAGGGCGAGTTTGGATACTGCTGAAGTCTTACCAGCTGAAACTGTAAGGCTTGCCATTGAAATCTCTGTCTGGCAAGACTCCTGCTCTGTGTCCAGGACACTCGATCCGTTACGACTTTGGCTTTCAGGGTTAATAGGAGTTGAGTGGGAAGAATGCCTGCTCTCAGTGACTGATCTGCCCTTGCAAATCCTGACAATTGCCTGCCATCAGCAATGTTCTGGTCTCACTTGGCTCAGGAACCAAACTACTACCAATTAGAGTTATCTTAGGTATATATTATCACAATACTGTATCAACTTAAAAATCTATTGAAAGGACCGTTGTCTTGGCTACTTCATTGAATCAGTTTTCAGTGGGTCACATCCAATTTCCAATGTTATTGTAATGTTTGTTTATGCAATAATTGTCAAATATATTATTTAGTTACTTATGGGCATATAGAAATTGAAAATTGAAAGTTAAACAATTTATAATCCATTTATGTTTATAGTTCTGTTCCCAATTAACTAATTAAAACATACTAATTTTTCCATTTGGTTTGAATCTCTAGGAGATTATCCCTCTTGTATCTATACTGTGTAATCCAGGTATGAGGGCTCGGCACTGGTCACAGATGTCTGAGATTGTAGGCTTTGATCTGACCCCAGACTCAGGAACAACTCTGCGAAAAATGCTGAGAAAGAATCTCACACCATACCTGGAAAGGTTTGAAGAAACCAGTGCTGCTGCCAGCAAGGTAATTGTCTTCCAAATTGCATATGTGATAAGGCGCTGCATGAAATGCAAGGATTATTTATATTGAAAACTGGAATACGGTTGAAAAATACTGCCACTTTATCCCATAACCATTCGTGCTTTTATGTGTGTTAGTTATTTCACAAATAATTTGCAATTATCTCTGCACACAACAACAATTTGCATTCGTATAGCGCCCTTCACGCGGAGTAGCATCCTGGAGTGCTTCGACACAATATCCCCATGAAACATAAATCCTCAGAATGTTTCCTTCCATATTGATATTGAAAATTAATTGTACGTAAATACATTTATTTTAAATCGATAGAAGAAAATAGATTGAAACTTGGATTATTTCTTGCTTAAAAAATAAGATGCTTTTACTTTTTAAAAAAAGGAATTCTCATTGGAAAAAACCATGAATACTATGGTGGAGGTCTGGGAGGATATTGCCTTTGGTACTTTGGCCTATCGTGACACTGGTGTCTCAATCTTAACAGCAGTGGATGAGATTCAAACAATACTCGATGATCAAATTGTCAAGACACAGACAATGAGAGGTTCACCATTCTCTAAACCATTTGAAAGAAAAATAAAGGTATATAGAGTTGCAAGTAGGAATTACAGATCCAGATTAATGAATATGAATATTCTAATTGATAGATTGTGACACAGATTAACTTCCACATTGCCAATATAAAAATACCCACTTGCATTACTAATTAATTTTATCATGGAAAGTGCTTTGGGACATTTATTTTATGTGAAAGGTGCTGTAGAAATGCACATTATTATTGCTTCGATTCATTTTGTTATGAACAAAAAGGGAGCATTACAGCCAAATCAAATTTTTTGTCTAATAATTTGGAATGGAAAGAATTATGTTTCTAAGATAAATCACAATGATTATTTTAGAAGCTCCTATCACTACTTTGCCCTTCAATTAAGCAGAAAGCATTAAAATATATTATTTGAATACAGATATAATGTACTCTATTGCCTATCTATGTTTTAAGGATTGGGAAGAACGCCTGATCAATATTCAGGAAACCATTGATGAATGGCTGAAAGTACAGGCTCAGTGGCTTTATCTAGAACCCATCTTTTCTTCTGAGGATATAATGCAACAGATGCCAGAAGAAGGGCGCCTTTTCCAGACTGTTGACAGGAACTGGAGAGACATCATGAGGCACTGTGCTAAGGACCCGAAGGTATAACCTGATGGTATAATTCTTCACATCAAATGTGCAAAAGATCCCTAACTTGTTTTGACTTGTAGATATTTGATTTTCTAATTTATTCCTGTTCCTAGGTCCTGGCAGCGACGTCTCTGACAGGTTTGCTACAGAAGCTGCAGGACTGCAATGGCTTATTGGACAGAATCATGAAGGGACTAAATGCTTATCTGGAGAAAAAACGTCTCTTCTTTCCTCGGTATAATACATATTATTATCAAACTCGCAGAGCCGGCCGTAAGTTCTTAATATGTACATCATTTACTTGTCTTAGGTGAACAAGTAAATCACAATTGTTTTGGGGAAAAAATTATTTGGACATTCAACTGTTTCTAAGGTTTGGTATCAATCTAACAAGTCAGATGAACTTCCTCCTTAAATAATAACCAATGTTTCATTCACATAGTACACCTTTAACTAATTAAAAAAACAATTTCCGAAATTATTAACTGCTAAAGCTATTTTGTGAAGCTCCCAAGTTGATCAAAGGAGATATGGAAAGGAACTGACTTATTGTTCTCTAACCTACTCGACCTTAAATGAGACACTGCTCAGAGTGGAAAATATTGGTCAGGATATGACAATATAGACCACCCAACTCCTGAAAATTTGGGAAGTATATTGGCTCAAAAATATACGCTCCACAGAAAAGGTAGTGAAAAAAGGCAACAGACTATCTATCGAATGCAATAAAAAATGTTTAATGATCTTAATAGGGTCTGCCTACCTTATCTAGTTTAGCTTATGGCTTCAGCCTTATTTAATAATCTACTAATATTGACACCAGAAAATTGCCCTATTGTTCAAAGCCATTTATAAATGTAACTACAAGGAGTGTGAATTTAATGAAGGTGCAAAATTAAGATAGAAGTTTTGGTCAAGCTTATACTAACATCTTAGTATAAGTAAGCAAGCAACAAGATGAAAAGTGAATGTGGGATAACCTTAAGAGGTAGTTTGCATGCTCACATCTGGTTAAATCATTCTTTTGAAATATTTGTGGCTGTAGCAACCTAACTTGTTATACTTAATGTTTCTAGGTTTTTTTTCTCTCTAATGATGAGATGCTAGAAATCCTTTCAGAAACTAAAGATCCACTGAGAGTCCAGCCCCACCTGAAGAAATGTTTTGAGGGAATTGCCAAACTGGAATTTCGACCTAACTTGGATATCAGCGCCATGTTCAGTAGTGAAGGTGAACGAGTGGAGTTAATTCAAATCATATCAACTTCTGAAGCTCGTGGCGCTGTTGAGAAATGGTTGATCCAGGTGGAAGATATCATGCTGAAAAGCACCCGTGATGTCATAGCTCGCTCACTACAGGTATTTATTTACTTTCCATTTTCCATCGATTGGATAAATGTAATTACATTGTTCAGCACACAATCATCTAAATCAAAACATGATTGCATGATTTACAAGATCACTGTTTTCAATAAGCTATTGTTTAAATTTCTATGTTTTTCTGTTGAGCACAGTTCTCTCTCTAGACAGTTACATTGCAATTCTCTTTATTAATTTATGTATCTTATTTATAAAATGTTGTTTCTCGTGTTTTTTCAACAAACTTGATATCAAACTTCACTTTTTGTTTCTAAGTGTCTGACTGTCTCTCTTTCTATGTCCTCTTCAAGTATCTCTGTCTCAGTTGTAACAAATTCTAATACAAAATAGAACAGATCAATGAAAATGAAAGCAAATTGTGTTAAACTGTGAGTGGTACGGTGTATAATTGAATTGGAACTACTATTTTTAATAGGCTTATCCTAAGTATTCGAGAAGGGATTGGGTGATAAACTGGCCGGGTCAGGTTGTGCTTTGCGTATCCCAGATGTTCTGGACCAAAGAGGTGCACGAGGCAATCAGAAGTGGAGCACAGGTAAGCAAAGTGATCAGCATTGGGTAAAAAATGGCTACCTGGTGACAAAGTGCATTATATGCAGATGCAGGCGATTCCCAGTTCAATCTCTGGTCGGTTTCAGCCAGGGCCATGATAGCTTCTTTGCTCCATGGTAGAGCGGTAAATTTATCTTTTCCTGATATTTTCCAGAAAACACTTTTAAAAGTAGATACTGGAGAAAACTTTGCAAATTTATGTAATTTTATGGATGCTTGAATAGCAGAGAGCAAACCTAATGATGAACAGAAATATAATTTCGAATGATCCTAAATGAGCATTGAAAGGAATGCTCTGAGATAAAATCCTACTTTAACTTTATCCTCAAATATTCATCTGAGAAATTCACTGCAGTTTCAAATGCTGGTTAGTTAATATCATGCAGAGAATTACAATAGGCCTCAGCAGGTTGGGGGCTGGGGCTGGGAATTGGGGCAGGAGCAGGGGCTGGTTGATGGGAACAGATGAGCTGGGATCTTGCTCCTGATTGCCACACAATCACATCTTGCTACAAGGTGCACATCTATGGGCATCAGAGGAGAACAGAATTGTGTGATTCTCTGTGTTTGAGCTGCCTAATGCCTAATTAAAACTCACACAGGCAAGATACCCGAGGCTAGCTGAACCATTCCCTCACAAGATTCAGTGTCAGTTTAATGAGGATGAAAAGAACATTTTCTTCTTAACTAAGGAATAAAGCAGCAATGTCAGGCCGGGAATAGATTGCCTGTTTACCATGTTGGTTAGTGAATAATATACTTCTATGAGAGAGTCAAAATTATACTCAGCTGAATGAATTGCAGAATCTGATGATCCTCTTGAACTTTCAAGAATGGTGATTAACCATCTGTGGGTTTGTTATGTTCCTTAATAGGGTCTCAGCAACTACAGTGATAAACTTCATGAACAGCTGAATGATATAGTGCAGCTGGTGAGAGGAAAACTTTCTAAACAGACACGTATAACTCTTGGTGCGCTCGTAACTATTGATGTACATGCCAAAGATGTTGTTACAGAAATGATTGCACAAGGTATTTTGTTAGTTATTAGTGAACATGTATATTATGAAGAGACAAAAATCTTCAGATAATCAATATGTTGTCGTTTGTGTAACTCATTAAATTTAACACATTCTTATAGGTGTCTCAAGTGAGGCTGATTTTCAGTGGCTTGCTCAACTTCGATACTACTGGAAAAATGAAAATGTGCGTGTACAGATTGTTAACTGTGATGTAAAGTATGCCTATGAATATCTGGGTAACTCCCCTCGACTGGTCATCACCCCATTGACAGACAGGTGCTATCGAACTTTGGTAAGATCTTAGATACATGTGTGTGTTTTGGGCAGTTTTTCTCCTCAATGTTGTTCCCTCACGTCCTCTCTAATCATGTAACATGAACCTCCCCCCCCAGGGCAGATGAACTTCTTCCCTGGGGATGAATGAACTTCTCTTTCCCACCCCCCCGAATAATCTGAAATATATACTAGTCATCCACAAAATTTATCATTTAATGAGGATTTGAAGACAGATTATCTATTTGGCAGATTGGAGCCTTTTTTCTGAATTTGGGTGGAGCTCCTGAAGGACCTGCAGGGACAGGCAAGACAGAGACGACTAAAGATTTGGCCAAAGCCCTCGCTGTCCAGTGTGTTGTCTTCAACTGTTCAGATGGACTGGACTATCTGGCTATGGGCAAGGTATTTCATACACAAAAATCAATGTGTAATATCCACTAGTTCAACTGTGTTAAGATTGATTGTTGCATTTAGCAAGATTAGCAGAAGGGAACAGATAACCAAACTCTTGCTAATGGCTGGAAGACATGTGTAAGGATATGAGTAAACCATCTTCCCCCCCAAAAAAAACACTTTCTCTTATTTGTGTAATGGGAGCGTTACTACACTTTAAGCTCATTGGGCAAAGAACTATGTCAACTGGACATAATAAAGCACTATATCAAATGCAAGTATACATGTCTAATTGTTTTTTCATCTCTCTGCAGTTTTTCAAAGGGTTGGCCTCTTCCGGTGCCTGGGCGTGTTTTGATGAATTTAATCGTATTGAGCTAGAAGTGTTATCTGTGGTCGCTCAGCAGATCCTTTGCATTCAAAGAGCAATCCAAAGCAATCTGGAGTACTTTGTCTTTGAGGGGACCGAGCTCAAGCTCAACACTAACTGCTTTGTTGCTATTACAATGAATCCAGGTTATGCAGGCCGCTCAGAATTGCCCGACAATTTGAAGGTATAAGATTTTTTTAATGCAATTTAAAAAAAAGTGTTGCTTATTTCCTCTCCATTTTTGTTGAAAAGGTTTGCTGAATAATGTGCCTCCTTAGGCCAACTGCTGGGTGGACAACTTACACCTTGGCCTTGTCCCCAGAGTGAATGTTCTTGTGATTATGAAGAATGTTATAGCCCAACAGTGATGATGGGTGTTTATTTCAATTTAGCCTCATTGTTTTAGAAGTACAATCTCTACACCATAAAACAGTACTATTTTGCAGAATATACTGTGCTTCATTCTCAAAACACTGCTATTTCAGGCTGCCTCATTGCAAACCATGAAAATCATAAATATTGTGACTATTAATCTACGATGACATAATTACAATATTATCTTTCCGAAGTAAGTCCTTTAAACCAGTATCATACCCATAGCCTTTGAATAATGTAATATGCTTTCAGGTTTTGTTCCGAACAGTGGCTATGATGGTTCCCAACTATGCACTGATAGCAGAACTCTCCCTTTACTCTTACGGGTTCCTCAATGCCAAGCCATTGTCCGTGAAAATAGTGATGACTTACAGACTGTGTTCAGAGCAGCTTTCATCTCAGTTTCACTATGATTATGGAATGCGGGCAGTAAAAGCTGTTTTAGTTGCAGCTGGAAACCTAAAGCTGAAATTCCCTATGGAGAATGAAGATATTCTGGTGAGCCTGACACAAGCCTTTTTCTTTAGAAATAATTAAACGTAATTAGCTTCAAACACAATAGTACTATGGTTTTCTGATGAACAGTAAAACGATTATTTTCGGATAAATAAATTGAGTGCCTGAAGTGACCTTCTGACTATTCTGGACGAGAGACAACTTTCTTCAGCTCAACGGGCGAAAAACCGAGGCCCTCCTGATTGGCTCACGTCAGCGCCTCCGCACCTCAGGCGCCGACACCATCAGCATCCAAGGCTGCACTCTCCACCTCTCAAAGCCAGTCAGGAACCTCGGCGTTTTGTTCGACCCTGAGCTGTCCTTTCTCCCTCACATCCGCACCACAACTGGCACCGCCTTCCATCACCTCCGGAACATCACCAGACTACGGCATTACCTCACCCCTCATGCTGCTGAAACCCTGGTCCACGCCTTTGTCACCTCAAGGCTGGACTATGGGAACTCTCTCCTCGCCGGCCTTCCCGCCACCTCCCTCCACAAGCTGCAGGTCATTCAGAACTCTGCAGCTCGTGTACTGTCCCGCACCAGGCTTCGCGACCACATCACTCCCACCCTCGTTCGCCTCCACTGGCTCCCCATCCCCCAGAGGATTGATTTCAAGATCCTCATCCTCACCTACAAGGCCATCCACGGCCTTGCTCCCTCCTACCTCTCCAACCTACTATCCCCCTACCTACCTGCCCGTACCCTCCGTTCCTCCGGCTCCGGTCTGCTCCAAGTCCCCCGCCCCAACCGCCCTACCATCGGTGGCCTTCAGCCTCTCAGCCCCGAGGCTCTGGAACTCTATCCCCCAGTGCCTTCGCCGCTTCCTCCCTCTCCTCCTTCAAGGCCGGTCTCAAAACCTTTCTCTTTGACCGAGCCTTCAGCTCCCCTCTCGACTCTCTTCCCCCTCCTCGCTCCCTCCCTTCCCTCCCCTCACCCTGACCATTTCCCCCCTCCTCGCTCCCTCCCTTCCCTCCCCCTGACCATTTCCCCCCTGCTCGGGTCATGACCCAACTGTGCAGCGCCTTGGGACGTCCTCCTGACGTGAAAGGCGCTTTATAAATGGAATCTTGTTGTTGTTGTTGTTGTTGTATTATTTTTATTTCCCCCTCCCTTTCGGAATTATGTGGGTCCATTCAGCTCCTTCTCTGGTAATCAACCCAGTTAAAATTGGAAACATGGCATTTCAAAAATAAACGTGTGTCTGACCAAATAAAGAGAATAATTCCTCTTCACTTGCTGCCTGGGTTGAACTTAACTTAGTACAAGAGACCAATAGGAAACCAGATGACTTCCTTATTACAGCTTTCCAGAGAGAATGCAGCCAAGTGATTTCAGAATGCCTTTATGCAGAAACTTAGGATAAAAGGCCACCAATTAAGTGTGTGGATTTTGTTTACTTTTTGTATCAGTTAAAGAAAAATAAAGCAAACATTTGTACTCTTTCTCGGTTTTAGTCAGTTAGAATGTTAGCTTTTAGTTTTATATCTTTGCGTGTTTTGAGTGTGTTATAAATAATCAACATTTGAACAGTAAATAATAGATTTAATATACTTGGCTCAACAACAGTCCAGAATCTAAATCCACAAACATATTTTGATGTAATTAATTTTCCAATATTTAGTACATTTTGAAAATAATAACTTGCGTGAAACATGCTGTTTTGTCTTTAGTTGCTGCGTTCAATCAAAGATGTGAATGAACCCAAGTTTCTGTCTCATGACATTCCATTGTTTGCTGGTATCACCAGTGATCTATTTCCAGGCATTGAACTACCCGTGGCTGACTATAAGGTAGTGAAATTATTTTTTTGATTGTTTTGTTCTTATGTTATGTAACTTGAGTCAAACTTCCGCAGAGTTATTTTTGGTGTTAGCATATTGTATTGGTGAAAATTCTAATGAATGTTGCTTTTTTAACATCTATTTAGATTCTTTCTTACATACACTTTTTAAAACATCATTACTCTATTGTTAGGTTGCTCTTTCCATCCCCATCACCCCAACAATGTCAAACACCATTCCAGATTGGGGTTCAGCAGATCCTGTCCTGCAATTTGTTTCCTGGAGATGCAAGAAAATGGTTTGAAGTGACCTTCCAACTATTATTATTTTTATTTCCCCCTCCCCTTGGGAATTATGTTGGTCCATTCAGCTCCTCCTCTGGTAACCAACCCAGTTAAATTTGGAAACATGGCATTTGAGGTGTTTCAGACATAAATGTGTGTCTGACCGAATAAAGAGAATAATTCCTCTTTACCTGCTGCCTGGGCTGAACTTAAATTAGTACTAGAGACCAATAGGAAACCAGATGACTTCTTTATTACAGCTTTCAAGAGAGAATGCAGCCAAATGCTTTCAGAATGCCTTTATGCCTAACTTAGGATAAGGATAGTCTAAAGTCCATTTGGATTATTTCCAAATTCACTTTTTAAAGCAGAATATAATACACCAACTCAGAGCATCACTATTCTAACATCAAATGCATATCAATATCTGTTTTATTCAGGAACAATGTGAAATTTATATCCTTTATGCTCAGAAAATGAAACAGTATCTGTTGGATTCTTTTGTTTTAGCTTTTCCTTGAATGTGCTGTGGAATGCAGCGAGAAACAGAATATTCAACCAGTGAAGGCTTTCCTGGATAAAATGATTCAGACGTATGAAATGATGATTGTCAGACACGGGTGAGTGATTCAGCTTTCTGTGAAGCGTTTGAAGTAGCCCATGAAGTAGTTTCAAAATGTACCTTTCTGACTGTGCTTTAGGTCGTCTGCCCCTATCCCATCCCTTCAGCTTCCCCTCCCAGCTTGAATGGCAGGCAATAATGTTAAGCACTTTGAGACATCCTCTCAATATGAAAAGAGCTGTAAGTTGATGGTAAATTATACAGTTATGTTATCATTGTGTATATATGAATTGACTCTTAAAATAGAGCTTTGTCCAGTATAAGAATTACATTTTATGATCTTTTTTGAAAAGTTTGGTCACCTGGATTTTGTGTTTTTCACTGAAACTGACTTGGAAAATAAATTCTAAATGATATTTCTCATTAGTTTTATATATATTATATATATATTATATTTATGTATGTACGCGTGTGGGTATATATATATGTTTGTGAGACTTTCCTGTCTTGGAAGGTGAACATCCGATATGTGAGGCTTGGCAGTAAATGACGACAGTGTTGGTATTTAGGGTTAGGGTTACCATAAGCCTGACCTTGGTGTACACACAAAGTACCTTCTTGCAGGGAGCGGTTAATGGATAATAAAGATAAGTGGAAATCCTGTTAGATTTTCCCATACCAACTTAAGGTACCGAGGTCAGTTCTAAAGCCTCTGATGCCTTGTTGGCTTAACTCAGCTATGATAAATAAAATACTAGCTCTCTTCATAGAACTATTCAGGCTAGGGGTTTGCAGGCACAGCCGTCTTCCTCAAAAACAAATCTAAAAAAGGACTTGGTAGATAGATATTCCAACAGTCAGATTTATTTGTGTCATTTACATCTATTAGATTCATGCTCGTTGGAGAGCCTTTTTCTGGAAAAACCAAAGTTTTGCATGTGTTGGCAGACACCTTGACAGTAATGAATGAACGTGGTTTGAATGAGGAGGAAAAGGTTGTTCATCGAACTGTGAACCCCAAAGCAATTACTATGGGTCAGCTCTTTGGGCAGTTTGACTTGGTCTCTCATGAGGTACGTGACTTATTATGTGATTACATTTTTGTAGAACAGATCATTTCTGTAAATTACTAGCCAAGGTACCAAAGAAAAATCATGTTAGACTGTGTCTACCCCATGCCACCATTGGCGGACAAGCCTTCAGCTACTTCCTAACCCCTGGAACTTCTTCCCTATGTATTTCTGCCTTGCCCTTTATTGGTCTTTAAATTCAGCTTCAAACCGCACTTCTTCAGCCGCACCTAGGGCTGCCTCACCCTTCCGCCGACTACCGTGCTCAGCATCTAAGTTGCCATTTTGAAGTGCCCTGAGATGAAATGAAAGCCCTGCCATCAGTGGCCGGGCATTCAGCCTCTCTGCCCCCACCCTCTAGAACTCCATCCCACGGTCCCTTGGCCTCGCTTCCTCCCTTGCCTCCTTGAAAGCCGGTCTCAAGTCCCTTCTCTTCGACCGTGCCTTTGATCTCCCTCCCACCTCTCTGCCTTCCCTCACCACTACACCACCCCTCCCCCATGCTCCCGACGTGAAAGACACTCTTTAAATGTAATTTTGTTGTGCTGTTGATGTTGTCCTATCTGATGCGCTCTATATAAATGCAAGTTGCTGTTGACCTTAATTTTTGCTCTTTGCTGGATTTCTAGTGGACTGATGGCATTGTTGCAAACACCTTCCGAGAATTTGCTTCTGGAGAAACTCCAGACCGTAAATGGGTTATCTTTGATGGACCTATTGATACCCTATGGATTGAAAGCATGAACACCGTGCTGGACGATAATAAGAAGGTAAAATACTATTTTAGCAAAAAGATAAGCTAAAATTGTTATGAGTTCTAAATACTTTTAGGATTTCATGGATAACAATTGGACTTCAGTATACAACTTGTAAGTTTTACAGTATTATTTTGTACTGCTGCGTCATAACATGCTAGTTTTTACAGGATCAATAAATGGAATAGTATTTAAAAAAAAAGACTAAATAGATAAGCTCCTCAAGGACATCGATCCGTCAAGTCCCCGTAACCCTGCTTGCTTTTTATCACCAGCTATGTTTGATGAGTGGAGAGATCATTCAGATGTCTCCCCAGATGAGCCTCATCTTTGAAACTATGGACCTTTCCCAAGCATCAGTAAGTTTTTATTTGTATATACAGTAGAAATATATTTAAAGATGGTTTGTTGATTTTAACCCAAATACTGATTTAGCAAAATGCATCTGAGAAAAGTAGATGTTATTTCTCAGCATCTCACTTTTTCCGTACTCCAGCCTGCGACAGTCAGTCGTTGTGGTATGATCTACCTAGAACCAGCCCAACTGGGTTGGATGCCAATTATAACATCTTGGCTTAAATGTCTTCCGGAAGCAATGCAACAAAAAGACATTCAGAACCTCCTGCAGGAGCTTGTCAACTGGCTCGTGGCTCCTGCACTCCTACTTCTTCGCAAACATTGCAAGGTATGTTTAATCTCCATCATTAACATTTCATTAAAATTGCAAAATGTATTTGAATGATCTTAAGCTGCAATAAAGTTATTATTTTTCAGGGGCTATACTAAAAAGGAAAACATCATCTGGTAGTTTTTTTTTAACATGAATGAATAGTGAAGTGAATTCTGAAACAATTTTACTGCTCATAACATTGCACCATAAACAAAACCACTTAACAATAAAAAGGTGGAGTTAATCAAATTGACTCTTAACATATTTACCAAAAAGATAATATTAGTTTAAAGTAGAACAAAATCTTACAAATAATCATGTTGCAATGAAGATAATACATTTTATTGGGATTTCAGTTCTACACAATTATTTTGATCTATAAATTCACCTTTTTTGTGTCTTGCTCACAAGGGTGATTGATAATTATGTTCTGTTCTCCGCCACAAGTATAACATTTGTGAAGACAGAAACATGGTCCCTTTTCTTGCATATCGATATCATATCAATCTATGATTTTGATTTGTTTGATCTGTTTACTTCAGTCGGATCTGTTTGAATTTTATTTAAACAGGATTGTTGTTGCAGTTATTTAATTATCAAATTCACAGCAATCCTCATAACGACTATTACATAACAGAAATTACATTTATGTCGCGTGTAGTTGCTGGATAATTAAAGAACACAATTATCTTGCTGATTCTGGATATAATCTTTATTTTATTTTATGGATTCAGGAACTGGTACCAACATCTGACAGCAACACCGTTGTCTCACTTACTCGTCTTTTTGAGATGCTTCTCGTAGACACAGTGAAGGAGGATTCCGATCGCAAGAATGTTCGTGTCTGGATAATGGTACAAGCTGTTTTTTTATGGGAAGAAAGTTTTTTTATGGCTAATTTCTTTCTTCTTTCTTTCTCTTTTGAGTTGTTCTCATACAACCTTCCCTAGTCAAGAAGCGGGAAAGTGACCAGCTTGGCCATGATTGGAATTGGCTTGTGGGGAATCTCCTCTGTCAAAACAATGCAGCTTTGTGTGAACAATTCTAAACGCCAGAGTTACGCAGTCACTTTTTATTCAGAAATAGCAATTCAAAGTATTCCACAAACAGTTAGCAGATAGTTTGACCTAAATTGTTACATTTACAACCAGTCGGTGTAAAATACAATTTTGTTGCTGTTACTAAAATTAGATATTCTGGGAGTTTTTAGTTACATGAAGTTACTTGGGATGCTGCTGAGAAGGTAGAACTATTTTAAAATCGCTCAATGGTGAAACTATGAAACCAACCTTCTTTACAATGTGCAATCATTTTAGTTTTGCAGGATTTGAGTAAAAACAGTAAACAGTAACCAAAGGCTGGAGGTGCAGTTTGAAAATAAAATAATTTAGAGGATTTTTTCAGACAAACATAATTGTTTAAACTTTAACAGTCTATGAAGGTCATCTAAATCCTTATGACTTGATTGCAACCTCTAATTGTCTTCAGTATTAAATCGTTGGCCTAACTCCCTGTCAAGGAATGATTCCCATTGTTCATGCTATTCTAATGACCTGAAGTATTCACCAACAGGAATCTTGTTAACCATGCACATCATTAAAGTGTGCTAAATTAGAGCACAGTCCCAATGGACAGAGATAGTTCTAGTATTAATGCTTGCTTGTTCAGATTCTTAACCATGACTCCATGTTATTAACAGGCCAGCTTTATTTTTTCCTTGGTTTGGTCAATTGGAGCAACTTGTGACCAAGATGGTCGAGTGAAGATGGACCAATTTCTGCGTGAAATTCTGTCTGGAAAAAATCCAGAGCATCGATTACCAGATGCGATAGGAAAATGGGAGTGTCCCTTTGATGACAAAGGACTTGTCTACGACTTCATGTATGAGGTATGACATTATTCTACTCAGAGGCGTACAGGTGAGACATCAGCCGGGTGGGTACAGGTGGGACATCAGCCGGGTACAGGTGGGACATTAGCCGCGTACAGGTGGGTCATCAGCCACGTACAGGTGGGACATCAGCCGGGAAACATGTATAACCATATTCTATCCTAAACAGGTGAAAATAATTAGCTTTATTCATTTCAAATTTAAATGTCATTAATGAACATATTTAATTGATTTAGATATGTATTTTGTATTCTGGAAGTTTAAAAATAAGATTTAAAATTTGCTAAAAGAATTGTATGTTGAAAGTCATTTAATATAAAAAATCAAGTTTTCACATGAAAGTTGTCATCAATATGAATCTATTTTTGTCAGTTGAAAGGCCGAGGACGCTGGGTCCACTGGACTGAAACGATTAAAAATATTAATCTGTCTGATAAGAAGATTAAAGTCCAGGACATCATAGTCCCCACTATGGACACGGTCAGATACACGTACCTCATGGACCTTTGTATTACAAATGGAAAGTAAGGAAACGTTCTTACGAAATGTTAAGTTCAGAATGTTAAGATTTTTTTAAAATTAGTTCTCAGCTACACCGAGAATCCCAAATAATGATCGATAGCTAGAAGATCATAATAATAAAATGTGTAGTTTTCAACATGACCCAAATTATCAGCTGCCACTCTCTCCTTCAGTATCGCTCTCTCAAAGCATTTCTAGAGTATATTACCATCTCACAATTTAGTCTATTTCGAACTATAATGCTGATAATCATTATATTTGATATAACACCTTATCCTGTCGTCAAAACTCTTCACAGGATATCCAGTAAAATGTAGTGAAGCCATATCTGTACATGAACACAGCAGCCAATTTGCACACTGCAGTGTCTCACAAACAAAAGAAGTGAATGATTAATTTTATCTAGGGGGTTGATGGCCTGGGACTCTGCTGAAACTCCCTTCTTTTTTTGGATCTTTAATGTTCACCTGAACAATGAGTTAAGACTTTGGTCTCTTCCGAAGAACAACACCTTTCATAAAACACTGTTCCTCCAGGATCACACTGGGTTGTCAACCTAAATTATCAGCTCAATGTCCCAACATGGGATTTGAACCCACAAACGTCTGACTTGGGGGACAAAAGTGAATCTGACACTATATCCATTTGAATGAGTCATTCTTTCCGTTGTCTTTGCTTGTATGTTTATTCTGCAAGTTGTTTATACAATTAGAAATATAGTTGTGGATCTATGTTGGTTTATAATTTATTCAAATTCCTAATAGTGTTTTTGACTTCTGTGCACAGACCATTGCTCTTTGTGGGTCCCACTGGTACTGGCAAATCAGTCTACGTCCAAGACAAACTAATGCACAATTTAGATAAGGAACTGTTCCTTCCTTTTTTCGTGAACTTCTCTGCACGCACCAGTGCAAATCAGACCCAGGTAAATCTATATACTAATAAAATGACAAAGTCTGTCTGCGCTTCAAGAAGGATCTCAATAACTGATTGATGTAGTGACATGATTTATACATCAGCAGAAAGGTTGTGCAACTGGGAGTGACATGGGCATATTTGTTTTCGGGTATCTCTTATCGTTTGTGAGTTATTTTCAGTTTTGCGTTCTTTGCTGCAGTTTTTCACCTGGTGGCCACTGAGTCAAAGTGGCGCTGTGGCATCCTGCGTCACAGAGCACACACATAACCAAGCAGCAGGAACAAAATAAAGAACACAGCCAAAGCTGAGCCACGGCAACAACAATAAAATTTAATTTTTAAAGCGCTGAGTCCTCCTGCTGAGTCCTCCCACTGGAGTCCTTCCAGCTGTGTATAGATAAAGACAAACGGTCTGTCTGTGTGTCAATCTACATTCCATATTGGAAGCGAAGCTGCAATGGGTATTTCTCTCCAGTCACACTTGTATGCACTCCAACAAAGTGTCCTCCCAACCAGGAGACCTCCCAGCTGAGTGTCTGTCTGTCTGCCTGCCTGTGCGTCAATCTACATCAGATATTGGATCCTTTGGTTGCAGGCGGAGCTGCAACGGGTACAGCTAGTACCTGTTAAAAGCTTTAGCAGTTAAAGGAGGAAGATTAGAAAGTATTTATTTTTTAGCTGTAAACCATTCTAAAGCAGCAAAGAACCTAGTATATATTGTAGCTACAATTGTATACAACAATACCTGTAAGAATTTGAGACTGACATAAAGATTCGTCCTTCGTTTCCATCTAATAGAATATTATCATGTCTCGATTGGACAAGAGACGCAAAGGAGTATTTGGTCCTCCAATGGGAAAGAAGTGTGTGATCTTTGTTGATGATCTGAACATGCCAGCACTGGAACAATATGGTGCTCAGCCTCCTATTGAGTTGCTCCGACAATTCTTTGACCACGGAAACTGGTAATTTTGCAGTTAGAAATAATGTTATGTTTGAGTTTTTTAAGATTCAACATTTTGGTGACAGAACGATATGTAATCCACTGACATTGCACTGCAATATGGAGTGAGCACTGTATTTGTGGTTTTCCAATCCTTCGGATAAAAGGATCTGACATCCTGTCTGCGTATCCTCTGGTCCAGATCAATACTGAAGATCTCATGGAACTGTTTTGAATAACGAGTTTTCCGAGTCAATATTTCTCCTTCCCCCAAATTCATCATTGCTGCTTGTGGGACGCTGCAGATTAGGTGTTATGTTTGTCTATTTGATTGTTAACATCTACTGCACTCATAGTGGAGTGCTTTGAGAAGTTTGAGCATGATATGGTGCTACAAACAATAAAATTATTACTGTAATGTCTGTTTCATCTTTGATGATGACAACACCAGCTGAGCTATTGGGGTAGCTTAAATGGATGTGTTTAGAACAGTAAAACATTTATCTCTGGTTGGACGGACATTGGAATTTGCGTATGGATAGCAATGTTATTTAAATGATCCTCAGTGACTGGATTGTCATTTATCAAATGGTGGCGAATTAACATAATTCATAACATCAACATTCATAATTGTGGAGTCCTGTAGCTCAGTGGTTAGAGCACTCGCTTTGCAAGTGAGAGACCTGAGTTCAATTCCAAGCAGAGGGCGAAACCTTGGGCAAGTTTCCTTACTCCACACAACACCTAATAATAATCCCTCCAAAACCAAAAACAATAATAAAATGAATCATTTTCAATCTATGACTGTTTGTGGGACATTGCTGTGCGCAATTGGCTGCCGCGTTCGCCCACAAATATACAGTCAATTCACTTTACAGTGTGTTCTGTGAAGCGCTTTGGGACGTCCTTCCGACGTGAAAAGCGCTATATCAAATGCAAGGATTATTATTATTATTATTATTATTGCTGGTTGGGAAATAGTTGTTTAAATAAATCCTGTTGAATTATCAGCATCAATATCTTCCAGCAGTGTATTTTACTTAAATGTTGCAATTTTTACATTCCAGGTACGACTTGAAAGATACATCTAAGCTTATCCTGGTTGATATTCAGTTAATTTCCGCTATGGGCCTGCCTGGAGGCGGACGAAACCCTGTTACTCCCCGATTTCTGCGACACTATAACCTTTGCACCATAAACACCTTTAGTGATGAAACAATGGTCCGGATTTTCTCACACATTGTAGCTTTCTATTTCCGAAACAATGAGTTTCCTCCAGATTACTACACAATTGGAAATTACATTGTCAATGCTACAATAGAAGTAAGTCATTTTCCAGATAAATTAGACTATTTGTTACTTTGGCTCTTTTGAGGAATCAAGTAACAATTCTCTACCAACATTAATTGTGCATTATTTAAAACAACAACAACAACGAGATTACATTTGTATAGTGCCTTTCACTTCGGGAGGACCTCCCAAGGCACTGGACAGCGTACAGCATTTCAGAATTAAGGCATTAAAATTTACAGCATTAAAAATTGATTTGTTGCATGTTTCATGAATTTGCAGAAGATCTAACTATGCACTTTTTTCTATAGTTAGTTTATAATATTTATAATTTACAAAAATTCTTTTTCTTTCAGGTCTACAAAAAAGCCATTGAAAATCTGCTTCCCACTCCAGCTAAATCCCATTACACCTTTAACCTGCGGGATTTTTCACGCGTCATCCAGGGTTGTTTGCTCATTAAGTATGAAGCAGTTGAGAATAAGCGCGTGTTCATTCGTCTCTTTGTGCATGAAGTATTCCGTGTGTTCTACGATCGTTTAGTGGATGACGAAGACCGTGCTTGGCTATACAGACTGATGAAGGATATTGTGAAAAATCATTTCAGGGACAATTTTGATTCTCTATTTGAGCATTTGGCACAAGAAAATAAACCAGTGAGTCTTAAATTGGTTCAGTTTGATGTATTGATGATTTATATTTGAGTATTCTGCTTTATTTAAATATTCTTGTGTGTTGTTTTAAAGCATGACAGTAGAATTTACTTTAACATTCTTTAATATGACTGCCAAGGGAGGTGGTGGGCAGAGACTTGCAATTAGATTGCTATTTAGTAAAGAAATTGATTGAAGGATATTTCACATCTGCATTCTGTGTCATAACCTCTTAATTAATTTTGCAATAGCTCTGTGAGGAAGATTTGAGAAGTTTGTTGTTTGGAGACTACATGAATCCTGACCTGGAAGAAGATGACCGAGTTTATGCTGAAATTCCCTCAGTTGAAGAGTTTAATGTTGTGGTGGAGCAATGCCTTGATGAGTATAACCAGACTCACAAAACTAGGATGAACCTCGTTATATTCAGGTGCTTAGTTTCCCTTTTACAGAAATCAAGTCCATTGCTAACTTTGTTTATTAGATGTGGATATTTCATACATCCAATGAAATTTATACTCAATATCAGGTGGTCTCTCAATCAAAGTGGTTTCTTAAAATACAGATTTAAGTCAACAGTTATCGTTAGGCACACAATGCAGTAAGGATTATATGTAATTGATTCTCTGGCAGGTATGTTCTGGAACATTTGTCACGGATTTGTCGAGTTCTAAAACAAGCTGGAGGCCACGCCCTTCTGATTGGAGTTGGAGGAAGTGGTCGCCAATCTATGACCCGTTTGGCCACTTCAATGGCTAAAATGGTTTTCTTCCAGCCTGAAATCTCAAAGAGCTATGGAGTAAATGAATGGAGAGAAGATTTAAAGGTAAAATAAATTCCTTTAATCTGGTTAAAAATCAATACAATACAATTTTCATTCGTCTCAAAGCACTTAAATCACTAAATTTTCAACTCTTGGAAATTTATGCTTGTATAACTCAGCATCAATATTTTGTTTCTGACAGAATTTATTTCGGAGTGCAGGGATGAAGGGTCAGAAGACTGTGTTCCTGATTACAGACACACAAATTAAAGAGGAAGCTTTCTTAGAGGATATAGACAGTGTGCTCAACACTGGTGAGGTGGCCAATCTTTTTGCAGTTGATGAAAAACAAGAGGTCATGGAGGTACAAAAAATTTTGCTGTCTAGATTGTGTGGTATTGGATGTGAAAAGCACAAAGGGAAGAATTAAATTATACAAATGAAGAAAAGAGGAAAGTTTCCAAGTGCAAATCATGTGTAGTAGAACCTCATTGTTTCTGTTTTTGAATTCCTCTTGTACAGGGCGTCCGAACAGCAGCTCAAACACAATCAGGAAACAAACATGCCGAGTTCAGCCCGCTTGCTCTCTTTGCCTTCTTTGTGAGTCGCTGCAAGGAGAACCTGCATATTGTGGTGGCCTTCAGTCCCATTGGGAACGCTTTCCGCAATCGCCTGAGACAATTCCCCTCGCTCATCAACTGCTGCACTATTGATTGGTTCCAGGTGCATTAACATTTTTCAATATATATTTTGAAGGTGGAGACCATGTACCTAATTAATGTAGAATATGAGCATGGTTGAAGGCTTCAGAGAGTAGTCACTCACTAGCATTAATATTAATAAAACTAATATATACAAGAAACTTTCAATCCAGACTAAATTCATGTTAATTCTGAGCTTTAAATCCGGATTCACCAGCCATTACTTAACCAACATTGACTGCTGGTAAAGCCAGATGTTCCACATAGTGAGCCTCTGGTGTCAGCCATGATATTTAGCTCAATGTGCACAGCAACAAAGATAGAAAAGAATATTGGGAAGCAGCTTGTAAATTGCTTCAGAGCTGGCAGAAACCTGTGCAGGACAAGAATACCCTTCAATAAGTAAAATATTGATAAGAATCTGAAAGTCTAGTAATTAACATGTAAAGTATATTCCCTGCTACGAAAGCACTGTTTCTCATTAGCGAAAGCCTTATTTTATATTTTTCTTGCAGCCGTGGCCTGAGGATGCCCTGGAACGTGTTGCCAACTCATTCCTGGAAACGCTGGACCTGTCAGAAAATGAGCGTACAGAGATTGTTTCTATTTGTAAATTCTTCCACACGTCTGCCATCACGCTCTCAGCAAAGTCAGTCTGCATTAGTGTGTTAATATTCTGCTCTTTTATAATCTCTTTATGTCATTCTACATGCCTTCAACACCTGTGCTTTTTAAAGTCAAGTTTAATTGCCAGTACATTTTAGGGAGGGGTGTTGTGTGTAGGTTATGGTTGTTTCGGGGAAAAGGAAAGTCGTCTGGTCTTAATTTTCTTCTGAGTGGGCATGAACAAGTCACTGGCAATAAATTTATCTTTCTACCTTATTTCATTTTCTGTATGATTGTAATATTCAGTTTATTTTATGTGTGTTATACAGCAACAACATCTTCCATTTATATAGTGTCCTTCATAGATAACGTCTTGGAGCCTTCAACCTATGGGTTAGACGCTGAGCTTGGGAATAAGGGGATGGGGAGGTGACCTCATGGTCAAATTAGAAACTTGTGAGGAGAGGGTGAAGAATTTATCCATCATCAGTGGGGTCATTTACATTACTGACATATGTCCCAAAATGTACTTGTTTTTAGGTTCTTGACAGAGCTAAACCGGCACAATTATGTCACTCCCACATCCTATCTGGAGCTTATTGCCACATTCCGCCAGCTCTTAACACAGAAACGTGATACTGTGATGAAAGCCAAAAAGAGATATACGAACGGTTTGGATAAGCTGGCTTTTGCAGAGTCTCAGGTAGGTCATCAATCAATAAGTCGAATGCAAATAAACATTATTTCAGTGCTTTTTTTAAAGTCATCTTCACCTTTAAATCAAATGGCAAACTTTTATTCTCTCTCTCTGTTTTCATTAGCATATACTGTGCACCAAGCTCTGAAGAATGAGCAAGTGACTTCCTGCACTGACCGGCTCCTGTCAGGTTACTGTTGATGTCACTTCCTATGAGTGAGCAGACAGTGTCGCTGATGTCACTTCCAGTGCAAATGACATCAGTGATGATATCCTGTGCAATGTGTGGGAAGTGACATCAGCGACGACTTGGAAGTTGGACATTTTGTTCGCTTTGTTATAACTTGGCCTCTAAAATACTGAAGCTACAAACTCATTATAATCGGGTTTGACCTTTATCCTCTTTTCATTTATCATATTTTTAAACTATTTCATTTTGCAAAGTTACATTAAAATTCTCTGAATGCATACTCTCTGTTTCTGAAACAGTTTATTATTGTTAGTGAATAATATTGGGGTTTCATTTCTGTAGGTGGGTGAGATGAAGTTGGAACTGGTGGAACTACAACCAAAGTTAGAAAAGGCCAAAGTGGATAATGCTAAAATGATGGAGGTAATGTAAGCCCATTAAAAAATAGTTTAATTCTCACCCCTAGCTTGCACACATATTAAGAATTCGAAGAGTAAGCGGTTTCTAGCTTAAACTATTGTTGTTGCCTTGAGCCATGGAATCTGTTTGCAGTAAAATAGTTGTTGAGGGAATATATGCAAAACCACATCTACACATTCAGACTGAAAGTTGAAAATAATTTGTGATTTAGTAAAATAATGTTACTTTGGCAACGATAGCACCATTCATCTTGGAAGATATTTCAGCAGTATTATATTCTGTGTCTTACTCTACCAATATACCAAAATCTCCTTGCACATAGATTTGATTGCTTTTTAAAATGCTTAGACCTCAGGCAAAATATGGCATGCATTATTTTCAGATCTATCTCCAAACAAAGGTTTGAGATTATTGATGTAGAATGTCTGCAAGAAGTAAGAAACTGGAAAGTCATTTAGGATTTATGTTTAAAGGTCATAGAGGTAGAATCTGAACAGGTTGAGGCGAAGAGCAAAATAGTGAAGGTAGATGAAGAAGCTGCTACTGAAAAAGCAAGTGAGGCCCAAGCTCTGAAGAACGAGTGTGAGAGTGAACTGGCGGAGGCCATCCCAGCTCTGGAGGCTGCTCTTGCTGCCTTAGACACTTTGAAGGCAAGTCTCAATCTACGTCACATATTTTCCTGAATCATTAAAAATGTCATTTAGAAAAATCTTTTTCTCTTTCTCAATGGGAATTAATTTCACAGACCATCCCTAAAACTGTTCAGTAATGTAACAGTTACATGATCCCAAGAGAGGTTTGCATAAAGATGGCTTTTTCGACCCATTTGATCGCTTCCTCCCACTTATTAGGGTTAATTGCCTTTAGCTGAATAAAACAAAATAGTCTTTACTGTTCCTTTATTTGTTGAAAACACCTTAATCACAAGTGTAAATAAAATCTGTAAATATATCTGTCCAATTTATATTTTAGCCATCTGATATCACAATCGTTAAGTCAATGAAGAATCCCCCCGACGGTGTCAAGCTAGTGATGGCCGCGATCTGTGTCATGAAGCTCATCAAACCTGAGAGGATCAATGATCCATCGGGAAGAGGTGACAAGGTAAACTCCAGAAGTAACAGTAAAAAGGAATGTAGTCCACGTTATGAACACCGATATATTTCAGGCTGCTCGTTGAACTTGCAAGTGAAACTACAGACAATATGATTAATTACAGAAAAGCGCCTTATAATATTCCAAAATGCATGTTTGTTTGAAGAAAAGTGATAAGAAACTGAATTCCAGAACCTTCTATTATAGTATTTCTGCCACCATGCATTTTATTCACAATTTAGGTAAAAGGTTGATTTCAGGACACGATTGATTGCAAAGCCACTCCTTCAACTGTCTAAGCAGTTTGGATCAAATATAATTTAATTTTAAAAAATAGTCTTTGCCGTTTCTGAAATGTTTTGATGATGTTTATTTTTAAGATTCTTGATTACTGGGGTCCCAGCAAGAAGTTACTTGGTGACATGAACTTCCTTAAAGATTTGAAAGAGTTTGACAAGGATAATATTCCAGTAAGTTTTTACTACATGCACATTAGTGAATTGTTAATAACTATTATATTTATAACTATTTTAATATTCCTTATTGCAGATCTTAACCATGAAAATGCTATTACTAATTGATCCAGAGTTTAAAGGAGATAAACATTAGATTATTTATCAGCTCAAAGTACTAAATATGTGAGGATGTGGTCCTGAACTGAATATTAATCAGTATTTCATTGTGGTAATCAGTATTTATGCTACTTGTATTAATAATGTATAATTATTATTATATATTTAATTATTATAATAGGTTCATACATTAATCAAAGGAAGTTTGTTGTATAAATATTGTTAGGGAAGATATTGTGGTGTTCATACTTTTCTTTTTGGTCAGGTTGCTGTCATGCAGAAGATACGGACTGAATATCTGACCAATCCTGACTTTGACCCACAGAAGGTAGTAAAAGCCTCCTCTGCTGCTGAAGGCTTATGTAAATGGATCCTTTCTCTGGAGGTGTATGATCGGGTTGCAAAGGTATTGTATGTAAGCTTTGTCTTGTCCTGTTACATGGCAGTAAATTGCCTGAGATTGTATTTTCACATATAAATAACATGCAAATGTGTTTTGGTGATTGTATTAGTAACCTTTTCCTGATAACATAATACTTATATTTTTATTTGTGTTATTCTCTTGGAATGAGTAAATTTGTGAATGAACTGCTTGATTCTAGGTTGTTGCTCCTAAGAAGGCTCGCCTGGCTGAGGCAGAGAGGTCGCTGGCTGAAACTATGGCAATTCTAAACCAGAAACGAGCTGAACTTAAGGAAGTTGAAGACAGCCTCGCTAATCTGAAGAATACTTTTCAGGAGAAGACTGATGAAAAAGTGAGACTAGAGTTCCAGGTGGACTTGTGTGCTAAAAAACTGGAGAGAGCCGAGAAACTGATTGGAGGACTAGGAGGAGAAAAATCAAGGTAAAATCCTAAAAGAAGTGATTCTATTATTGCTTGTGCTCTATTTTGGTGAAATTATTGTGAAACATTTAAAAGATGTAATTAGTGCAAGATTTTATTTTAAAAGAGAAACATTTTCATCAACACTTCCACTAGTCGCATATTTATTTTCTCCATAAACCATAATTCAGAAATGTATAGAAATTGCTGATCCCAATATTTTGAACCAATCCTGAAAAGGTCTCTTTAAACTCCAGATGGTCAAAAGCCGCTGATGACCTGCAAAACGTATATGATAACCTGACTGGAGATGTGTTAATCTCAGCTGGTGTTATAGCTTATCTTGGGACATTCACTGCAGGTTTCCGCCTTGAGTGCACTCACAGCTGGACCGAGCTGTGCAAGGTACCGACTGTGTAATTCTAGCAGCTTTATTGAGGCTGTCTGTATCAAAGTATATTTTACACATTCCTTTTCACACCGTCCAGAGACCTGACTCCTGAAATATGTTGTATACTGCGCTAACAACAACAAATTACATTTATATAGCATCTTTAATGCTTCAATTCATTCAATTTATTAATTACACTCTCTACCTTTCTCCAGTTTTATTCTTGCCATATCTATAGGTCTGTTTTTCACTATCGCTTGCCACTCTTTAATTTGCCTGTCTTTCTTTTCTCTTGGCTGCTCTTCATTTTAGTTTTCATGGAGTGATGTAAACAATGACATATACATGGATTTCCCAGCACTGACTTGTGAGAAACTGCAATGCCAGAAGTTCTCTAACACACTTTTTTTATTTTCACAGTCCAAAAATATTCCTTCTTCAGATGATTTTTTATTGAGTAAGACATTGGGAGATCCTATAAAGATAAGAGCGTGGAACATTGCTGGATTACCAACTGACAGCTTTTCAATTGACAATGGTGTGATTGTTAGTAATTCTAGGCGTTGGTGAGTGTGAATCACATGTAGACAGTTGTACACTAACTTTTTGGGAGATCAGATTGTATTGGTAATTGTGGTACAATCTGATTCCTGGTGCTCTAATGCAGGTCTACTGTAGTTTCGATGTCCTTGTTCTGACCAAGTTTCATCTCTGGAAGAAAATGACCCTCTGTCTATCAATGGCCCTAGTGAACTTACACTGCTGTCAAAGATTCCTTTGAGGTTTGGCTGTGGTGGGGATCTCCTGTGGATAGAACTAAAATGAGTTAGCTATTTGGGACAAAATGTATTGTGCGGTGATCTTGGCACATGGTACATGATAATCATTATAACTGGTTGAGAAAACAACAAGTGGAACAGTCAGCAACAACAACAACAACTTGCATTTATATAGCGCCCTTCACCAGGGTAGCAACCCGGAAGGGAACAAGTGGAACAGTCAGCGTATAGTGGACTACGAGAACCACAGAGTGAGAGGATGAACATTCAAAGGCTGTGGTATGCATGTCAAACAATATTAATCTGTGTAATCTAATGTTTTTATTTTCAGGCCATTAATGATTGACCCACAGGGCCAGGCCAATAAATGGGTGAAAAATTCTGAGCGAGAAAATAATCTGAATATTATTAAGCTGACAGACACAGACTACATGCGAGCACTGGAGAATGCAATACTGTTTGGAAAGCCAATCCTGCTGGAAAATGTTGCTGAGGAACTGGACCCTTCACTTGAGCCTCTTTTGCTGAAACAAGTCTTTAAACAGAGTATGTAACTATGGTTTATAAGGTTTATTTTTAAACAAAAGTTAGTACAGAATGGGAATCCCAATATTGGATGCACTAAATTTTATTTTTTTTAATTTTATTTTTTGTTTTTAATGAAGATCAAGAAAATACTCCCTATTTTATTATTATTTGTTGACCCAATGCTTCTACTTTCAGATGCAGCTACAGTGTCAAATTTTGGTTTTCTTTGGTTTATTAAATTGTGTGAAGTGATGTGTGCTGGCATGTGTTCCAGAGATATCAGATAAAAGCTGACAATACTCAGTGCTATGTCTATGGGTTTTATTATTTAATGAACGTGATTTTCTGAAATTTTTGAGGATGGGTGAAGTTTTTATCCATTGCACCTTTTTGGAAATTCTCACAATCATCAAGTTTTCACAAAAGCTTCAACTTCAAAAACATTTGTAAAATTCCATTCCTTTGTGTTTGAAGAGCAGCTATTTACAGTGTGCTAGCACCATGAAAAACATATGCTTGAATTAAACATTTCCCTTTTGTCTGTAGGTGGTGTGGAGTGCATTAAGCTTGGTGAGACAATTATTGAATATTCCAACGATTTCAGACTCTACATAACAACAAAGCTGAGAAACCCTCACTACTTGCCAGAGCTGGCGACAAAGGTTTCCCTCCTGAACTTTATGATCACACCAGAAGGGCTTGAGGACCAACTGCTAGGGATTGTTGTCGCGAAGGAGAGGTAAACAACTACAATATTCTTTATAGAGACAGTGCAAAGCCAATCTGCAAAAATTGCAGAAAAAAAAGGAATGTAAGATGTGGAACGAAAATCAATGTTTTACTAAAAAGTGATGCATTCTATGCCATTATTAACTTTTGTTATTTTTTGAGTTCAAATAATTTATTCTAACCACAAATAAATAAAGAAAATATCATTACTTGAATTCTGTGATAACAGAGGTGGGAAGGTACACTTCTGTGTTTGTATCTTGTCTATTCAAATATCAAGCAGACCCTCAGATTGCGATCTACAATGGCTTTATAACCTCGTGTTGATCCTCTACATGTCCATGTACTGAGCAGACCTGAGCTGGAGGATGAGAGGAACGCACTGATCCTCCAGTCTGCAGCCAACAAGAAACAGCTGAAGGAGACGGAAGACAAAATCCTGGAGACCTTACAGGGTTCAGAAGGCAATATTCTGGAAGATGAGAGTGCAATTCAGATCCTGGATTCTGCCAAGATAATGTCCAATGAGATCACTAAGAAACAGCAGGTAAAAATTTTACAATATTTTGGGAAAAATATAAGTATTGTAAATATTTGTATTTGCTGTGTCGCTATGATTACAATATATTTCTTAAAAATATACTGTACTTCAATATTTCATTCCTTTTATTGCCAGTAATGTATGTATATTTAGCATTTATTAATTGGCTATGTTAAATAACATTTCTTCTGATTCCTGCAACTGGCTGAAGAGTAGGACTGGGATCCGAGATGGATTATTTTCCTGCTTTTTTTGGTAGACAGGGAGTAACATAATGATAAGGGGAAAATATTGAGTGAAATTATTGTACGAAAGAGGATACTTAAGGTATACTTATGGAGATAAACTACTGAAACTGAAATAAAGAATTATTTAAATATATGATGCTAATAAAACTCATCCTTGCATTTGATATCGCGCCTTATCACAGTATTGAGACGTCTCAAAACTTTTCCCAGGATATACTGTACAGTGTAATGACTGTGTATTTTGTGGGCAATTAACGGTGATCTTCATGTTTTGTCATTGTCCATGTATTTCAAGACCTTTTGTATAATGATGTTCGTTTTTCTGCTTTAGATTGCTGAGAAGACTGAGTTGAAGATAGCAGAATCTCGAGAGGGATATCGATCCATTGCTAAGCATTCTTCCATCCTCTTCTTCAGTATTGCAGACCTCGCTAATATCGACCCCATGTACCAGTACTCCTTGAGCTGGTTTGTCAATCTTTACCTCAATTCTATCCAAGACAGGTAGGGATGTCTGAACTACAGCAAGTTTGAATTATTTTAACCGCTTAAGAACGGTGCCTAAAAGAATCATAATTATGTTGAGGTTTTTAATCTGTTCCCTCACTGCCAGTGATGCCTTGCACATTCATTCCACAATATATAAATGATAACCAAGATACATGAGTATTGAAAATGATAATCATTGGTCCTGTTATGTGTCCTCACCAGTAACAAGTCCAAAATCTTGGAGAAAAGGCTTCGTTATCTGAATGATCACTTCACGTACAATCTGTACTCCAATATTTGTCGCTCTCTATTTGAAAAGGATAAGTTGCTGTTCTCCTTCCGATTGTGCTCTAATCTTCTGTTGTAAGTATATTTCTTATTGATCATTTTCACAAATGTAACTTTTTGATTAAAAAGTTAAAGAATGATTCACTTTCAATTATGCAATGTAATTGCATGTATTGTTAACCATAATTGCCAACATTTTAATCCTTTTTTGACTAAATTGGTCTGTACCTCATGATGGTTTTATAATGTAGAGTAATGTACTGTGTCAAACCAACCTGGTCCATACCTGTTAATGGTCTGATTTTATCATCCACTCAGAGCAACTTTCACCACCGTTTAAATGCTTTTAAAGTTGAGGCATCACATCTTGGGATAAATTGACTATCAATCTGGCTGTTTATAATAATAATACAATGTAATAATAATGTAATAATAACATAATAATAATATTATTATGCTTGATAGAAGTTCAAAACCCACAGATCTCAAGGAATCATATTTGTGTTAGAATTTTGTCCACAACCGGCAAAACTCAACTAGGGTTGGATAAAACTGCTGTATTTACCATAAATATTAGGAAGAAAAGAATGGAAGTGCAGCTCTGCAAATTTCTTGTCAAATGTTTTTTTTGAAAAATAAAATACAATAAAAATCAATCAGCCTTGTAATGCCCAAGATAAACATGTTTACACTATTATTATTATTATTCAGGAATGTTGCAGCTGTGTTTTCCTGAACTAGACCATCCTTTGGCACAGGCACAGCCTTGTATCATTTGTAAAATAGTCTCGTGGTTCTTATAGTTATTTGTGGACTATTTCACACTGGAGTTTAAGCTGTAATGGGACCTGTAGTCTGCGAGTTACCTTCCGTTTGCCTTGAATATATTAGAGTTGAAAGAGATCTTTCACCATATCATGTTTCTATATTTTAAGGTGTTTTTTTATACTCAGGTTTGCTTAAATCTTGTCATTTCTACATTGATGTTTTTCTTTTGCACTTTCATTCAGGGCAAAAGAGGAGATTGAGTACCCAGAGTTTATGTTCCTGCTGACAGGGGGAATCGGGCTACAGAATGATATACCAAACCCTGACTCATCCTGGCTTCAGGATAAGAGTTGGGATGAGATCTGTCGTACGAATGACCTACCAGTTTTCAATGGCTTGAGGTACAGAAATAGTCAATTTTATATTTAAACATTTTTTTCATTAATTTTATCACTGGTTCAGACTGACATTCTGTTAGGCAATTAAATTTGTTTTAAGATTATCAGCACTTGGCAGTGATCACATATGTGTTATTTGCTGAATTATACTTATAATTATAATTAACAGTAACAATAACACAGTAACAAGAACCCAGTGACAAAAACACAGAAACCATAATGCAATTACAATTTCTAGTTATGTGAAAGTGAGTTTCCTGATGCATTGCATTGCTGTAACGTGCTGTATAAGCACATGACTGACTGACTGATGGCTGTCAGCTGGTGCCTATAGGAATGAGAGGGAATCAGCCAAGCACATTGGGTTGGTTGGCCCCCTTCGATGCTGAAATTTCAATGATTTTCTAATTAGATAATATCATTTGTAATGTAAGAATTTATATAATGTAATAGAATAAATGTAAACACTGGCATAACCATAATAATCAATTTCACGTTCTCCAACTAGGGAGCATTTCTCTCAGAATACAAACGAATGGAGAAAGATCTATGATAGTAAAGAGCCACACAATGCTCCATTACCAGTACCATGGAATGAAAAGCTCAATATGCTTCAGAAGATGATCATTTTGAGGTGTCTTAGATCTGACAAGGTAAATAAAGAAAAAGAATATTTAGAATGATTTAAGAGATTGTAGCTTTACTGTGGAAAGTTGTAGCCATGCAGAAAGGTCGTGTTTCAATTTTTTATTTCTTACTAAAGCTTAAGAATTTTAAATACTTTTCTTTCTGCATTAGTGCCTAGGAATGTCAGATTAATCCAGCATTCGCCCCACTGTGGACTGCAGGACATCACACTATCACACTTGCCTGACTATTCTGTTGAATGAACTATTCATATTCTGTCTTGTAGATCCTCCCATCAGTGACAAATTTTGTTACTGATAAATTGGGGAAGAAGTTTGTGGAGCCGCCTCCATTTGATCTTGCGAAAAGCTATGTGGATTCCACTGCCAAAATACCTCTGCTGTTCATCCTGTCTCCAGGTGCTGATCCTATGGCAAGTGAGTGTTTGTCGTATTGTCAGGAAGGTGCGAACTGTTGTGGTTTCATTACTGCTCGGGAGGGGGGACAATTACGTGTATATGGGGGAGAAACTCTATTTGGATCTAAAATTATTGGGGGGGTGGGGGGTTAAGAAATACAGTTTTTTTGTACAGAATGTGGCAAAAATAAGCATTGATGAGTCCAATTGTGGAGTCCTGTAGCTCAGTGGTTAGAGCGCTCGTCTTGCAAGTGAGAGACCTGGGTTCGATTCCCGGAAGAGCGAAACCTTGGGCAAGTTTCCTTACTCCACACGCCTGATAATAATCCTTTAACAAAAAAAATGATAATTTGGTCACTTCAAACCATGACTGTTTGTGGGACACTGCCGTGCACAATTGGCTGCCGTGTTTCACTTTACAGTATATTCTGTGAAACGCTTTGAGACGTCTAGATGACGTGAAAAGCACTGTATCAAATGCAAGGATTGTTATTATTATAAACTTGTTTATTTTTAAATTCTTTCTTGTTTCAGTTTGGATCCAGTGGTAGAGTGTGGAATGAATGTGAAACCGAAGTTGAATCAAATAGCATCAATGTTTTTAAGAAAAACTTGATTCATACTCGAGGAAGAAGGAAATAAAGAGATAAATAAATAGAAAGATAAAAGATAGATAAATAAATGGATAGATAAATAAATAGAGGTCTATAGGAGAGGGGAATACTGTGTATCTTGTTGTTTGCACCCTAATTAACTGGCGAGTAAGCCTTAATAATACCTCACCGCACTTCAAGTAACTGATTGTTTGAGCGTGATGGTGCTGTGTCAGACATAGTTTTTTGTTGTATATTTAGCCTTGGCAGCTAATACTACATAAAATAATATGGGGGCAAAATGGATTCATTCTCATTTGTTGACCCTTCATGTATAACTAGGATATTTCATGTATAAGTATGATTTCACTGTATATACATAAGAATCTATAAGTTACTTGTCTTTTCAATTCAGAAGTTAAAACCTTGAGCTAAAGGAAGAGTTTTAAATTACATGTGATTGAGGGGATAAACGTTATGAGAAGAATATGCAATTTTTCTCACACTTTCACAGGTTTGTTGAAATTCACCAATGATAAGAATATGATTGGAGATAAATTCCAGGCTATTTCACTTGGTCAGGGACAAGGACCAATTGCTTCCAAAATGATTAAAGAAGCAATCGTTGAAGGCACCTGGGTATGTCTGCAGAACTGCCATCTTGCTGTGTCCTGGATGCCAACACTGGAAAAGATTTGTGAGGAGTTCGCCATTAGCAGCTTTCATTCCGATTTCCGGCTTTGGCTGACAAGTTACCCATCCCCGAAGGTATTCAACAGATGTCATAGTTTACTGAACAAAGAGATATAACTGATGTGTATTAAAATAATGATAATCAACTAACTATGATTCTTTATACGTGAGTATTGAAAATGATAATCATTGGTCCTGTTAAGTTAAGATTTAAGTCGACATTCCCCCATTTACAAAATGTTTCATTTCACGTGAAAGGCGCTATACAAATGTAATTTGTTATTGCTTTTGTAATGAATTGATTAAGAATAATGAAATATTTGTTGAAGTATGGTCTTTGTCTAGATTGCTGCATACACAGAAAACAAAATATACTTTAAATTATTTATTTAAATCATTAAATTGTTTTTAATTATTACATATTTTTAATTGTCCATTAGCGAATGAACAAAGCAAAATTTCTGGAATTTGTTTTGCTGAAGTTTAATTAATGTACTAAGTTACTTGTCTTTTCAATTCAGAAGTTAAAACCTTGAGCTAAAGGAAGAATTTTAAATTAAATGTAGTTGAGGGATAAACTTTATGAGAGGAATATGCAATTTTTAATCACTATCAAGCTTTCTTCATATAATTAATTGTAGATTTTACACAATATAAACAAGTAGCAAATGTTGTCTATTTTATCTAGTTGGATTTCTATTTTGTCCTAGTTTCCTGTGACAATATTGCAGAATGGTGTCAAGATGACTAACGAACCTCCCACTGGCCTCCGATTAAACCTGTTGCAATCCTACCTGTCTGATCCCATATCCGACCAGGCTTTTTTCCAAGCCTGCCCGGGAAAGGAACAGGTATATTCAGATCAGACCCAACAGAATCATGCAATTAGAATTGTCCATTGTTTCTCAGCTTGAAATAAAAACTGCATTATCCTGATCATTTGTACCTTTCTGTCTAGATCTGGGAAAAACTCTTGTTTGGTGTTTGCTTTTTCCATGCTCTCGTTCAAGAAAGAAGGAAGTACGGGCCACTCGGCTGGAACATTCCTTATGGATTTAATGAATCCGATCTGCGTATCAGTGTCAGACAGTTACAGGTAAATAAGAAATCGTGGCAACGCTCTGACACTTTCTCTCATCATCTCGGGACACGGGAGCAGATTTGCTTAATATTTATTCTGTAATTCTTTCAAAAACCTCTTTTGAAAATAGATACATTGTAATTCTACAAAGACAAATAAATAAAGCAATATGACTTATGGCGAGAGAGAGATACAGTTTTAATTGTAAAATATTGTGTAATGATGAGTCAAATGCCTTTAGTATTGTAATTATACTATGATGCTTTTTATTCATGTGAGCCTGGATGAAAGTAAAGGAAATAAATGAATTAGTTAAATAATTTCAGCATTTGTATATGATGTATTACTTCTGATGACTCAGAACAAATTATTGAATGGATAATACGAGTGACAAAGTCACTACTCCAATGTCTGTGAATTCTTCCCCATATCGGCAGCGAGATTAGTAAGAGCGGTTTCACCAGATCATTTCTTGTGAGCACCAGATGTGACTGAGTCCCATATAGTGCTCATTACAGTTTATCAGAATGCTTGGAAACTTGAACAGTATTTGATGGTTGTTTGTCTTACCAGTGGAGTTCCACAAGGCTCTGTTTTGGGACCTCGTTTGTTTAATATTTTTATAAATGATCTGGAACTAGGAGTTGCAAGAACAGTGGCTAGTTTGCAGATGGTACCAAGCTAATGAAGGTGGTAGATTGCAGAGCTAAACAAGATCGGTTACAGGAGGATTTGAACATATTTGGTAATTCGGCAGATTAAATTGAATGTGGAGAAATGTAAAGTACTTCACATGGGGACAAAAAATTTTGGAAGGGATTATTATTTGAATGGAAGGATAATAATATGTATTGAAAAGGACCTGGGAGTCCTGATTAACAATAAATTGAGGTTTCTCCCAACAATGTTCTGTGGCAGTGAGTAAAGGAAACCAGTTTTTGGGATGTGTCAAAAGATCAATAACAAACCAAAATTGTGGGGTAATCCTGCCACTGTATAAATCATTGATGAGACCACACTTAGATACTGTGTACAGTTCTGGTCTCGTAGTACAAAAAGTATATTGGAGAAATTGAGAAGATACAGAGGAGGGCAACCAAGATAATTGAGGGAATGTAAGTACTGGACTATGAGGAGCAACTAAGTAAATTGGGCATGTTCACTCAGGATAAGAGAAGATTGAGAGGCAACGTGATTGCTGTCTCTAAGATTCTAAAGGGGCAAAACAATAGAGATCATGACAGGCTGTTCCAACTTCTCCAGAATAGTAAAACCAGAGGACATGGCCTGCGATTGAAGGGGAGAAAATTCAGAATGAATCTACGCAAACACTATTTCAGTTAGCGAATAGTGAACCTGTGGAACAGGCTCCTGAGGGAGACGGTTGAAGCAGGAAATGTTGATTCTTTCAAACACAGATTAGATAGTTTTCTTTTAGGAAATAACATTATGGGATATAGTACATAGGGAGTTTGGGACATATGTGTATGTGATCGCCAGGAAGGTGGAAGGCGAGTCAGGCATTTCTTTTGTTCTTATGTATGTGATATATTTGATGGTTGGTTGTTTGTTTGTTTGTCTGTGTTTGTCTTCATGGTTTCCAGCTCTTCATTAATGAATATAAGACGGTTCCATTTGAAGCCATTACGTACCTGACTGGAGAGTGTAATTATGGGGGCCGGGTGACGGATGACTGGGACAGACGTTTGCTCATGACAATTCTTAGTGATTTTTACAATCCTGATGTAGTTGAAAACCCAAGGTATGCGTTCTCCCCCAGTGGGAATTACTACGCACCTCCTAAAGGGACTTATGAGGACTACATTGAATTTATTAAGGTAATTCATATTGCACACTTTTTTCACTATTAATATTATGCCAATATACAGAATTATGATAATGAGTTTGATAACTTAAAATTTCTGTGTGACTTAATATAAATCATATTGTTTTTTATACTGATGCTTTTTTATACAAAGCTCTGACACTTTCAATTCAGAGAATTTTTCTCTGAACTTTTCTTAGATTGCTCTTGATCTTCATTATCAAGATAACCAACAACAACAACAAAATTACATTTATAGAGCTCCATTTCACGTCGGGAGGATGTCCCAAACTGCTGAAATAAATAGGTTACAGTTTATTCCTGGAATATTTCAGCAACCGCTGCGGTTCTATATATTTTCAAGGACATAAGAATGAGAAATGGTTTATTGGCCTTTACTGCTTCATTTTGTTTGTGGGACACTGCTGTGCTCAATTGGCTGCTGTGTTCCGCTCACAAAATATACAGTCAATTCACTTTACAGTATATCCTGTGAAGCGCTTTGAGACATCTCAAAAACATGATAAGGCGCTGTGTCAAATGCAAGGATTATTATTATTATTCAGCTCTTTTGAAAATAGATTCTTGTCTTTGTTCCACAACACTGTTCTGTTTAACATCTCTTCTTGATGTGTTTCTACAGAAACTGCCCTTCTCACAGCACCCAGAGGTGTTTGGCATGCATGAGAACGTGGACATCTCAAAGGATCTGCAACAAACAAAGACACTGTTTGATTCTCTGCTTCTGACACAGGGCGGGTCAACAGGACAGGGAGGTGCCTCTGCCTCCAGCGACCATGCACTATTTGACATTGCAAATGATATTCTAGCAAAGGTGAATACAAGTAACTATCTTCAGTACACAAGTGGAAGAATATATCAGTCAGAGTCCATGGCATAATGTTCAGTGCGCATGCATGATATTCGTTCAAAGCCGAGTGATTTTCCTGCTATTTGGTGTCTTTGTTAGTAATGATATCAATGTTGTAAATATTTCTAGTTGCCTAAAGATTATGATATTGCGGACGCTCTAGAAAAATACCCAGTACGTTATGAAGAAAGCATGAACACAGTGTTAGTGCAGGAGATGGAGCGATTCAATAAGTAAGTACAGTATTTCCCAGAGTTTTATACTATCTGACTGAGACATTTGAAGTACAACTAAGCAATCTAAATAGAATAATTATTTTTAGGTAAAAATTGTGTTATTTATCACCAGTCCTTTGGATGAGACGTTAAACCCAAGTCACATCTGCCTGTTCAGGTGGACGTTAAAGATTGCATGGCTGTATTCAAAAAGCAAAGGGAGTTTCTCCTGGTGTTCTGGCTAATAATCCCACAGATAAAATTGGTCATTTGTTTCATGGCTGTTTGTTCTTCATTGCTATGCTAATTGGGCTGCCTTGTTTGGCTCTAGTTCACAATAATTCCTGTGAAACGCTTTAGGACATCTCGTTGATGTAATAAGCGCTATACGAAATGCAAAGATTATTATTACTATGTTCTCAGAATAGTTAAAAATGTTTAGCTTTATAATGAAATAAAGCCCAAAGTCTATTGCAGCCATCAAATAGTTTCTAAGTGTTGGGGTGTGTTTGAAGTCTGTTTATAAAAATATACATTTTTGCAATTTAATAGAATTGTTTTCTATTGCAGTTTAATCCGCACAATACGATCCACTCTTCAGAACCTTCAGAAGGCGATTAAAGGTTTGGTGGTGATGAATTCTGAGCTGGAGGCCCTGGCCAGCAGCCTGCTGGTGGGAAAGCTCCCTGATACCTGGGCTAAACGCTCCTACCCCAGTCTTAAGCCTCTTGGGAGCTATGTCAACGACTTCATGGCCAGGTTAAAATTCTTGCAGGTAACATTTGTGCTGTTTATTTTTTGCAAAATAATTAGTAATAAATAATAATTTGGTCACTCAATCATGACTGTTTGTGGGACACTGTTGTGCGCAATTCGCTGCCGTGTTTCGTCACAAAATATACAGTCAAATCACTTTACAGTATATTCTGTGAAGCGCTTTGAGACGTCTCGAAGACGTGATAAATTGCTATATCAATTGCAAGGATTATTGTTATTATTAATTCTAAATTATACAGTCTGATGAATGTTCATGAACAAAACATTCCCCATATTGCCTTTTAAGACTCTGACTGAATCTTTGTGGATTCTCAGCACTTTCTGATTTTTTTTATTCAAATGGGCAGCGTTTGCAGATTTTTACTTATTGTTTATGTGAGAAAAGCCCTGACATACGTCATTGCTCGCAGTGTGATCATGAGCTTTCTTTGCAATTCTTTGTTTTACTTATCATTTTTAAAAGACAAAGTTCCCAAATGAAGCCCACCACCTGCTCCCTTGACCCTCTCCTTACCTCCCAGCTCCACCTCCTTGCTCCGCTTCTAACAGACATCATCAACCTCTGTCTGTCCACTGGCACCGTTCCCTCCCCCTTAAAAATTGGATCATCACCCGCACCTTCAAAAAAACTTGCCTTGAGCCATTACTGTTCTCCAAATTCCGCCCCATCTCCAACCTTCCTTTTCTCTCCAAAGTCCCGGAACGAGTCGTTGCTTCTCAGCTTCGCCCTTTCCTTTCCCAGCACTCCCTGTGTAAACCCCTCCAATCTAGCTTCCATGATGCCCACCGCACAGACACAGCTCCTGACCAAAATTTCTTCAAGCTATTTAAAATATGGCAATGAATTGCCAAGTTGCTGTTATTTCAGTTATGATATATTTGATGCTTTCAGAAGCTCAACAATTGAATGTGTTGCATTAAACTTGACAGGACTGGTTTGATGAAGGAAAACCCAGCATGTTCTGGGTCTCTGGGTTCTTTTTTACCCAAGCTTTCTTGACTGGAGTCATGCAGAATTATGCCAGAAAATACACCATCCCTATTGACCTACTGGGATTCCAGTTTGAGGTAAACCTTCACTCTCTCCCTCCCTCTCTCCCATGACTCTTCACTCACTCTGTTCGAGTTTGGCAGAATGGTGGATGAATCTTGCTTCATTGTCGGATGTTAATGTATAATTAGCATTACAAAATGTCCAGTTTCTATTTCTAATGTGAAGATGGGAAGCAAAATGAATATTAAAGCTAATAGTATTGTATTTCAGATCAGAATCGATCAGGAAATAACCAGAGAACTTGTTGTATCCTGGTAATCATGCAACTATATCCTTTCTTACAACTGGAAAATTCCACATAGCTATTTCTGCTTTCACAGAGAAGGTTATGTTGCAAGATGACATACTTGTAAGTTCAAGCTTATTTTCATTTGACTTGAAATCTATTGTCTTTCCTCAGGTTCTGAACACAGACACAATTAATCGCTCTCCATTGGATGGAGCGTACATTCATGGATTGTTCCTTGATGGTGCTCGATGGGACCGAAACCTGTATGTAAATCAGCCCTAACTTCTTCCTCCTCCTGGTTCAGTGTATCTAACTGAACTCGCCCTGCCCAGTGTATCTAACGTACTGACACTAGTCCAACAGGTTATAACTTATTACTGATGCAAAGTATTTACTCTCTCTTTAGGGGATTGTTGGCCGAACAGTTTCCAAAAGTCCTCTTTAGTACAATGCCAATTGTCTGGATAAAACCAGGTAACTAGACAACATGCTGGGAAGCTATTATTGAGTGTGGACCAAACTACAGTTAGAATTCCCTCCAGGGCAGCCACAATCGGAAAACATTCTCCCTTACATTTTCTAGAACCTAGTTACAATGATGTATTTGATCAGTCTTGAAAGTAAGGTCCCAAAAAGTGGGCGCAAAATCAAATTATGGCCTTCTCAGTGACATTTACAATGTTAAAATGACTTGTTTCAATTTATGGTTAAATCCGCATGATTTATTCAAGTAGCTTTTCACACAGTGAGTTGTTCGGATATGGAATGCATTGCCTGAAAGGGTGATGGAAGCCAATTTGATTACAACTTTTAGAAGAGAAGTGGATAATTATTTGGGGAGGACAAGTTTGTAGGACTATGGGGAGAGAGCAGGGGAATGGGATTGATTTGGGTAGTTCTTTTCAAAGAGCCGGCACAGACACGATGGGCTGAATGATTCTATTATACTAATTTTATTGATGTCATATCAGTTTAAAGAAAATAAGGGTTATAAAAAATCACATACATTCAAAAACAAATCCCTTTCTGTTTAATTTCTGAATGATTTGCAATGACATTATTTTCAAATCTAATAAGTGCAGATAAGCTAAACAAACTGGTTCTTCCTTTTGAAGGTCAAAAGTCAGATTTTAAGAAAGTAACCGACTACATGTGTCCAATCTACAAAACAAGCGAACGCAAAGGAACTCTCTCCACCACCGGCCATTCAACCAACTTTGTTATTGCATTGCTTCTGCCGACAAACAAACCAGTTCAGCACTGGATCAAACGTGGAGTTGCACTGCTATGCCAGCTGGATAATTAGTGGTATTGATTTTCTGTTAAACAATTAAAATTTATTTCCATTGATTATAATCTCTGGGACATCAACTGTTGAGCACTTTAAGGCAGAACATCATTCATTGTGGGTTTATTTTATTGTTTAGAAAAAAGCAACATCTATTCAGAGAAGAATTAATATGGGAAAATATTTTCATAGAGGTTTTAGTATAGAGCTTCACAAGCAGCAAAAAAGAAGCCTGTGGATTTCTATGTGCTATGGAAAGATTTAGGCGTCAAAGTTGAAAATGGAGTCCCAGATCTGTCATTTTGATCATATGAATGTGTGTAAATGTATTATCTGTTTTAATGCTACTATTAGCAATATTATTGGAATCTTTCCAGTTTCTTTCCTATTTCTCCAAAATTAGTCAAATGAAAAAAAACATCACTATACTCTTTGCATTTTGTACAATTTGTGCTTTATTCTGGCAATAACAATATTTTTTCTTCTGTATCCTTGTATTAAATTTATTAGTAGTAATTTCAAATTCTCTGGTTTTTATATTACATACTTGAAAAAGACAAGAGTCATCATTCCAATTCTAATGTTATTACATTCCAGTAACTAGTAACGTTCAGCATGTGGTTTTGCCAATGTTTTTTGAGAGTTTCAAGAGCAATCATATTGTAAAATCAATCTGTTACTAGTGATTACAATTAATGTGATGAGGGAAGTGGTAATAAATTAAAATAATTTGTTGAACGGGCGGATAATGGCAAGCTCAGGCCATCTGAGATTTATGAGCCAGATTTTGTAGGAAGGAGGTTGAATCCAAACCTTCCTTGATGTTAAGTCCAACAAAATCATCACAAGAGAAGTGAGTTTCTCATTGTTCCAAATAGACTAAGGGAAAAAAAGAGACGAATAGAATGACAGAAATATAGAGAAATATAATTTGAAAAATATTTGTAAAACTTTGAAACCACTAGTTAGTATTCTGCTCGAAGCAGCTTGTTCATGTGGAAGAGACCAGCCTTAGCTTGTGAAATTTGCCACAGACTTAGACCAAAATAGCCATAATGGCAGAACCATGAATCAACAAAATTGTTTGGCTGAATGAACAGCTAAAGTCACAAAATATGAAAGTGCTAAATCTTCCTGTTCTGGTATTGCTGAGCCCAAAACAGCAGCTTGCATTCATACAGCACCTGCCACTTTTGCATGGAACTCAGGCAGAATGATGTTGAAACAAACAGAAATATTAGCTTCTCAAACATCACAAGTTACTTACTTAACCAAACACCACAACAACAAAACAGTGTAATGTAACTCCTTGCTCCTGTCTATGGATTATGTGTGGACTGATTTCTCACTCCTGCCCCTGAGTCATATGGAATAGCAATTTCTTCTTCTGTTGCTGCATGTTATGACATTGGATCAGTTTCACTCCCTGCAGCAGTAGAAGCACATGGGGGAAGGGCTCAGCGAGAGAGAAACTGAAGAAGGCTGGTGCAGATATTTTTAGGACTGTACTTGGTTTTGTCAGTGTTGTCAATTTGACCTTGAGAAACATGCGGTCAGGATTTCTGCAGCCGTGCTGTAAACTAAAGAAGCATCAAGTGAGGAGAAGCCCTTCCCAAACCTTGGGAAAAGTTGATTAAATTTATTTTGTCTTCTGAGTTTAAAAGCTTTGATAGAATCTTCAGTACAGTATAACTGTATAACAGTAGGACAGTTGAATCTTGTAAGTCTAGTTGTTTTCACTCCACAACTGCAAGCAAAGATACCATAAAATTAGTATAAGTTCTGTATTTTTGTAATCATAATTATTTTGCAAAAGAAATTCACAGTCTAATTTTAAGTCTTCATAGTAACAAAGCGTTATATTAAAGTAGCTGATGTGTTCTGCACTTTGGGACATCCTTCCAAAGTGAAAAGCGCTGTATAAATGCAGTTGTTGTTTTCTTTGAACTCGCGTTTCAAGCTCAAGCACTTTTTCCAGGGAAGGACACTGTCAGTGCCAGTCTGAAACCAATCTTCTAGGAGGTAAGAAGAAGCTCAGCCTTTGTTTAGCACCTTTTAGTACAGTATATTTTCTGCTGTTCATCAATTTACTGAACTTGGCAATGTTCTCTTATACTGGGGAAAATAACCTTTCTCTTTTTAGTTGTAAATTTCATGTACCTATAATGGTCATAAGTTTTTTTTAAATATTTTTAGGATTAATTAAGTAACGGTACAAAGTATTGTTGCTGGTTATTTTCTGACATGCAGTCCAGTGTCATTTATTCTGTGCACAAAAGATAAATTCAATAATAAAAGAAACATGATGAATTTTCTTCTTCACATATTCATTTAGGAAATTAATTTCTTAGATGTGGGAAAGCAACAGAGACCTTGATAAAGGCAACCGTGATTCTGCCATTAAAACGCTGACAGACATCCGTTACACTTTGTTTATTATAATAATAATTCTTGCATTTAATATAGCGCCTTATCACATCTTCAAGACGTCTCAAAGCGCTTCACAAAATGTATTGTAAAGTGAATTAACTATATTTTGTGGACGAAACACGGCAACCAATTGAGCATAACTGTGTCCCACAAAGAGTGATTGTGTGACAAAATTATTTTTTAAATTTTTTTTTAAGCAATTATAACCCTTGGAAAAGCGATCTGCCAATTGACTAACAACCGGGTTTCTATTTACTGCTGGGTAAACAGAAGTTTGTGTGTGGAGTAAGGAAACTTGCCCAACGTTTTGCTGACCTGCCCGGGAATCAACCCAGGTCCTCTTGCCTACAAGACGAGTGCTCTAACCACTGAGCTACAGGACTAAGTTGTGAATTTAATTTTATATTTACAAGCATTCTTGATCACCGACAAACACTATCACAGCAAGCACTCTGGGACATTACTCGGCATGAGGGGCGCTAGATAAATGTAAGTTGTTGTCCTGTTTACAATTCATAGCTGCAGAATTGCACTTATGAGCATTTAAGATGGAGCTGTGGGGAGAATGGGAAGATGAAGAGATAATGCAGCATGCAATAGAACAAAGCCTGCAAGAAAATTGCCCATATCCTTATCCTTTCACATCTTCTGTGACAATGGAGGATTGCAGGTACAATACCAATAAACGGACATTTAGCCCATATAAAGTCACATTACACCAGATGTAGCTTCATTAGAAATAAATTTAATGCATTCAATCAGTGCTTGCATGCTTTAATGTAAAAGTAATCAGTTTCCTATAGTTAGCAGCAAGATGTATTTGTAGGATGTCATTGAATACATTTCTATGTTTAACATCATATCCATCAACATTAAAGAGAGGGGTTTAATGCTCCAGGCGTCGAATTTGTTGATGTTGCTCAGCACTATTCTGTTCCATTCTCTAAATTTAGCAATTATGTTCTTGCATGGAGTGCAGTTTTAAGTTAAAAATAATGTGACTTTATACATTTAAAATTCAATTATATTTTTACAATTTCACAGCACCTGGAAATAGCGCAATATTTAAGTGTAGTGGTTTTGCACACATGTAATAATACATAGATATACAGACACACATGCATAACACACACACTTTACAGCAGAGGTCACTGGAGAGGAATTAAGATCTTGAACCCTGGCTTTTCAAACCCTCAGCTACATGTGATGCTCTTACAGCCAGAGACCAGATCAGCTAACATAGCACTAGTTGAATATAAGACTTGAAAGTTTTCTTGGTCTCTGTATAACTCAATGATGCATTTGACCACTGAAGAATCAGAGAGGCTCCTTGACTATAACTGGTAGACCTGAGAAATCTACTGGAGAAACAAACCAGAGCCGCACGCTCCATGGAAACAATTTTAATGTAAACATTTCTACACCGAATAGTGATGTTATTCTGGATTTGAATGGAATAAAGCACATAATTAACCAGAAGTCACTATTAGTCATTAATATTATTTAGCGTAGTTTATAAATTGATAATAACATCTCAAGTTTTACCTAAGCTAAAAATAATAGTTTCACCATCTTGATTTCCAAACTAAGAAATGAAAACTATTTCACTTATTGATCGGCCGGCTCAAACACTCGAAATTGCAAATCTCTGCCAAATACAAGTGTTAACCGTGTAGACTAATATTGAACTTCTAACATTTATTTGTGTAGAGTTCTGAAATGTTATTTTTGTTTTCTGTGCAGATTCTTAAAACAAAGTGAAGAAAACAGGCAGGTTGTCACAGCAATACGGACAGGTGAATACATCTGCAAGTGGTGATGGTTTGGTGTTAAATGGAGTTTCTAAAAAAAAAAGTGAATTTTATTCAGTATTATTATGTTGCTTGTACCTGGCTGCTTTTTTGCATCTTTGTTTTGCATTCAGTCTTTTTAGAGTAGCAAATCCTGTCAGTAAACATTGGAGACATCTCCCAATATTGAAGAAGTCTCCAAGCTTCTGCTTACTTCAGTAAGTACTAGGAGACTATTAACTGAGTTATATCTTTACAACTAAGAGATGAGGAGTAAGCACATTGAAATACCAAACACTACATCTCAATTAAGATTTTGCAGAATCATCATGTTTGTGTCATCATATGAATATGTGAAATTTATTAATTTTCATTTTAGTTGCATTTGTTTTTGTCAAGGAGCTGTGAGTTGAGGAAGGGAAGCTATTGCTTCAGTATTAAGTTCAGAGGTATGTGTTGACCCCTCAATTACTGTTTACATTATGAAATAGGTCAGTTATTTTCACAGTGTTGTCATGATTATAACCATTTAGCGGTATTGAACTATTTGAACAGTTCAATACTTCAATTTTTAAAAACTAAAGGAATTAAGGGATATGGGGACACGGCGGGGAAATACAATTAAGTTAAAAGATCAATCATGATCTTATTAAGTGGCGGGGCAGGTTTGAGGGGCCGAACGGCCTATTCCTGCTCCTATTTCTTATGCTCTTACGAACTGTGGGATTTGCAGCTCAAAGGTATTTCATGATGGTTGGGCAAATTGTTTTGTACAATTATGCTGATTTCACTATGCACTGTCTTGAGGAGCTGACAGATGTAAAGCTGTGATCATTTATGCTTAGGATTTGCTCAGATGTTCCCTTTGTAGTAGTTTCAATTCACCATTAATTGGTTACTCCCTCCGCGACTGTTTGTGGGAGACTAATGTGCGCCACTGGCGGCTGCGTTTCACCCACAAAAGACACAGGCACTGCACTTTACAGTATATCCTGTGAAGCGCTTTGAGATATCTCAACAATGTGATACGGCACTGTATCAAATGCAAGGATTATTATTATTATTTGTAATCTTGCTTTTTTCTCAATGAAATCAAATTAAATTTACAGGAATGATGAGGTTGATGAAGGTAACAATTGATGTGAGTGCTAACACAGTGCGGTGTTTGTGTGTGTGTGTGTGTGCGCGCAAAGTGGTATGCAATGTGTTCTGCAGGAAAGTGGTATGGCAGTTGCTTACTTGCTGTGCAGTTTAAGTTCTTAAAATATTTGCTGCTATCAATAAAACTCCCTCATTTAAACCATATAAACTAAAGTTTATTTCATTCCTAGGCCAAGAGACAATTTTGCGCCAACTCTCCATTCATCGCTCTGCATTTCATGAAGCAGATGAAAGAGGTTGGCTTCCTCTACATGAAGCAGCTGCACAGCTCAATCCATCAATTCTGGAAATTACTTTCCAAAGTAAGAATGTGTTCATGTCAGAAATGTGATACACAATTTGGCTAGAGATACAGTATATTACTACAAACTGCTGCTGGAATGGTGAATACTGTAAATAACCGCTTGGTACCCTTTATCACAAAGAGTAGAACATGGATAAACACTGAATAAAACTTCTGTTACAGCCTGAGAATCATCCAGACTCCTGTTCAGCCATCAATGTTGAGCACGAACGTTTGTAAACAATAGGTTCTTTATTCGGTTATGTAAATATATGTTACTAGCTGTACCCGTTGCAGCTTTGCTTGCAACCAAAGGATCCAATATCTAATGTAGATTGATGCACAGACAGACAGACAGACAGACAGACAGACAGACAGACAGACAGACAGACAGACAGACAGACAGACAGACAGACAGACAGACAGACAGACAGACAGACAGACAGACAGACAGACAGACAGACAGACAGACAGACAGACAGACAGACAGACAGACAGACAGACAGACAGACAGACAGACAGACAGACAGACAGACAGACAGACAGGACAGACAGACAGACAGACAGACAGACAGACAGACAGGACAGACAGACAGACAGACAGACAGACAGACAGACAGACAGACAGACAGACAGACAGACAGGACAGACAGACAGACAGACAGACAGACAGACAGACAGACAGACAGACAGACAGACAGACAGACAGACAGACAGGACAGACAGACAGACAGACAGACAGACAGACAGACAGACAGACAGACAGACAGACAGACAGACAGACAGACAGACAGACAGACAGACAGACAGACAGACAGACAGACAGACAGACGGGAGGTCTCCTGGTTGGGAGGACTCTTTGTTGGAGTGCGTACAAGTGTGACTGGAGAGAAATACCCGTTGCAGCTTCACTTGCAACCAAAGGATCCAATATGGAATGTAGATTGACACACAGACTGACATTTTGTCTTTATCTATACACAGCTGGAAGGACTCCAGTGGGAGGACTCAGTGGGAGGACCCGAAAATAAAATATGCCCTTGTCATTTCCAGTTGCACAACCTTTCCGATGACGTATAAATCATGTCTCTATATCAATCAGTTATTGAGATCCTTCTTGAAGCGCAGACAGACATTGTTTTATTTTATCAGTATAGATTTAAGCTCCTGGTGCAGGGGTAAAGGGGGAATACATCACAGTGCTGTTTCTCCAGGTGAAAACAGCAAATCTGTGCTTCATGTAACCAATAGCGATTAAACATATTTGATACAACGTAGAATAAGAAATTCTCATTTTATTTGGGCTGATAAATGTTTAGAAGTTTTGTTTTTTTCATTCAATGTTCTTGTTGAAATTCCACATTCCGTTGCAGGCTCTTGTCCCATCGCTCGTGAACAGAAAAACCTGAAGGGTCAAACTCCCCAGTTTGTGGCAGTGGAATTGAATCATATAAATAATGTCCGGTATTTCCTTACCAATGGTTGTAACCCCGATTGTAAGGATAAAGAGGGCAATTCTCCTTTAGTTGTGGGTAAGTCTGAAATTAAGTTATTCCTGGTTAAGTTTGTAATACATTGGAATTAATTTGGTAGTTTTGATTTACCTACTCACCTTCCCTCAGTTTACAGAGATCAGAAATCCTCCACATAAGATAACATCACTGGTATATTTCCTTTATAATTTACTGCAGAAATGTTCAAGATCTGAAACTATTTATAAATAAAAATCTGAATTTAATCTTGTTTCCACACTCCACACGCCTAATAATAATCCCTCAAGAAAAAAAACAATAATAAATTGGTCACTTCAATCCACGACTGTTTGTGGGACACTGCTGTGCGAATTGGCTGCCGCATTTCGCCCACAAATATACAGTCAATTCACTTTACAGTATATTCTGTGAAGCGCTTTGAGATGTCTAGAAGACGTGAAAAGCACTATATCAAATGCAAGGATTATTATTAATATTATTATTATCCCCAGAGGCAGTAGGGACTCCAGCAATAGTTGCTGAAAGTGGACAGGCTGGATATAACATGATTGGTGGTTACCATATAAATGTTTCTCTGTTTATTTTAATTCGAAAGTTAAATAGTTATGATCACAATCCAGTTCATATGGGAAACTTGTGGTTTCCAGTTAATGTATATAACCGAGTTAACACAGTGTGTTTGCTCCTCTCAAAGCCACCAGAAGTGGAGCATACGACACTGCCTCAATGCTGATACATTTTGGTGCGACAGTGAACTTTAAGTGCGTTAACCAAAGGACAGCTCTGCATGACGCTGCCAGACTGGCGAAGAAAGATCTGGTGAATTTATTAATCTGCTCAGGAGCAGCTGTAGATCCCCAAAGTGCCTATGGAATAACCCCACTAGCTCTGGCTGCACAGAATGGATTTACTGAAGTGGTGGAAATCTTGCTTAAAAAGGGTAATGAATTTTATGTAAGATATTGATCAGTAGGCTCTTATTACCAGACCACAATAATGTCTGATGCACAAAGCTTGAAGAAGTGATCCAATATCCATCAAAGCTAAGTAAATGGATAGATTTGGTTTTGACACAGGTACTTATTGCACATTCCTAACTGTTGGATGGTTAAACAAGAGCACATTTGAATATTAGGAACTGAATAGTTATAGTAGGTCTGAGTATTTTAATGTGGATTGTCAGCTAGTTGGAAGTGTTGAGGTACATCTTACATCATCAGATGGCAGACTTTTATCCTTACAGTTGCAGTAACTTTGAATGACCCACACAGTGCGTTTTCATGTTCAAATTCAAGTACAAAACACAAACTCATGTCCTCGAAATAAAAGAACAGTTTTCTAGCCATTCTGCTTTCATCCAGTCAGCACAGTTCCTATCTTAAATCACAAAATACAGCTAATTCACCTTACAATATATTCTGTGAAGTGCTTTGAGGTGATTTAACAATGTAGTAAGTTTCTGTATGAAATGCAAGCATTATTATTATTATTATTAGTGGACTAACTTTGTTCTGTTGTGAAGGAGCGGATGTCCTGTCTCAAGCCTCCGATGGGGTGTCGGTGCTATTTGAAGCGGCTGCTTCTGGGAACCCAGACTGTGTGTCGCTGCTATTGGCACATGGAGCCGATGCCAACGTTCCCAAGTACTCGGGGCATCTCCCCATTCACCGGGCGGCGTACAGAGGCCACTGCCAGTGAGACAAACTTTTATTTGGAATTTTAGAGAAAAAAATTAAGCAACAAGAGGTTTATTTAAAAAGGAATTTTAAAAGGTTTAAATTATAAATACTGTGACTGTAATGTATGGAAATTCAAGGTTTGCGTTTCCGTAATATTAAGGTCAAGTTTAGAAGTAGTTTTACTGCATTCTTTCTTTGGCTGTAAGTGTGAGCTGCACTGACTATGACTCAGGTTCATTGCTGCTATTTGATCACTGATGTTGATTTGTCGGTTTTCACTTCTCTTTACGTTGACACCTCACCTCCGATTACATTGTGTTGATGATCATTGAATTTCCAGAGGGGAATCTCTCTCGTTATCGGGACTCAGTCAATACCTTTCATGATTGAACAGATCTGTCAACACTCACTACTTAGCCTCACACACAGCAAATTGGGTGATGTACTGAGCAACTCTGAGACTTACCTGTGGAATAACATGGGCCTTTTATACAACAAAGGGGACAAGACAATACCTTCATTGTTGAATGTATTCTGATTTGATTTCCCTAGAGTGCTGAAACAGCTGATCCCAGTGACAGATCACTCTGCTATTAAGGAGAGTGGGATGAGTCCAGTTCATTCTGCAGCAGCAGGTGGTCACCCACATTGTCTCGAGCTGCTTCTCCAATCTCATTTTGACGTCAATTTCAGGCTCAGTCAAAGACTTTGCAAGGGTTACGATGATGAGAGAAAATCTGCTCTGTATTTTGCCGTCTCCAATAATGACATCGTCTCAACCCGCCTGCTCCTGAAAGCTGGGGCTCTGCCTAACCAAGACCCCATCAACTGTCTGCAACTCGCACAAAGGATGGGCAACTATGAGCTCATGAACATCCTCCTTCGCCATGGTGCCAATGTCAATTACTACAGCAAAATCAACAGTATGCACTTCCCCACCTCTCTACAATACGCCTTGAAAGATGACATTATGCTGAGAATGTTGTTCAGTTATGGATATGATCTCCTTCGGTGCTTTGATTGCCCACATAGTGACAACAGTCATCCCGAGAATAACTTTGAAGGATGGACCCCTACAGTCATTAAAGACAATATGGTAGGAACTCACACAGTCTGGACGCATTTTCCGGTGTAAAATTAAACAGGTTTTCCACAGCATTTCCAGGCTAGGTGCTAAATAAGGTATAGTTTCCACGACGCCAATAGTTCAAGTAGTTATCCCTCTAAACAAAACCTTCAGATTACCAAGATTACCAGACTGATGCACTACATATTGTGCTAAAAAGGCAGGTAGGGAAATGTTAATATTTTCATCACCTTTTAATTTTGATTTTTTTTCAGTTTTGTGAAGTCATTACTTTGCCTTGGTTCAAACATCTGTCTGGGAAAGTGGTCTGTGTGATGCTGGATTATGTCGATCACGTCCGTTTCTGCTTTAAACTGAAAGATATTCTTGAACAACAAAATGAGTGGCCAGAAATAAAACATTTAATGGGTATGTTTCTGACTTTGGTTTTCAAGTAATTAAAGTACACAATTAGGATATTTGGTGAAACACAATATTAAATTATCTGTGTTCCAACATCCATTTCCTTTTGTAAGCATCCACAATCATCACTAGATTGCGCCTTTTATGCACAATAACATGATCCAGTAGATATGCATCAATAAGCTGAACACATTTACATGAAGAGTAAGTGACAAGACTGAAAGGACAGTATTCCCCGCACTCTCCTCTCCCCCTGGGCTCCAGATACCATCCACTGCTGGTGCCGCAGCACTGTTGAGAATGGACATGACGTGGTGTGGACATGAGAAAATTAACCTTGTAAATTTGCTGCTGAGCCAACAAGTAATCGACTGCATGTTGGCAACTTGCCTCAAAAATATGCTGGTTTCATAATTGTTTGATTTGAACCATGTAAACTTCACAAGTGCCTCAATCTTCTTCTGAATTTCTCTTGTGTACCTTTGCTATACAAATATAATATTGGTGTTGTTGTTGCTTACAGAAAACCCACGTTCTTTGAAGCATCTTTCTCGACTGAAGATCCGGAAATGCATGGGTCGGTTGAGGCTGCGATGTCCGATATTTATGACATTCATGCCATTGCCGAATCGGATGAAGGAATACATTCTTTATAAAGAACATGACCTTTATGGGCAAAAATACCTCCTCAGTCCTTCATAGTGCATTTTTTGTATTTTAAAGGTTAGTTACCAGTTCTCAGTTGAATAATTACACTTGTAGATCATTGCCAGCTTTGACAGTGCAATGAAAACAGACCGAAGCTATTTCATTTGAAGCCTTACATAAACTTTAGCCACATAAAAATATGGTTTAATCTTCAGTTTGCATCATGTTATTTTGTGGTGACTAATTTAAAATTGTGCATAAGAAAGCAGAAAGGCCTGTGTCACAACGATGTGTGAACTGAACAAATAACATTTCAGAGGAAAAGTGCAACTTTATACCCGAAGAATTACTTTCTGGTGAGAGAAGCCAAGCAGGTGGTCGGGTTGAACTAAACCAAATACTCTGGGCTTTTGGGGGTTTTCTTTGAGAACCTTGTGTACTGACGCTAACTTTGCTTAGAGCTGCAAGAGAAGCTACCCAGCTCCTTCTGATAATTATTGTTTATTTATTATTACTTACTTAGTGAAGTACTTTGAGATGCCTCAATGATGCGATAAAGCGGTATATTAAATGCAAGTATTATTATTATTCATTAACTTCTCAATAAGTATTTATAATCAGAAACCACAATGACAAATTGAAAGATTCTACCTCATGGAACTATTGAAAATGAAGGTATCTTATCACTATATCTTTACAATTGGAACATGCAGAGTCAGAACAATGACTGAGAGGCACTAATGGATAAAATTGGTCAGGTTAATAACCCAAGCTTTTTTATGTAAAATATGAAATATGTAAAACAAGTCTAATTTGTAAATAACCAAATAATAGCCAATGAAAATAATTATTTTCCACAATAGTTATTTATTGTTGATTGGACATTAATTTGTATATACAAGTCTTACATTTTACATAATTGAAATACAGTATAGTTAATCAAATTATATTCAAGAATCAGAAACACATTTGCATAGAATTAAACAAAGATTAAGCACGATGATTAAAAATAGTTAAAGATAAACAATTAAAAATAAAGTTCTTAACTGGTAACTGTTTTAAATAGTCAATTGCTATCCGACCTCTAGTAAAACAGAATTGTACAGAGATGCTCCTTCAATTTATTACACCTCGAAACAGATGTGGAGATGAGACTGATTTTATTCCTGAATTAACCATTTCCCTTTGTATCCTCATTTGACAACCAGGTCAGATTTCTGTGATGAGTTATTTATCCAATTTCACCAGGTCCCACGTATTTGCAATTACCCAAACTGGTTTCAGATTTTCACTTGGATGTTGTAGGAAAGAAATATCCAGTTGGTGGAATGAGTCGTTTTTTAAAAAATCCCGAAGCTGAATGATGAGGCCACCACAGTTCCAATATGCAACATACCTTACAATACAATGTACATTATTCCACTGTTCCTTACACCATTACACTTAATTCCAGATTTACAATCTTAATTCTTAAAATAGATTGGTTATTCTGTGGACACTTAGTTTCACATTTCCTCCATATATAATCTGATATTCTGTCTCCATCCCATTCTTTTTAAGGTCGTATGCTTTGAGCTGGTAAAGATTAATCCTCTGTCCATTTATTGTTATTTTGCTCTTCTGAATCTCTTCTTGTTCCTCCCAAGTTTCAAATACAAAATGAAATTCTTCCTCCTTGCATTTTCCTTCTGTTGAAATCTTCTACTTGGATTCTGACCAGACTAAATGTTGACAAAACTCAGGCTATTCTGCTCAGGTCCAGGCACTTTGTCCCCATTTTATGGAATTCTCTGTCACTCTCATTCTCTCTCTTTCAAAACCGGTTTTAAAAACCTCTCTTTGTAACCACTTCTCCTACATCTTCCTTGCAGTTCAGACCCCTGTGTTGTCTGTAATGTACTATTTATTTAAGAACTAAAGAAAGCTGCCTGGATCTAAACAATGTTGTGGCATTAAGATGGGTGTTCATTCAAAAAAAATTGCAGTTATCACAAAAACCTGTTGATTAAAAGATTTCAGGGAAATACTATTATTAAACAAAGATCAGTGGTCTTCAAGTTCTTCCCTTCAATTGAACACTTCTATTGTAATATATGCAAAATACTACCTTGCTTTTCTGATCAAAACAATTTATTTTGAAATAAATCAGCAAGTTTAGCACCACAGATACTTGGGTCTAAATTAAGCCTTAATTGTACTTATGTGTAAGTAAAAGTGGTACTAGGAAAACAACTTCACAATAAGTACAATGCTGTTCAATGATAAAAAAAAGTTCTATTACATTTATATAAAATTCAACAATGTTTCCACAGTATTTGGGAAATGAGTTAAGACTTTATTGCAACAAGTGGCGTACATTTGGTAACAAACAAATGTTGCAAATATCTCCAATAAAACCACATCACTTTGTGTCTTTATTATGCTTTGCTATAAACAAAGTTAACTGGAAACCTGATTCATTGCACTGTCACCAAATTTGATAAAGTACATAATAAGATTAGTGTTCAATCAGTTAAAGCAGAAACGTTTCTTCCTACAAAAGATAGGGAGAATGTGAAAGGCACTGAACAGAAAGTCAATATCAACTGAAGTGGTTAAAAGATAGTTGGAAAGTTAGGAGGTAAAGCAGTGAAAGAAGTGGGGAGAAGGGTGTCTGTATTAGAAATATAAACAGCTGTCGTATAATACAAATGACAGAGCAGGAGCAGTGAGCCAAACACCCATCTTCTGTTCTTGGGTAACCCCAGAGGCTACAATACACCCCATAGTGACTCAGTGCCAACTTGTTAATCAGTTTCTTCTGGTTTGATTAATTGGTCAGGATATTGCCGCACATAAACCACCATGTAGTGAGACAGTTTATATTGCACTGCAGCCTAATCAGTTGGATAACTGATGTAGCTACAGCAATTGAAATTCCTTTTATACAATTTATTTATAAAATACACATACGCTTTGCTTTATGCATAAGTGGTTTGATCAAAGATATGTACCAGGTCAGTCTGCTATATTAAAGCAGGATAGGCATGCTAATTTAGTTATATATAATATAGACACATGTGTTAGGATGAAGCATATAACATTTAGAATTAATGGAAAGATGTTTGCTTTCTCTTTATCCAGAAATGATAGCCCTGTACTAAAAAGAATAAAGATAATAATGCATTAATTCTAATCTGATATTAAAACCGTTTTTTCCATTCTTTCCCTCACTACTGGTAGGCCTACTATTAAACAAGGAAACATTAATAGGTTAGGAAAATAGTTCAGTGAAATTCACAATTTTATGAACATTTTGATCATGTTTAAGTTGTCTAAAACATACAAAAGCTTATTTTTGAGATTCAATTTTATGGCGATCCAATTTGTTTAAACTCTGCAGCCCTCACTTTATATTTAAACTGCCCTCACTTTATGCTGAGTTGATTGACGAATGACTGTCACGAGCTCAGGCTTCTGATTCTCTTTTCTTCTTCCCATCGTCCCCTGCATCACTGTCTTCTGATTGGCTGCTGCTCAGCACGAGCACCTGTCCCTCACCTGGATTTGGTCGATTGGAAGCAGCGATGAGGCGACTTTGCTTTTCTAAATCCTGGAAAGAAAAGCTCTATTTATGCACTTCATAGTTTATACCAGGTGTTTAGAATCACACTTCCCTCTCCCCCACACAGGTGAAACACTTACTGACACCAGGACAATAAATATCCCAAATATATAGTCAGAACCAAGTGCTCAGCGGAAGCTGCATTTGGATTTAATTTCGAGTCCTCCCTGTTTACCTTCTCAATCTGTTTTTGTTTATCAAGTTCCTTTAATTGCCTTTCCTTTTCTCGGTCAATTTCCTTTTGCTTTTCTGTGGCTCGTCGATCCTGATGGAACAGACAATAGGTCAGTAGAGACGCTACCCTACCATACAAGCGCAAGTTGTTGTTGTTTTTGTATGCTGAAACTACCAGATGTTAATCCAGTGGTGAGGAAGTCCTTCAGACAAACAGCAACCCTGTACAGACAATACTTCATGTTGTTAGCCCTGATTTATTTGAAAGTTTCCTCCTCACTGGAGATTTCTTACTGGTATGAAATCAGCATTATTTTCCAAGCCTTCAGTAAAAATGTTTCAGATTTAAATCCAGAGTCAAGGCGCTCTATGCGCTCATGTTTAAATGTTTAATGGTACTTGGATCTCAATGACAAGATTCCTTCTGCTTTACTTACCATTTCTGAATGAAAAGCAATCTGTTTGGCCAGTCCGACAGAATCACAGATCTAGAAAATAAAACGTAAAGCATTTACAGCATTGAAATGCATGGTGACATGCAAAGATATTTTTATTTGAAATCATTCTCAGTCTTGTTGTATTATCACTATATGATTTTTGGAGTCCTGTAGCTCAGTATAGAGCACTCGTCTCTCACGTAAAAGACCCGGGTTTGATTCCCGGCTGGACGAAACATTGGGCAAGTTTCTTTATTTCACACACCTCCGTTTACCTAGCAGTATGTAGGAACCTGGTTGTTAGTTGGTTGGCGGATCACTTTTCTGGGGATAATAATCCTTCAAAAAAAACAAATAATAATAATAATGTGGTCACTCAATCCACGACTGTTTGTGGGACACTGCTGTGCGCAATTGGCTGCCGCATTTCGCTCACAAATATACAGTCAATTCATTTTACAGTGTATTCTGTGAAGCGCTTTGAGACGTCTAGAAGATGTGACAAGGCGCTATATAAAATGCAAGGATTATTGTTACTATTATTTTAGGTGTCGAAGCTTGTAATACTGTGAATTTTGGTATGAATGTTCAAGATAGTGGTTTCTCAGAAGGCAGTAAAAGCATTATATCATTACTGTATGCTACATGAACTGCTTTTTTTAACCTTTTCTCCTTCGTTGTTTGACTCAAACACATAGCAGACGGAGACTGCTCGCCCTTCTGTTCTGCTTCCTGCCGTACGCAACACAAACCCAAAGAGGCGTTTGTTCTCTGTGTGCGTTGCACAGAGCACCACATTTTGCAATGGGAACTGCAAGAAAAGGTTATACAAAACAGCCAAATTAGAAATGTTTTGCAATATTGCAGTTTTTTTAGTATAAAGCTGAAAAACAGAGGATGCAATTCCACCCATTATAACATCACGAAGGTCAGTAAATGTTACCAACCAGCAGAAACTTCCATCACTTTTTTTTCTAGACATAATAACTCAGTTAGTAAATATGATTAGTAAATATGTTTTTTTCTAAAAAAAAATGGATATGTTTTGTAAATCTACTAATGCTTACCCTTAACCGTGTGACTTGAGTCTGTGGATCAATCAACCTATAATGTAAAAGAGATTTCCAATCAGCCTAGCGTATATGCTAACAGGTCAAATGCAAGCAACTTAGTTGAGAACCAAATGACTTTAAGTGAAAGAGAAATGCTGGAAATCCACAGCAGGTAAATGAGTAGTAAGACAGGGTTCAGGGCACATTGTCCTTTGCCAATTTGGGGCCAAGAAAGGTTAGGGGGAGAGGCTTATCTCTGGGGACAACCCTCATTCCCAAAGTGGATGTTTGGGTGTAATTGAGGTTAATGGGGTTGAGCAGCCTGACCTCGCTCAGCGAAACAAAATAATCCTAAAGACAAACTTACTTCAGACAGTCACAGGTGACGAGTAAGTGGGATTCTGTCATGCGGAAGATGTTGTGGATGGCCCGAGCTGCGAGGATCTGACGCATTGTTTCATAAATGACGTCTGAGTTTTCATCTGTTTTGACTTCCATTGAACCAAGAAACCTCACTATAAACAGCTGATGAAGAATGGATTCTGCAGTGGGTATTTAAAAAGAAGCAATTTGTATTTCTTAATAATACATTACTGGAGATGGGAATGGGGGGACAATTCACCCAAGTGAGAGAATAGAACCTTTGCATTTTTTTGCCACATTATAATATCTAGTCAGATTTGGTCAAATCAGCGGCAAGATAATTGGTTTTGACACCATTTTCTCCTCAAAACATCAAACTTGCTGGATCACAAATCAATTGAATGCCTGATCTCACCTTCAGGTTCCTCTGCTTTTGTCTCACCAGATTCTCCAAATGGGTTTGTCCGTCTGATAAGAGGAAAATAAATGTCAAACCATTTGCCTAACTTTATATTCCAACCTGCATAACAGACGGTAACTCTTGAATATGCATCATGAGTTTCTATCAAATCATGATGTACATTGATCTTCTTGTACTCAATATTGAAGCATGGTTATTTCAAGAGATTTTGCATCTAATATAGTGGCTGGAACATACTGAAGCTACAATCCTGGAGATAACAACACATTTCAGCAGACCAGCTGACAGAATTTACTGCCATAGTTATTCTCTCACCTTGCACCTTGTCCTGAATTCTTTGATTGGTTGGATAGGTCTTCACTGACTGGAGAAATGATGTCAAACTGAATGGGTGTGTCTGGGGCAACGATAGAGTCCAGAGACACTGAAGAGAGGACAGCCGATTCTGACCCCAGGGAGTTCGAGCTGTTTGATCGGGAAGTGCGATGTCTGCTTTGGCTGTGTGTTAGAGTGAATCAAGAGATTTAACATTGAGATGGAGTAGTGAAAAATCTCTACGTTTGGTTTGTATTTTAAAAAGTTGAAAGACAGAGTGAATTAAAAGTGAGGTTGCAAGGCTAAATCACTGATGTGGTATTTTATGATCGTAGCTGTGCCATTGTAAGGAGATGGCAAGCAAAGGTATCCAGCATCACAGCTGGAGACCTGGATGCAAGTGTTAAAACCAGTTGGGAAGATAGATGAACGGTTCGGCAGATTTTATCAAACAGGAGAAGATGATGCATTGGCCATTTCCATAATAGAGATTACAGAAAATGGTAGCTGGGTGTGGAATGCAGACTTAATGGGGTTTACATTTTATTTTTTGCATTTGTTAAATGATGAGGGTGCTAACTTATATCTTAGCTTAGTACATATATGGGTAATTCAGATTTCTCCATACGAAAATCTCCACACTATATAGCTAGAGGCCTGAATACAGAGGGACGTGTCAATTCCCTGGTCAAGTGAATAAGCAGTAACCAAAATGGCAAGAATTATTTCTATTCACCTATGATGTAATACTTATATTATAAGTTTACAGAAAACCGGATCCAGTTTAGTTAGAGTGAAGCCCCTTTATAACACAATCCATAAAATGCAAAATAGTGCTATGATGGTGTGTGAATGCTGGTCAGTGCTTCTGACACACTGACCCACACACACATACTGGCCCACATGCTTCCAGGGCAAAAACGTGGTCAAGTTTAGGTTATCAGGTGCCACTGAAGCCACTTCACAAACGCTGCATGTGCACAGGGTGCAGGAAGCAATGTCAATTCCAGAATGACCTGGAATTCGCTGTTTTAAGTACAATGTGAATTTTTCTGTAAGTGGGTGTTATAAACAAATCTGCATTATAAAAAGTGCATTATAACGGGCTGTAATCTGAATGTGATTTCTATGAGTTCTAACTCTTACGGTATGGGCTTCAGACTTTCGTGTCTCTGCTGAAATGAAGGGGAAGGTGTGACGGCCTCCAAAGCAGACTGGTTTACTCGAGCAGCCAATTCCTACAGAGAGAGAGAAAAACAACACATTTTATCCACGAATAAGGTGAGTTGCTACAGCAGTGTGCTAACGGATATCAATGGATTAGAAGTGAATGATGGAAATGGGCAACAATATTTAGTAAGCACTATAAAACAAAGCTGTAGAACAGGTGTAAACACTATCTATTGGTTTTGCTGTAGGCACTGGGTTTATATTACACTGTCTGTGAAGCTATGTCAGTATTTGCGTTTGGAAATGTTCCAGGTTTTTATTGTAGAATGAGGATATCATTATTGTATGTGTAGATGTTATCACAGATACAGTGACATTATATGGCAGACGCAATATTAAATAGCAGTTTCCAGGTGTTAAACCTGAATATCAAGTAACCCTTTTCTTGGTTCTGCCATTATTTAGGTAGCGGGACAGCTGGGAAAAAACAGTCTGAATGCATTGATGGAATGAAAAATCTGATTGTTCAATTGCCAGCGCATCAAAGCAGAATATATTAACAAAGTTGTAGCAAATTTGTAGATGTATGCTTAAATAGATAATTCACTTCTCTTCAAAGAAACTCATTCTGAATTGTGAAGTAGACCTCATGTTTATAAGCTGAGGAAGGCTACGCCATCATTTTAGTGTTTCCTGTAGTGTGACTGGGGAAACTTATTAACTATTTCTCTATAGAAATGATTGTCTTCATATGAATGATCAGGTCCCAAATGAAGGATCAGATTCATACTGTTACTGCCTTTGATACTGGTATTACTTCTGTAACAATCTGACTGGACAATGTTGGCGATTACTAAATTGAAATGGACTTCACAAGAACAAACCACTTTCAATACTATAAACATAAATTGTTCAATGTAAACAGCAACATGCAGACTTACTTCCGGATTCTCACTCAAGTAGATCCGCCTGGAGATGTTATTGATTGTTGTGATCCACTGCAGAAACAAAATTGCAACATTTTTTAGAATAAATGGCCACAATCGAAAAGAACAATAAAGTAAAAGAGCACAGTACACAGACAGCTGTAAAACACATTTTGAGTTATTGTCCCAACATGAGTCACTAAGTGTAATTGGTGTTGGGTCTGTGCTGCTCATTATTTTACACTTTATTATATTTTATTCTTGTGGGGACACGAGGAAGCAACTAACTCCCCAAGCAAATAACAAGATGTTCAGAAGTGACACTTCATTTATTAAAGTGGATAATACAAGTGCATGTATTATATAGTAACAGTCTTTCTGAAGATGAGTATTTTAGTATTATATCTTCGGAGCTTACCTCCTCACAGTCTTGTTTACTTTCTGCTTGTAAGATAGCAGTCCTGGAATATTCAAATGCAAAGAAAGGTTTTCACAAATGTTAAAGAACCTATTTTACAGTCTTAACTGTATTGTGGTAATATAAAAGGCTAAGCAGCTCACATTATGAGGTTATTTCAGATTGTGGATTAGAAAAAGACTCACTTTTTCCCATCAAAGGCGGTGATTTGAAAACAGTATCTTCGATCCTCACAATCCACAGCCATAACCGTGTTGTTATCCAGGTCCATGACCAGTCCTCCTGCGACCTCCCCTCGGGCCTGTCTCATCAGGTTCCCTCCCTGAGTAAAGTAGTAATGTCTCTCCCAGGTCGACGACACCAAACTCGTTTTACTGGAATCCAAACAGACCGGATCATTAAACAACAACAACTTGGATTTATATAGCGCCCTCCTCGCCAGACGGTATCTCAGAACGCTTCACAGTAACAGATCCAGGGGCCGAGCCGGGGGGAGGTGGAGGAAGGTGACCAAAGGCGCGGTCGAAACGAAAGGTCTTCAGCAGGGACCTGAAAATAGGAAGAGAGGGGGCGAGGCGAAGGGAGTGAGGAAGGGAATTCCAGAGCTTCGGGGCGTAGTGGCTGAAGGCACGGCCGCCGAGGCTGGAGCGGAGGACTCGGGGGACGAGGAGGAGGCCAGACCAGGAGGAACAAAGGCAACGGGTACTGTTTTGAGGAGAGAGGTCAGAGAAGGGGTGCAGAGGAATGAAGGGATTTAAAGACAAGAGTGAGGATCTTGAAGTCGATCCTCTCTGGGACAGGCAGCCAGTGCAGTCTGGCAAGTACGGGGGTGATCGGGGAGCGGAGTTTGGTGCGGGTGAGAATGCGGGCGGAAGAGTTTTGAATGATCTAGATTTTTATGTGTAGTAGTCGAGGGGAGGCCGGCGAGTAGGGCGTTAGAATAGTCCAGCTGAAGGTGACAAAGGCATGGACTAGGGTTTCAGCGGCTTTCGGAAAGAGGTATTGGCGATGCATCGGAAGAAGGCGGTGCTGGTGAGGGGAGTAAGGATAATTGGGGGTCGAACCTGAAGCCTAGGTTGCATACGGGTTCGGAGAGTTTTAGGGGGTGGTCGGGTAGGTGAGAGCCGTGAGATTTTAGATGTTGATGAGAGCCAAAGAGTATGGCTTCCATCTTGTCAACGCTCAGCTGAAGGAAATTTGCGCTAATCCAGCCCCTGCGATCTGACAGGCAACTGACAGAACATCAGGGGACTGGGGGTCGCAAAGAGAGGTGGAAAAATAGAGTTGGGTGTCGTTCGCGTACATTTGGAAATGTACCCCATGTCTGCGAATGACACCCCCAAGAGGGAGCATGTAGATCAGAAAAAGGAGGGGGGCCAAGGATGGATCAGGTGAGAGTGGGAGGAGAAGCCGTTTATGCAGGTGTACTGCTGGCAGTTTGTGAGGGTGGACTCGAAGCAGGCGAGTGCGGTCCCACTGAGGTGGATGACAGAGGAAAGGCGGTGGAGGAGGATGGCGGGATTGACTGCGTTGAACACCGCGGAGGAGTCCAGGAGGACAAGGAGGCAGAGGGAACCCTGGTCACAGATAGAGAGGATGTCATTTGTGACTTTCACAAGCGCAGTCTCTGTACTGTGGGCGGAAACCGGACTGGAGGGGTTCAAAAGGGAGTGGGAGGAGAGGTGTGCATGAACTTGATCAAACGTAGAACCCAGTTTCCATTTGCTGTTGTATAACCAAATATTACTGTAATACTTGGACAGAACATCTCATCACTTCATAAGAATTATTATTATTAAGGATTATTGCAAGGATTATTATTATTATCACTTCATAACCTCAAACACTTCATACAATTACTTATCTATCTACGTAGGCAAATGTAGCAGCTTACCTGCTAGCAACACCCCTCAAACAACAATAAGATGAATGCTCCGATCAATTAAAATTCAGACTAAATTCTCAGAAAGCAGGATTTTAACAGGACTGATATTCACTGGCAAATAATTATTGGGTAGTCAACTCTTAATATTTGTTTCATGATATATTTATATTTTAATATATATTTTCACAGACCTCTGAATGGTATCAAGTGTTGGCACCTACTTCCTTGTATTAAGATAACCAGTCTTTCGAGTCAGGTTCCTATTAACACTGACTGTTTGAGGGCCTGAGTCGGGCAGATATAAAGCATCGCTGGCAATTTCCAAGTCCTCAATCGTCTGCTGCATGCTGTCCACTTCAGACTCCATTTCCCTTCGGACACTGGAGACAAACGATACACTAATTATTTATTTTACATAAGCAGATATTTTTTTAAAAAATTCTAGTACAAAACAAACTATTTTGTGTGGAAGGAATGCTGACGTGATGAATTAAGTAGATTAGTGATCAATGTAGGAACGTCCTGGTGTTGTATGATTGTTTCACACAAAGCAGTGACATTTAATCATTAAAATATTTTGTTTAAAACAAAGGTTTCCCAGAAATAATCTATCTTTATATTTTAAGTGTGAACTAACTTCCACACTTTCAGAAGCCATTTTTGGAATCAAAGGTTTGGAGGATAACCACATGTTTTGATGATTCTATCCCAGCTAAAGCTCTGGGACCCTACACTGCGTGAAGGGCGCTATACAGTGTAATCTTTTTTTGTTGCTTTTGAAGCACAGTGCAGTTGACCAAGTGGAAGAGGATTTTAAGATTTAAATTATAGATTAGACGATTAGAAATGTATTTGTTCGAAGAATAAACATATTTGGAAATAGGATAATTATTAAACTTACCCCTGGACACTGGTGCCAATATTTGAAAGAAACTCCTCTAACTGTGCAGTCATATTTTCAGTGCCCATCTTGAAGAAACTTATCTGAAAAACACTAATTATTTTTAGGGAAGTCTATGTAAATCCAAAATACTAGTTTGTAAGGGAATGAAGTCTTCTGAGAAATGCAGTAATTGATCCTCTTGAGATTTACTAAAACACAACATAGAAATCTCACATTTCAAAGTCTACTTTGTGGATTTTCATAATAAGAAATCTCATTTGAAACCCCATTGACTCCCAGGAACTTTAGCCTGTAAACAGATCACATCGGAACAGAGTCATGGGTTGGAGTGACATACTGCCAGCGACTGAAAGATCTCCCCAATTATGCAACTCAGATTTAAGTGCTCCGGTACCCTACCCCACGTGATGGTGCTATATAAATGCAGAAGTCACTGGGAACACTGAGGGTGTGCTTGCAGACAGACCGGAAGTGGTTGGCAAATCGGTCACCCTGAGCTTCCGATTTCTTGCCACTTCAACTTTCCCTCCCACTCGCACTCTGACCTCTCCATCCATTGTCATAGACCTCTACGCTGTTCCAATGAACCACAGCGCAACCCTCAATATTGATTTTAATAATTTCAGATAGGAACAGCTCACCTTCCCCCTCCCCCTCTGCTGTGACCGTTAACACATTATCTGGATCCCAGACACACCTTTTCTCTCTCTGGTCTGCCTGTTTTGTTGCAACTTCTCCCCCCCACCCCCTCACCCCTTTATTCTGGATTATTAAGACCTCTTTCCCCTTGTTTTGTTACAATTCCTCCCCCATTTGTTTTGCATCATTAACACCCCTTTAACCCATCATCCCCTGTCCTCTGCCCCATTTTCTCCTTTGTCTTCCTTGCCCTGCCTCCCCTCTCTGTTAGTCCTTAAACGCCTCTCCCTCCCAACATGCCCAGTTTTGACAAAGGGTCATGGACCCAAAACGTTGACTCACTTTCCTTTCTTCACAGATGCTGTCTGACCTGCTGACTTCTGTTTTTGTTTCAGATTTCCAGCATATGCAGTATTTTGCGTTTTGGCTATATAAATGCAAGTTGCTGTTGTTGTAACTTATTAAGAAATTCTGTGAAAAACTGGAAAGAGCCCCTTCCCCTCCCCCCAAAATATGAAAAAAGGTCTCCGGGGAGGGAGAGGAAGCATAGTAATTAAAAACATTGATGAACACCTACCTACCCTCTCTTCATTAATGACACTTGAAAATCTAGCTCAAGAGCTGGTAATAGGAGGTACTGTTACAAGCCTCCATCTGATCCTCGCTGTACCTGATCCAGGAGTGAAACCGATTTAAAAGCTTGGTAATAACTGAAAACAAGATACCTGTTGCTGACATACCTGTGCTTGCATATATCCTAGGAGAGGTTCGAGCAGCGTCATCTTTTTCTTATATTGTAATGTATTCAATGCACAAAAATAGTGCATCATGGTTTGGTGCTGCTTTTTCCTAGAGGTATACAGGTCCTCTGACGCCTCTAGTTTTATCTGTTCGGAAGAAAGAAAGCCATAAACTATGCTGCCTAATTTATTGCTATAATTCATAAACTTTTAGTTTGATATAAAATACTTGCTGATGTGACCCAAATTGCCTTGATATTTAACTGTATCGACTGAGTCTTTTTAATATTTTAGAAAAATGCATTCTCATGACTAAATACTGTTCCAATCCAGTCTTTTGGTTTCTGAAGCTACAGAGTGTAGAAATGGTTACAAATAGTTTAAGATTGCTAAAAAGCAAAGGGAGTAGTCAAACCTTTTCATTTTCTCTGCGTTTGGAAAGTCTACTGTATTTGTTGATAGCTATGTCATGGTCTGTGAAATACAATACAATACAAAATTACATTTGTAAAGTACCTTCACGTCGGGAGGACAAACTAATAAATACATTAGGACCCTTTAACTACACTAAAAAGGAATTAAAATGATAGGTAGTTTATTGCTAAATAAATAAGCAATAATTTATTGGTTGTTTGAGAGAATCACAATAGTTCAGTGTGGATGCTCTTTAGAAAATAGGATTATGGTAATTTATCGGGACAAAGTATAGGAACATTTAACCATCACATGTATCTGATGTTCACTGTGGCGCTAAATGAGAAACAAAAACAAGATCCACCAAAATATTTTTCTGCAACTGAAATAAATCATACTCACCATTACTTGCTATAGCAAAGACTTCCTTTAGAGTTAGCATTTCTGAAAATAAATAAAATGTGCTGTTAATTGCAATTTGGCTGACTTTATGCTATTCGTATATTTAATAGCAGAACTTATTAACTTTCCAAAATACAAAATGTATGTTAAAACGAGTTTGGTTTGAAAGTCAATACAGTATTTGAATTAATGAATAGACGCATTTTAAGGTCAAGCAGTAACTACTGGTATTCCTATCATTTTTATACCTTTTATATCCTTCTCCTTGAATTGTCTGATGGGGAACATCATGGCATCAGCTAATTGCGTTGAAAGGACTGCATGGCAGGAACTCAACTGGAAATAACATCACCATTAGTTTACAAAGAGTAAAAGTCTGAAGTCTTGTTAAATTTTGGCCATAGGGATTAAGAATGGAGCTGAGAGATTTGGAAACCACATTATTTCTTTCATAGTAAAGGAAAAGTTAATTCAGGAAATATAGCTTATTCAGTGAATTTCTCATTCTAAGATTGCTGCATTGCTTATGATAAGCAGGTAAGGTTTAGGCGCTGAGTAAATGAAATACATTTAACACTTACTTCATCTATCACTTGAGAAAACTGCTGCAGTGTGGAGGTCATGACCTCATCATCACCACCCAAAGGAAAGCACTATTAAGAAATCACAAAAACTGCACGTTGAGCACAAAGGTGGTGTTTGTTGGGCAACAAATGACCTCATATAATTAAAAAAGGAAACCAACCATGGGTAACTGCATTCTGATCTTAATTTAGCCAATTCATTTCATGTTCTAATCTTTTCAGTTATAGTTGGAAAAATTAGGGTGAAATTTGTACCTAATATCCAAAACCATGAGACACATCATTACTTCATTTGAATTACATTTCTCCCCTGTTGTACATATTGGAATCGTATCTCAGTAGAAGGGAGGGGAGAGGAGTCAGATGCCTCCAGGACAGGGAAGGAAGAACAAAAGAATGTGAGTGGACCTGTACACCATGACATCAAGTAAACATAAATGCTGCAGCTAAATCAGACAGAGTATGGAATTCACACAAGTAGCTGGTCCTAATAGCAAATTACATTTGTTATTTGATTTGTTCATTCTGTACAATCACAACGAACTAGCCTGACTTGAAGCCTAATATGTCTGGTTCTTCATTTAAGCTAGAGAGAATGAGACAGGTTTTCCATACTAACATTGTGTAGCAGCAACAATAACAACAAAATTACATTTACAGAGAGCCTTTCCAGTTGGCACGAACGAAGAGAAGGGTCTTGAGACCAGCCTTGAAGGAGGCAAGAGAGGAAGCGAGGCGAAGGAACCGTGGGATGGAGTTCCAGGGTAAAGTAGCAAGGGTAAAGTCAACATCTGTCCTTTCAGAGATGCACACAGGGTCTGAGGTGGCAGCTGGTAGTGAATATTAATGTATTTGCTTAGACCTCTGCCCTGAGAACTAACATGGGGAGCTATGTAGGAGTTTTGTCAGTGACCAGACTAATGAATGCTGGTTTGGGCCATTTTAAGCTTTGTTTCGCACTGTTACATTCTAAAATTCCTTTATCTGTGACCTTTGCAATTACTTAACTGCACAAGCAACAAAACGTTTCTTTCTTCAGCTCCCAAGAGCCGGTTTGTGTTGGGCTAATGATGTACAAAGGCACTGGCTACTCTTCAGTACCTTGTTAAGGTGCTACACAAATGTAATTTTGTTGTTGTGAACTAGCCATTTTTGTGTGTGTCCAACATAGATGATTAGTATCCTGCACTGCGTAACTGAGTGATTTTTCAATCTTTGAACTTAAATGAGTCAATATCCTCCATACGACTTATTTGTCAATGTTTTTGTACCTGTTTCTCGTACTCCTTTAGCAGTTTGGAGGTCAAGTGTGTTGCTGCACTTAATTCATTCTATAAAAGGAACAAAATAAATTAAGAGTCTGATTAGTGAGAGATCCAGTAATAACCAATTTTCAGAGCACTGTTGTTTCTAAATCGTTCTGCAGTGCATTCAGAATCCAAATTCTGTTTCCTGATAACAAATAGTAAGTGGTTAAACCATCACTAGCCTTGTCCTTACAGTATTACTTTGGCAAGCAGCGTTATTGCCGCTTGTGCTTCTCCATATGATTAACGTTTCTACACAGGATATTAAGAGCACAAGTAAATAAAGTAAAGATACCTGTGAGCAATAGTGTATGTTCCAATGGAAGGCAATGCAGTGGAATGGAATGTACTGGCTGTGAAAGTGAAGAGACCCCATTCTTTGAAATATCAAAAAATAGAGATNAAAAACTAAGGATTACAGAAAGATACAAAATCGCCATTTTCTTGGCCTGCCTGAGAGCATTAATGTGGACTGGCTGGCAAGCATTGAACATATCACCTATCACTTAACTACAAGACCTATTATTCCAAAGCGCTTAGTATAGTAAGTTTTCGATATTGAATTTCAGGATTTTAATAATTCGCTAAAAGATGGGCACAACTGATCTATAACTGTGAGGAAAGCTGACTTGTAAAATTCATGAAATATTAACTGCCTTGAAATACAGTGCAATGGGCTTGTTCCATTCCATGCAGGTTTCCAGTAACTGGTAGTTGGTTTGATATTGTTGAATTCTACCTGAGCATCATAAATTCTTTTCATGGCCTTGTACAGCTGGTTGGTATAATTTGAGATGGCGGCAGCATCTTCCTCAAACACTCCCAGCAGTGAGCGTGTCTGTTCAAAATCACAAAACACAAGTCACTCATAAAATCTTTTAAATGTGTGAAAATATAGGTTAATTGTAAATAAACTATGTTTTTTCAAAGAAACTATATCTACATACAACAAAATTATATTTAGATAGCGCCTTTCACGTCAGGAGGACATCCCAAGGTGCTGGACAGACAGTTACGGACCCGAGCTGGGTGTCGGGGTGGGAGAGGGTGAAGGGCAGGGGGAAGGAGGGAGATCGAAAGCACGGTCGAAGAGGTGAGGGTGCTATATAAATGTAAGTTGTTGTTGACAAGGTCTACAAACGGCAAATGGATTTATTTTAATTTAGCTTACTATTCTCTGCATCAGGTGTTCAAAATATTATTGTTAAAATCCTCAGCAACAAATCTCAGAAAGTAAAATACAGTGAACAATTAAAACTGACTTTTGTGATTTTTGGGCAAGTTGAGCATTTTAGAGGGGTGTGGGGGAGAATGTTATACATTGTTAGAGAACTGGAGCCCACAATATCTCTTGTGACTTGGCAAAGTCAGATTGAAATCAGTCTAACTGACATATGTTTATTTGCATGCAGACTACAGGTCAGGCAACCGGGTTTTAATATTGCTGGTTTACAATAAGCTTAAAACCACAATTTGAGATGATCTTGTAGCTGTGAGCGAGTTAAACATGCCTCTCCGCTTCTATCAGTATTGTGCAATCAATACTTTGCATCACTTCAAAGACAGGATTTGAAAAATTAATGAACTTAGTCTAATGCTGAAGAGTTCTGCAGTATGTAAACACAATACTTTGTGAAACGGTAACATATATATACACAAACACACAATATAGGTGCAAGGATTATTAGTATTATCTCCACATCACTGATGTCGGACACAGAACAGTACCAAGTCCATTTCAGTGACGTGGACCAAATTGTCTCATTGGTGTTGGTTATGTGTGTGTTTTAACTTTGTGATTTAACCCTAACCCAAATTTAATTTAACTATTATTGATTTATATTTAATATTTAATATGATAATGATTAAAGCTGTATTATACAATTTAAAAAATTGGAAAACGTTTCCAAAATACCGACAAAGACCTTAACAAGGTCTCTGCTGGACACACAAATTTAAACACTATAGTAGTGTGAACATTCAATAGTTAACATTTGATAATAACATTAAAGTGAACTGATGGCTCTATTTTCAATCCTTCAGTGAAATTTAAAGGATATTTGAAGTAGAATTAGAATAACTGACTTGGGGGCCTTGAAATCCTGGGAAGTTAACTCAACATTGAGAAGCTTGTAATGCAGTAGTTTGTAAATAATCTTGGTGAGGCTCTGAATCATTGCCTATTTCTATTAATGGTCTGGGACTGGACTCGAAATCATGTGTGTAGACAATATGAATGGCACTCTTAGAGCCATTATTTATAAATATGAATATTTAAATAACCCAGCAAACATTTCTGAATTTAACTAAATTTAACCCTAACCCAAATGTAATTTAACTGTTGATTTATATTGACACTACAAGAACCTGACAGCATTTCTGTCTCTTCCAGGGGACTATCCTAAAAATGCCCTAATGATAATTATGTCAGTCTGACTATTAGAAATGTAAATAGGCTAGATTGTAAAGTTTGACATGATGAAATCTTTCAGCTTCTTTATCTCAATTGATTGGCCTCATTGATGCAGAATATGTAAAAGGCCCTGATCAATATCAATCAGCAACACAATGCAGGTTTCCCCCTACAAGAACTGGGAAGATGAGGTATTGTGGAAGAATATACATCAGCTCAAAATCTTTAAAAATGACAGTGAAGAAGCCTCATTCCATCATGTGGGACTGATCCAAATCACAAAGTTTCAAACAGAATGCGGCATCTAATCATTCAAGTGTATTTACGTTGTACATATAAATGACAAAGTGCAAATGAAGAATTACAAAGTCACTGAACTGAACATTTCATACTCCAAAACTTTACAAAAAAGGATTTATTCTATCTGATGAAGACTATATGCAACAACAACAAGATTACATTTGTACAGCGCCTTTCACGTCGGGCGCTGACTGTAGTCAATACTACTGATACTGGGAAACCCATCTGGTGCCTCACATGTTTTGATTCTGACATGTCATCTGCCAGAAATGGACTGAATACAAGGACATGGTTTAGGGGCAATGCTTATTGTTAATTAGTTTGAGATATTAGTTGAGGGAATGTCCTTTCTGTGCTGTGGCACATAAGTCAATCCTTAAGATACTCCATCTGTAAATCTATTCATCTATAGAATATATTGGCAGTGTATTCAAATATTAATGAATGCAAATACTGAACAAGTACACAGTAAGATATATAAACACAAAGACTAAACAGAAATGGATGTTAAATCTGTTCATAGTTCAACAGAAACGCACACCCTTTGGAAACATAGTTATTGTTTGATTGATGGGTTTGAGATTTTTAAAGCAAAGAATAGAACTGAACAAAAAAGTATCATTTAAGACAATTCATAACATGTACAAAACGCGGTGCGGCCCCTGAGGTCCGAATGTAAACCTGAAACCGTCTCTTCTGCTGTTAATGTTACACTAACCGGAGCAACGCCTCGCACAGCAATGGGGGGGGGGGAGGGGGGGCCTCAGGGCCGGGGGGGGGGGGGGGCCTCAGGGCAGGGCCGGGGGGGGGGGGGGGGGGCAGGGCCGGGGGGGGGGGGGGGCAGGGCCGGGGGGGGGGGCAGGGCCGGGGGGGGGGGGGGGGGGGGGGGGCGGGGGGGGGGGCAGGGCCGGGGGGGGGGGGGCCAGGGCCGGGGGGGGGGGGGGGGGGCCGGGGGGGGGGGGGGGGGGGGGGGGGGGGGGGGGGGGGGTGGGGGGGGGGGGGGGGGGGGGGGGGGGGGGGGGGGGGCAGGGCCGGGGGGGGGTCGGGCGGGGGGGGTGTAGGGTCGGGGGGGGGGGGGTGTAGGGTCGGGGGGGGGGAGGGCCTCAGGGCAGGGCCGGGGGGGGGCAGGGCGGGGGGGGGGGTGTACGGTCGGGGGGGGGAGGGCCTCAGGACGCGTTGCTGTACCTGTGGACTGTCCTCCAGGGCCTCCTCCACGGGGAGTCTGTCGATTCCGGGCATCGCTGTGTCTCTGTCGGTCTGACACTGCGTGTGTGGGTGTGTGTGTGGGTGTGTGTGTGGGGGTCACGGTGGGGGGTCACTGTGGGGGGGTTGACCCTGGTGACAGTTGGTCTCGCGCTGCAGGTCCCGCCTCCCCCCACCATCCGCCACAGCTATTGGTCCAGACCCTGCGGTGCCCGGAGCGGTGCGGCCTCTGATTGGCTGGTGAAGCTGCCACTCAACTACAATTAACATTTCCGGTGCGGCTGCCCCGCCCCCGCGTTTGACACGTCACTGAGGAAACGCTGAGCGGTATCTGCAGCTCCGGGACATGGACACGGGAGGGTTCAGCTGTCCCTCTGCTGGTCAGGCTCGGTACTGCAGCACCTCCCACCTGAGGAGTGAGTTCTACACACACACAGACCTGACCCCCCCCCCACACAGACCTGACCCCCCCCACACACACACAGACCTGACCCCCCCCCACACAGACCTGACCCCCCCACACACACACAGACCTGACCCCCCCCACACAGACCTGACCCCCCCACACAGACCTGACCCCCCCCCCCCCCCCCCCCCCCCCCCCCCCACACAGACCTGACCCCCCCACACACAGACCTGACCCCCCCACACAGACCTGACCCCCCCCACACAGACCTGACCCCCCCCACACAGACCTGACCCCCCCCACACACACACAGACCTGACCCCCCCACACACAGACCTGACCCCCCCACACAGACCTGACCCCCCCCCACACACAGACCTGACCCCCCCCCACACACAGACCTGACCCCCCCCACACAGACCTGACCCCCCCCACACAGACCTGACCCCCCACACACACAGACCTGACCCCCCCACACACACACACAGACCTGACCCCCCCACACAGACCTGACCCCCCCCCACACAGACCTGACCCCCCCACACACACACACAGACCTGACCCCCACACACACACAGTTCTCCCCGCACACACACACACGCTGAGATTTGCCCTCAAACAGAGGAGAGGGAGTCACTGAAATCACTGGAGTTGGTCACTAGACTCAGGCTGGACTTGTCCTGCCAGAGAGGCCATCCCGTCACCCGACGTTTCGGAGGGTCGTGAAGACAGGGTTCAGGTCACATGGCCCTTTGACAATTTGGGGCCTGGAGAGGTTGGGGGGTGGGACTGGTCTCCAGGGACAACACTCGTTGTCAAAGTGGGATGTTTGGGTGTAATTGGGTTAACGGGGGTGAGCAGCCTGACCTCGCTCAGCAATAAACAAAATAATATCAAAATACTTCACAGGAAACGTGTGTAAAGTGTAGCCAATATATATTTATTTATCGGCGAATGTAACAGCCAATTTGCACAAGGCAATGTCCTGCAAATGCTCCTCAAATTGAATTTTGTCTGGAGAAGTTGTCTGCCACACAGCAAGAAACTCAGTTTTCTTTTCAGATATTGCCAATAATAATAATAATTATCCTGGCATTTGATACAGCGCCTCATCATGTCTTCGAGACGTCTCAAAGCGCTTCACAAGCTACACTGTAAAGCAAATTGACTATTTTGCGGACAAAACGTGACAGCCAATTGCATGCAATAGTGTCCCACAAACAGTGACCAAATTATTATTATCTTTTGGGTTCTTTTTGATTTTTTACCCCCAGAAAAGCAAGCCTCCAATTGACTGACAACCGGATTCCTATTTACTGCTAAGGAAGTAAATAAATGGATTATGCTGTAGTTATTGATTTAGAACTTGTGTTGAAACTGTATTTGCGGAACATCTTTCACTCACAACAATTGATAGTCAATGTCTGCCCTGGAGCAATGGGTTGAGATTGCAAAAACAAGTTTTAATTTTGTACACTGACATTTAGGGGGTGTGCCACCCAAATGGTATATCTTTCAGGACCGATTTTAATTCATTACATTTCTGTTGTTTTCCTTAATTTAAATTATGCAAATTGTACCATTTTCTTCATTTAGTTAATATTCCAAGGTCTGGTAATCACACACACATACTCACACAGACACACATACTCACACAAAAGCTTGCAAATAAACCTGGCCCCGAATGACTTCACATTTAGAAAAGGAGTAAATAAACAGCTTGGTTAGTTATTTAAAGTTCTTTCTTGTAATTGTTCCTATGAATTAATCCGAGCAGATGGAAGACAATTATACCGAGTTGTAACAGCCTTGGCAGTCCTGCCCAGTGTCTGGGACACTTACACTGGTTTCTCAATTCACTCTGAACGCAACGTTATGCACATAAAAAATATCCGAATATTCATCAGGATTATCCTAATAGTATTAGGAGCTTACTAACTGTGTGAAAGACATTCACCTAAATAAGATTACAATTTGGATGGCGATTTTTCCCTCCTTTTTTCCCCATTTGCAATCAGAACGGAACATTGCAGTGTGATTTGCTTTGCTTTAGGGAGAAACGGCAACAATGTGGGTTTTAAAGGATTTGACTAGAAAGTTTGGTTTGTTGAGTGGTTTGTGGAGATAACACTTGGCCTCCCTGTGGGTGGCCTCTGGCTGCTCACATTAGCTGCTAATTACTCGCCAACAAATAAACAATTATCGCCTCACGTTGCCATGTCGGGTCTCATCCCCTCATTCACATGTTAACAACTGTATAACAGCCCAATGTAACCCAGTGACGTGGGAATCTCTATAACAAGCGGGGACAGGAGTGGGGAGTGAGTGTGGGTGAGGCTATCACTGTGCTAACATGGCAAAGGGTTTCCATTCTGCCACAGAGTGGCTGCTGCCCGAGAGAAAACCTCCCAAAGGTGCCTTCACCATTGACAGTCTTCTTGGGTTGGGGGAGAGTCGGCAACAGTCTCCAACAATAACTCTTTATCGCCCGTGGGTTGAGCTCAACATTACAGGTGAGCAATACTAACGTTTAATGTGAGGCGCTCTGGGGCGTTAACCTGCCTCAGGGGCGCTGGATACTGTAAATGCACGTTGTTGTTAAATGTCCTTTTTGCTGAGCAGTATTTTTAAGCTGTTATTTTTGGTCAATTGTACAAAATTCTAGAAATGAAAGTCCTGACAACCTGCAGCAATGTGGAATCTGACCTGTTGTTGAGTATAAAGGTTGTAAATACCTTAGCCACAGATTCTCGTTTTATTGTACATTGATCCTGATTCTGTATTGGCAGCAACATGAATGAGGCTGTTGTGTTTCCCAGTTTGGTGTTTATATCTTGTCCTCTGTCTTTGCCCTAAGCTTCCGCAAGGCCGACCCCCAACCCCTGTGACCCTCTACCTGTCCTGAGGGGTCAGACAGTGTGTGCCAAGCTGTGCCCTGGGGCAGACTGGCTCAGTCACCCACACAACTGTAGCTGGTACCGAGGGCGGAGAGCCAGGACTGTGTTCAGCAGGAGCCAGGTAACTGCCAGTAACTTCTAGAATGAGTTACCAGATTTAGTGTAATGCTAAATTGTAATTTAGTGTAATGCTAAATGTAGTCCTCCCAAACCCACCGGTTACTCAGCCTTTACTATCCAGAACAGACAGCCGTCTTTATCTTTATTTACATCTGAAAACTCTGACTTTGCCTTTTGTCTACGAAAAGTGTTTGATTATAGATTATAGCGTAAAATCAGCACCTCTACAGCTGCATGTACCATCTCTCCTGCAAGTCTGTAATCATCTTCTCATTTAGTCAATATTTTGAGTGTTTTATAACGTTTGATAAATGCATATCTATGAGCCTAAACTCTGTAATGGAGGTTTCATTTCTTGTAGATATCAAGTTAGTTATTGTAACAAATCATATTATTGCATAGTATTGAAATTAGTGTATAATTAATGAGTGATGGGTGTTAAATGTGCCTGGCATCTTCAAATATCGGTATTGAGCACAAGATTGTATTAGCTGTTAATTTATCCTTTCTTATCTGCTCAAATGTTAAGTGCTGAAAGTTTGATGGGGGGGAACATTCCCAGAAAAATGTCTTTAAACCTAATGTTTTTTTACTTCACTAATGGAACAGTTATATTTTGCGGAAATATGAAATGATCATTGCAAGCAAACCAGATCTTCCAATCAAACTCAGTAGTTGCTGCCCTTTAAATCCTCGTGACTTTGAATAATCCACTCTATTTTGAATCTCATTCAGATTGAAGTATTGGAGGAAGCATTTCGTCGGAATTGTTACCCAGGGATAGATGTTCGTGAACAACTTGCTCACAAGTTGACTCTCGATGAAGACAGAATTCAGGTAATTAAAGGATTGGTATTAACTACTGCGGTGTTGATGGTTTCAAGGCAGAACGTAGTTTTCTTTTTAAAGAACTATTAAATGTTGGAGTTCATTTTGCCTCGCAGTTTAATTCTATGATACGGTTTCAGATCTGGTTCCAGAATCGTCGAGCAAAGCAGAAAAGATCTCACCATGAATCTCAGTTTCTGATTGTGAAAAACGCACTGATGTCCGGTTCAATTGTACCCAAACAGGAGGAGAAACATGAACATCAAAGCATCTAAAACCGGATCATGGGAGTCCTGTAGCTCAGTGTTAGAGCACTCGCTTTGCAAGTGAGAGACCTGAGTTCAATTCCAGGCAGAGGGCGAAACCTTGGGCAAGTTTCCTTACTCCACACAGAGCCTAATAATAATCCCTCCAAAACCAAAAGCAATAATAAATTGGTCATTTTCAATCTACGACTGTTTGTGGGACATTGCTGTGCACAATTGGCTGCCGCGTTCGCCCACAAATATACAGTCAATTCACTTTACAGTGTGTTCTGTGAAGCGCTTTGGGACGTCCTCCCGACGTGAAAAGCGCTATATCAAATGCAAGGATTATTATTATTATCATTCCTCGAAAAGGAACATTATTGCTGCTTGTGTTCATTTGTACTGAGTATCAGGCTCTGTTTAGGCAGATGATTCCTGATCAGTTCAAGAAGCTGTTACTAAGATGCACATCTACAGTGTATAAATAGTTCACTTTGTTTCCTGTTCGATGCTGTGCATTGGTGAGAGGAGAGAGTGACACCGGGAGCGGTGCCGGAGGCGATACCGCCACCAGTCAAACGGCCGTTATGAGCCACAGAGTATCCAGCAAAAAAAAATGAATCTGAACATATTACTTGTTTAGTATATCTTTAACAAGTTTCACATTGATACAAACATCCATTGGATCAATTCTAAGAGTATTAATCAGCATAAATGAACTACTCTATTGTTATACATGTTGTATAAATTCTACACCAGAATTATTCAATTGCAAATTGTGGACATTGAATAGTTAGTATGTAAATACTCTGTTATTGTGATTGTAAATGGCTTGTGTTTCTTCTGTTCATACCATTATCTATGATATAAAATTTCATAAGTGAGGATTTGCTTGATTGCAATTGTATCTGGTATTTATTGTAATAGTCTGATCTGTGTGTGTGTGTATATGAAACTTACTGACTATGTCTATGTTGTACATTTAACTTCACAATTGTGTGCAGTATATGTTTGTCTAAAAGTGGATTTTATGTTTTGAATTTTGGTCTTGCTGTACAGAATATGTAAACATTGCATATTAAAATTTTGTTCTATATGTGTGTCTGTAGGTTCCTCAATTAAAGGTAGTCAGGGTTACTAAAGGAGCAGCTTTATCTTAAAATGTCTGCAGTATTTATTCAGTCAGCAGTCCAACATTGGAGAAAACAAGCTTTTCATCTGGTGTAGAATTCTGCAGAAACCCATATATTAGAGACGTGATAATGCGGGTGCAAATGAACCTTCACGCAGTCTAAAAAGAAACTAATGCTAAATTATGACATTGAAGTGTCTTGCACCTTGGGACATCCTCCCGACGTGAAATGTAATTTGTTGTTGATGTGCAATAAACATTTTTAAAGCATAAAGGCAGAAAGTGGTCACGTAGGAAGTAATTGAGGATACAAGAAACAGGTGGGTTTACTTATTGATTAAATGTTGGTATGTTTGCTCGCTGCTGTGACTGTAATTTGTCACAATTCTTTTGGGGACAAATTGAATTTCCTGACTGAGCAGCTGTGCTGGGTAGAGCTGAGTTGTGGGTAGCAGTTATTGAACAATACATCATCTTTCACAAACTGAACCCATTACAGGTAATGCACTGCATTGTTCATCTAAATACTCAGCACAAAGTTTACAATACAAGATCAGCCTAATCCAGTCAGGCTAAATCCTCTTTAGCTTCCCTATTATCAGACAAATGCCCCAATGAGACTAATTTGTTGCCCATAATGAATCCTGCACAAAGAAGTTAATGGGAATGGTTTTAACAATAGGAGTGAATTTGAGCACAAGTTATGAACTGATGATTGATAGCAGCAGGGTACTAATTAAGCTAAAGGAAGCAGCACTATTGTTTTCTGTTCTTAGCAGGTCTTTAGTAGTCTATGACAATCCAAATTGTCATTTTGGAGTGGGAGGGGGCCAGTGCAGGCCTCCCTGAACATTCGCACTAGTCAAGGTAAATCCATGTTCAACCAATATTTTGATTGTAGTTTTTTCTTGATTTGATTTATGTGAAGCACTTTGAGGCTTCTCAACAATGTGATAAGGTGCCACATCACACCTAAGTATTATTATTGTTATTAAATGCTTGAAGTATTTAGTAAATATTTAGTGTGGCCTTGGGCTCCACCATTGTTAAGCACTCTGAGATGCTGCCTGGTGTGGAGGGTGCTATATAAGTGCATTTGTTGTATGTTTCTAAGGCCCAATAAGCCAGTTCCTGGGAGAATCCAGCAGAATTGTTTCCTATTTCTCAAATATTTAATTCCTAATGAGTAACTGATCCTTGATGTGTTGGGTTATTTCAATTATCTCTTGCTTGCATGGGATCCAAAGCTCATCTTTGTTGCATGTCCCTGTTGAGATCTGTAAAATAAACATTGGGATTCCGAAGGGTATCACCTTTCTGTCAAATCACTAAGTAACAAAGGGTTTCAAATGGAATATTTCACGCTTGTCATTCACTTATAGATGAGCCTCTTGTTGCTTCGTATTGCATGTATTAAAGGTGGCGGAAGCCTTGGCCAGACAATTGTTTGACAGTGTTGGCAAAGAACTGGACAGTCTACAAAAATGTTGAATAAATGGCCCACTAAACATACGGAATTGCCTAATTCACTTATTTACCATTCTCAATACCAAAAGCGAGCTTTTATTTGTTTTGTTGAGTTGATACTCAGTCTGTCTCTCTTTCACTCTTGTTGGCAAATGCAATTATTAGTATAAACTCTGTGCGTTGTGTTGCCCTGAAACTATTTAATGTAGGACCCTTGCTGCCAGGGGACGCTGTTTATTCCAGCCATGTGTTGGGGTTGATCAATTGGCTTCAGCCCTGGGGTTGGTTCAATTCAATTATATCGCTCTCAAACCAGCTTTCAAATTAAGAACTTGCCACAATTCTACACAATTTTATATTTTAAGAAAAAAATGGTCTTGCAGGATTTCTGGCCTCAGGTGAGAAGAGGATCGGGTTAAAATATGATTCATCCCGATGTCAAACAGTTTGCCAAACAACAACAACTTGCATTTATATAGCGTCCTTCACACTGGGTAGAGTTCCAGAGCGCTTAAACAAGTAGAGAATCCACCGACACATGGAGAACGGGTACTTTGGGGGAAGGTACCAGACAATGCCAGTATAAGTGTGAGAAACAATACAAAAAGGTAGACAAACTCAACCTTCTCTCTGGTACTGTTTATATGAGTTAACCATGATATCTATCCTTTCACATCAACTGTGAATGGGATCACATGAGATGTGCCTACAGATAGTTACTTCTCCTGATACCATTTGTAATATAATCCCTGGGAGTGAATAGAGCTGTCATATTGATGAACTTGAGAGCGCTGTGCGCCTTAGTATAAAGTGTGCTGCAGGTTATTAATGCTCATCATTTCTTATGACTCACATTCTCCAACTGCTCTCAATTACACCCTTTATGTCCTCTGTCCTCCACCCCATTTTCTCCTTTGTCTTCTTTGCCCCCAACTGTCCCTCTCTGTCAGCTCTTAAAATCCTCTCCCTCCCAAAATGCTCCAGTTCTGATGAAGGGTCATGGACTCGCGATGTTGACTCGCTTTCCTTTCTTCACAGATGCTGTATGATTTGCTGAGTGTTCTCGGCCACTTCTGTTTTGTTACACCTTTTGTCTTTTGGAATAACATCAGAGAATGATATCCAATGTGTTAAAGGTTTACTTTTCAGTCCGGACGTCATTTGTCCAGAAATCTTATCTCTGGTCCTCACTAAATGATGTAATGTTACCGGTCGCTCTGTCCCCCGGAGCTGGCGGGGGGGGTGTGGGGGGGGGCTGCTGGGGGGCGGGGGGGGCGGGGCTGTTGGGTACTGTGTGGGGGCGGGGCTGGTGGGTGTTGTGTGGGGGCGGGGCTGATGGGGGCGGGGCTGCTGGGGGTGAGGGGCGGGGCTGATGGGGGCGGGGCTGGTGGGTGTGGGGCGGGGCTGATGGGGGTGTGGGGGGCGGGGCTGGTGGGTGTTGTGTGGGGGCGGGGCTGATGGGGGGCGGGGCTGATGGGGGGCGGGACGGGCGTGTGGGGGGTGGGGCTGATGGGGGGCGGGACGGGCGTGTGGGGGGCGGGGCTGGCGGGGGCGGGGCTGGTGTGGGGGGCGGGGTTGGTGGGGGCGGGGCTGGTGTGGGGGGCGGGGCTGGTGGGGGTATGGGGGCGGGGCTGGTGGGGGTATGGGGGCGGGGCTGGTGGGGGCGGGGCTGGCGGGGGCGGGGCTGGCGGGGGCACGGGGAGCACTATGCAGTGCGCATGTGTGAGGAGGTGGTGGACGATGGCGGTTGGCGTTGGCTTTCTCTTCTCTCTGACTTTGCTGATAGTTTGTGGCCGCGGAACCCGCGCCCCCCCCGGGAGTGCCGGGCCCCGCGGGACCCCCGTCTGCCCGTCCGAGGTGAGGCTCAGTGGGTGGTTGTTTGGGGCTGAGAGTAGTTACCCCGAACTCCAGGTCACCCCAGAAAGAGGTGTGTGAGTGAGTGAGAGTGTGTGAGTGAGAGTGTGTGTGAGTGAGAGTGTGAGTGAGAGTGTGTGTGAGAGTGTGAGTGAGAGTGTGAGTGTGAGTGAGAGTGTGAGAGTGAGAGTGTGTGAGTGAGAGTGTGTGTGAGTGAGAGTGTGTGTGTGAGAGAGTGTGTGAGAGAGAGAGTGTGTGAGAGAGAGAGTGTGTGAGTGTGTGTGTCTGTGTGTGTGTCTGTGTGAGTGTCTGTGTGAGTGAGTGTGTGTGAGTGTGTGTGTGTGACTGTGTGAGTGAGTGTGTGTGAGTGTGTGTGTGTGTGAGTGTGTGTGACTGTGTGTGTGTGAGTGTGTGTGAGTGTGTGTGACTGTGTGTGTGAGTGTGTGTGACTGTGTGTGTGTGAGTGTGTGTGACTGTGTGTGTGAGTGTGTGTGTGACTGTGTGTGAGTGTGTGTGTGAGTGTGTGTGTGAGTGTGTGTGTGAGTGTGTGTGACTGTGTGTGTGTGAGTGTGTGTGAGTGTGTGTGACTGTGTGTGTGAGTGTGTGTGACTGTGTGTGTGTGAGTGTGTGTGACTGTGTGTGTGTGTGTGTGTGTGACTGTGTGTGAGTGTGTGTGAGTGCTGTAAAGTCGGCAGTCGGATGCCCTTCGGGTGGATGTGACCTGAACAGTCTGTGGAGTGATTCCCCCCCAACCTGTTGTGTTTGTAATGGCTAAAACTCGACCTCTTTACCTTCCACTGATCACAGTGTGAGCAACAAGTGTCCCGGTTCTCTGTGAGAGAGAGGCGGTGTAACCTCACACTACCAGTCATCCACACCGTGTAACAGGGAACAGCTCTCAGTCTGTAGGAGACTTTATGTAAAGCCCACGTTGGTGTAGTGATGAATGACCGAATGCCCCCGAAAGCATTGTTTGTGGGGACACGATTGCCTTTGAACTGAGCCTTCAGTCGGAAGTGAAGTGGTCATTTGTGACTGCATTAAATTCTTTGGCATTTCCTCTGTGTAACCGCAGGCACTCGCACACAGCGCAGCTGTAACTGTGCAAACACACAGCTCTTTAATCATTCCAGTCCTCGCTTTGTTGGAAGTTTCAGTAATTTTTTTTCTCACACACCCATACACACTCACAAACACACCCGCACACACTCTCACACACATTATATCTTTTAAGCTATTAGTTGGTCAAAAAAAATCAGTAGCCGTGCGTGTGTTTAATGCATTGCAAAATAACACGTAGATTAAAACACATTGCAGTTTTTATACAGCCCTGGATGTTCTACATGCAAATGTAAAGGATGGGAGAAATTGTACAACATTCAAAGCGACTTGGGGACAACATTCGGCATTTGCTACTGATCTCTGGTTTCCAGATGGTGTTTATGACGGGGGACATATGTCCCTTTTCCCCTCTAGTTTGTTTTTAATACATTTTATTGTCCTCACTTTTGCACCTCCTGATTTGCTCGTGTTGTCCTGTGTCTTCTGATAACCAACATTAAAGGGAGACAGAGGGAGAAAGGGGTGGTATTGATGTGGTTCCCTGTTGGCAGCAATCCAGCAACACTGACTAGATCTTTAAAGAAAACTCCTGGTTCAATCTCAGTCAGTACACATTGTCCTCCATGGCATTTGGCCTGACAATAATCAGCGCTGGTGGCAATCTCTGTACCAGAGGGAAACATTGCCAACCAAACATGCAATACCAGGAGATTTTGTCTTTCGTTGTGTGTAATGGATTTGATGAGATTCCTCAAAGGAAGTATTTTAGGTCACTTCAGAAAGGATTAAACAGCAATGATCTGCCTGCGTCAACAACAACAATTTGCATTTATATAGCGTCCTTCACATTTGGTATCTGCATCTACATTAAACATAACAAGTAGTTGTTGGACAGGAAACTTATTCAGGGTTTGAGATATGGCAGAAACCTCAGGAGCAAATTTCAAGCAATTTATAGCTGCCTCCACCCCCTCCTGATCCCACTCCCAGCTCAGGTCCAAATCCCCGTCTGTCCAGCACCTTGGAACATCCTTCTGACGTGAAAACTTCTGTGTAAATGTAATGTGTTGTTGTTCTGGGGTGAGATTAGATTACTGCTTGGCAATCTCTTTTGTGTGGCATAAGTTACTTTTTATATAATGTGCTTGTTTAGAGTTGATCGCTTTTGTTCCTTTGTGTTAGTCTTTCTTGTGGACAGGAAGTTCCATTGGTAATTTATAATGATGCTTTAGTTGCAAGAATTAAAGTGTGCTGGAAGTTCACTGGAATTTCGTTAGCTGATTGTTGAAGAAATAATAAATTTGTAAATTTACAATCATACATTTTGGGGATGTTTCAAATCGAAGACTTGATGCTTTGAGGCTGAGTTAAAGTGTTTGCTTAAACCAATCCTCTCCTCAGTGCTCTGTTGCTCAGGAGGCCACATGACAGAGTTCCCGTAACCATCACAGTCCACTGATCCCTCCTGTGTGTGTTTGCGGATGTCAGTTTGACTGTGATGCTTCTATGGTTGAATGGCCTACCGACAAAAGCCGTCTCGGCTTACAATTGAATAATGTCTGGCTTGGGGGAGGTACAGAGATGCTGGCACCTGTGAGACTGAGCCCCAGAAGAATAAAAATACTTTACAGCAACTTTTAAAAGGGAATTGGATGAGCATTTGAAATGTAAAAATCTATCAAGATCTGGGGACTAAATGGGTCGCTCTTTCACACAGCCAGCACTAACACAATGGACCAAATGGCTTTATTCTGTGCTGTAAAAGTCTCTGATTTGTCAGTTCAGACCCTGTAGTATGCAGATTCTGATCAGGTCAGCCTCAATTGTTTTTAAATACTGTCTTTGCATCTGATCCAAAGCAGGTTTGGAGATGTAGAAATGTTTTCAATGCCTTCTGCTGAAATGTCTCAAAGCATTTCGCAAATGTTCTGTGAAGTGAAGTAACTGTGATTGTAGGCTGTCAGTTTGTACACAGCAATGTCTCACAAACAACCATAAAATTGATTGGCCAATTGTGTATCCAACTTCTGGGCTGGGAAACGTGCTTCTCTGTTAGAATAGTGCAAAGACTTCAAATCTTGGTTTAAAGTCTCTTCTGATGACTACCTGATCACATACTGTACTTGTGGTGTCTATTGGTGTATCACTTGCTCTGGGTGCCTGTAGGACTAGTTCATCTCATTATAAATGTGGTTTAGTACCTCGTACAAACAGCCATTTCTATGCGGGAGCCGAGATTTTGAGTGTGAACAGGCCTTGATCGTGGGGAGGTGATCGTTGAGGCGGATCTTGTCTTCACCTGGAGTCTGGATGATCAGTTTCCAGTAGGAGTCTCATAGTGTCAATAGGAGGGGAAATACGGGCAGCCCCTTAATCCAGGGACATGTGGACAATTATAGAATATTGATTGAGATTGTTTAACTCTTCATAGAGTAGGAATGGGATTTGGGCATTTGACTTTTCTCCCCACCCATCCCTTGTTTATCCACCACATTGATCAGGAGGTTTCATATTCCCCCTTCTCTCTCAACTATGTTGTAATTACGCTGACAAACAGAATCTACCGAGAATGTAGTTTTAGTTTTGTACAAAAGAACATGTGTGATCTGCTAGAGATGTTGGCAAGCTTGGATCTGCATGTATTTAGCGACAGATAAAATCTGAATGTGGTAAACAAAGTGCATCTTAATGTCATTCTTTAAAAGTAGTCTAGGAGGACTGCTTCAGTTGAACTGTGCTGCACAGATTTAATGGAGATTACAGCCTGAAAACAACCACTAATAGAACTCCAGCATGTTTCTGTTTCCCATTAAAAACAATGGGGAATTGAGCCCACTCTCACTTGCAGCAGGTCAGCGATGCTAATGATATTTGAGTATCACCGTACTGCTGCGGGTGGAATCCCATCTCTAGTCTCATTGCGAAGTGCTTGTGAACCACAGTTATTTTTGTGTTGACAAAACTGTTTGAGGGTAGAGAATGTCTAGGTTTAGCAATTAGGTAAATGACAGGTAGTGTTGGTGTGTATTATGGTGGAGCATTGAGACATCCTTCAGGTTGCGGAGGCTTGGGTTCAAAGTACAGCAAACATGCTGCAAACACACAGGGATGAGAGAAGGGACTTCCATGTAGATGAGGCTCCCCCTCGGCCCAGGCCTGTGGGTATCTGTCCTCTGTCCCTAACCAGGCACTTGTCATTAATCTCCATGAATGAATTAATTTTGATTTAAAAGCACCATTGCCCATTGGTGTTCGGTTCTGGGCATAAATGTAATCGTTTACCTGGCATTGAGAATTTAATGGGGAATGATTTGGGATAGTTACATTCTGTGCTTGGGTCACTCTCTGGGTTGAGTATCTGAACTGCACTCTCCCAGACTGTGATTTGCTGCCCAGCTATTTCTTTGCTGTGAGCCTGTCTTCTATTTCAGCAGGAACTGTTGGCTTTGTTCATTGCCGTCTGTGGTTGTCATTACTTTTTTGCAGCAGAAAAACTGAAGGGAAAGTCCCTGAAGCATTTTAGATACTTTTTTTTAGGTGGTGGGGGGGGAGAAATAATAGAGTTTATTGTACTTCTTGTCATCTGTTCTATCGCTCTGGCAGCGTAAGCTCGTGCAGACGGAGGAGGAAACACGACCATATGAAATCAGTTCAAGCTTGTGGAAGACGTTACATATGTCTGATTTCTGGCACAAATTGCTGACAGCTGGTGTTTGCTGTCTTCTCTCTTTCCCCTCTCCCCCTCCTCCCCTCAGGCTTGTGGGCATGTAACTTCATCACTTTTTTCCAAGCGCAGGATCCCTTTACCAACAATTTCCATGGTAATGACGGGTTAAATTAGTAATTCTAAAAGTTATGGCACAGTTGTTTATCTACTCGGACTGATTTTCAAACGAGGAATGTAACCGGAATATTTAAAGCTGCACCAAGCCATAATTTAA